CATCGTGAGCTGCTATAACTTACTGATGCCATGTTCAAGTTTATAGCGCAAATGGACTCGGATCTCTGCTATGGTTCCGCATAAAGTTGCGCTACAACCAGAGAGAAATGCTCAAGTAAGTCCCCAACCAGCACTCCTCTCTCAGAACCATACTGGTAGTATCTACTACTCCATCATGCACCTCTTGGCCAGAGTACAGTCCTGTTTCCCGCACTGAATGGTATGACAACGCTACCATGGTTACCAACTATTAAAATCTGCCTGCTTTGTTCAAATCAATCGCAGCAGCGCGCCTGACCTGCTAGCCAGCGAACACGCTCTGGCTATCAGGCTCAGGAGATATACAGTTGAACACAGGCCTGTTCTGGCCACACCGCCATTCATGCATGCAGGCACCACTTTCTGAACAGGATCAAGATGCGTATGCAATTGCCGCCATGATCTCGATCAGGATTCTGCCCTGATGGACGAACATGTGATTGTATATAGCTCAAGACCCTTACTCATCAACCTGCATGGACAACGGTTTGTCGACATGCAAGATCCTTTTGTCAATTGGATTCATGTCTGACAGTTGTGGTACAAACTGAATAAAATGATTGCTATTGCGGGCGCAACTTCCAACGAGCGATTGCTCCAGCTTTCCAATATCTTTTCCTTCTTTCGACCAGAGGGTAAGGAGCAGATGCGAGCGCGGAGTTCAATTTATCCATGCTGAAGATCAAGACCCCGACGTTGAGTGCTTGCCAAATTGCCCCTGTTCAGTGCCCCCTCTAGCCTCTTCTCTTTCTTTCACCAGACCTCTTCATCAGCTGTTGTCGCCATCGACCCAGTCAACAACGAAAGTCTGCGTGTAGTCACAAACCCCCTCATTTATTATCACTCTCGTTGGTTTCGTCTCCACCCTCGTTGGCTCTGTCTCTAGCCTCGTCGGCCAGTCTTCTGTCCTCCATCATGGCATTGTAGTCAGCGAGCCAGGCTTCCTGCTCCTCCTTCTCTCGGCAAGCTCTGCAAGAACCCTCGAGGGGCTGGAAGAACATCACAGAAGCGCAGAGTTCGCCGGCCAGGGCCTTGTCGCATACTTCGTGAAGAATTTGGTGTTCGTGGCCGCAACCTTCGTTCTTGTAACGAGTGCGGCGGCACATTGTTGCTGCAGAGGAGAGGATTAGAAGGGGTAAGATGGGAGGGTTCGTGGATGAATACTTGCCTTGCTTGCTGGAAGATGGTATCCGAGATAAGGTGGAGTGCTGTGACAGGAATGGCGTGGTAGTGGATTTATGGCAGGGGGAATATGGTAGGTGTGAGCTTGAGCGAGTGCTTGGTGTTGTTGTTGTTGTTCAGAGGAGAGTAAGACTCAGGTCTCCATCTCAACTTGTACCAACACTCCTCTCCATGTCGAGACCAAAGAGCGCCGGAAGATTCTGTGCATTCTATACGACTCCGGTATCTACTCTGCTCCCGAGAGATGAATGGTCAAGCATGTTTGTGCCCCTGAAGCTCATGGTTTGTCTATAAGAGCACTCCCAATCTCCAGACATCCAGAGCTTTGGGATGTATAGTTTGTGGTTTGCGTCAATACTCCTTGTGAGGCTATCGATCAATCTGAGATCAGAGGATATTGTATCCATGGTCACTGACGCTATCCACGAGCATTGCTGTAGCTGCGCAAACGCTCGTTTCACAAAGACGCATGGCATTCCATCTTGAACGACCAGAGGATTCTTCAAAGCAATCTCAGTGTTTCTTGTTTCTATTTCCTAGTCTTGACATGCGGTTCAGAGGAGTTTGATAGGCAACATGGGCAGCAATCCATAACGGCTTTGCTCAATCTTTGTATTTCCAGTGACCGAGGTGACTTGGAGACATGCTTTGCATCATTATGCTGGTTTGCATGACAGATTTGCTCTATATCAAAAGGGCTCTCGAGCTCCAGAGAAGAGGAACATGGTCAAAGAACTGTGGCATCGGTTCTACTACCAAGGCAAATCTGGTCAAGTCTTTCATTGTCTGGACTCTGTACTCTGAAGTTTTGTGGAAAAGGACATAGAGTAGTGGGTACGATAGGCAAGCAGAGTCAAAATTAGCCTGGGTCTATGCATGTTCGTGTGGTTCCAGAGGACAATTGCTTTGGGTCTTTGACGATAGATCGTGGGATTCTTGACCGAGCGCAAGAATCGTAGCAAGGTCCACTTACAGATTTTGTTGATTGTCTGGTCCTCGAGATGGTATGCGACTTCTCTGCGAGAATTCCCGCCTCGGTGGATGGGCCAGAAGATTCTGTTCCACCACCAATCGTTTGGGTCATCTAGAGAGGTAGTGTTCCCATCTTGGGGCGGGTGCTCGGGTGGCTGCTGAGGATCACCCTCCTTGGGGGCTGACTTCTTCGGCTTGAGGCATTCTTGCTGTGAAGCATATAAATCAGCGTCAAGTATCATCATGATGAAACAGATAGACGAACGACAGGCTGGGGCAATCCCGAAACATCAATGGGATCGTTGTTGCTATCACGGATGGGTGGGAATATAGGAAATCCGGGGTCGGTAAGATCCTCGACAGGGACAGCAGCCACCAGAGTGGCAGCAAGACCAAAAGTCAGAGCAACGAAGTTGAAGTGCATGATGAGATGGATGATGAGGAAAAGGAGACAGAAGTAATCAGGAGCAGAAAGCCTTGATATATTCCAGCAGAGAGCGTGGAGGGAGATCGAATAACAGTCGAGACTTCTGATCCCAAAAGATAGTTCCATGAAGTCAGTTGTCCAAAAGCTCGTTCGTTATCTGCTTGGAAAGTGTCATACCATACGTCTTTTCGCGATCAGCAAGTGGACTGGATCCGCCTGTCTGACTTTGTCCAATGGCAATCTTGTCATGATCAAGTCAGTCAAGCTGAGACACCTGATGGAAGTTGCGAGTTGGTTGCCAAAGCATGAAGGAGGATGGGGGTTTGGCATTTTGAGTTGCTGGAAATATGGAGCACTGGGTCGGCAAACTATTCCCTATCAACAAACTCTTGTTTGTTGGGGGATACCAGCGTGCAACCATATGAGGGTTTGGGTTGTTGAATCAAGGTCCAGGTCATGGCTACAAGAAATTGATGTTGGTGTGACTTTAGCGTTATTGGAAGACAATGCGCGTTGATATTTAGCTCCAGGGTATGTCATTGATGGGCAATAAACTGATAGATGGTAGGAGCCTTTACTGGAAGAAGTGGGTGGGGAAAAGGAAGTTCGGAGAGTGAGTACAACTTGTAAGCATCAGCCGTCGAAATCGAGGTTCGAATATGAAGAAGCCACCCGAGGGGACTTCACGAGATGGAAGCAACCACCATCGCATTTTCATAGAAGAAAGTCGAAATGCAATCGTGCATTCATGCAAAAACAATAGTTGATCGAGAGAGGAGATGAATATCGCCGTATGCTCTATGTGACGATCTTATCCTCCGCCCTGCGAATCAACTCTTCATATACCGTCCACGCTAACGCAGAACTAATGGCTTTCCTCGCCATCCTGATACCCAACCCATCAAACAAGCACATAGTACCTTCTTCCGCAATCATCTTCTTCGCAGCACTAATCGCATTCCTGTACTTCTGAGGTTGCAACTGCAATCGCGTCTTGACCGCATCAAATGGATTCGTCACAGCCGTCGCCGCAGCAGCAGCCAAAACTCCAGACCCAAAGTTCGCTAGCGGTGCGGCGATGTCCAAGTGTCCGAATAGCGAAGTCTTGCTTTGCTCGTAAAAGAGGACATAGAGACCTGCATATGGTGCATCTCTGATGGCGGTTGCGCCAAAACCCGCGAAAAAGCCTTTGGCGCCGTTTGTCTTGAAGATGTCCTTTGCGGCCGAGGATAGCGAGGTGTAGGCGTATAGACTGCTCTCGTACCTCACCTTCAATACGGTGACTGGGCTCATGACGAAGCCAGCCAGCGCTCTTGCTGCAGCTCCGGTAACTAGATTCGCGGGCTTGCTAAGACTTGTTTTTGACTTCCCGTCTGTTCCTAATGTGGTGGTCGAAGTTGCTCGTCGCAATTGGTTCAGCATGCCAAAGTAGAGGGCTGAGCCTGCGCCTGTTCGAATGACGGATGGTGTGGTGCCACGCCATAGTTGCTGTATGGGGGAGGGACCTGCAAGGATGCTCTTAAGAGCGACTGAAAGTGATGCGCTGGACGATTGTTGGACGCGAGTTTTGAGGAGGTCGGCGGGTTGTAGGAGGAAAGCGCTCGTTACGCCGGAGCCCAGACCGGCTGCGAAGTGGAATGCTAGAGATGGTTTATCAGTTGCTAGACCATGGGGAACAGTAGAAAGTATGCGCAAGGCAGTGGTTCAGTGCTTACCCGCCGACGACTTGTGTTTCTGGCCGCCATTTGTCATGTCCTTGTTTGGTATTTACAATTCTAGAAAAGAATGGTTTCGAGATTTCTTCAGGGCGTCGAGAACATGTTGCAATTGCTTTCGGGATTGTGTCGCTTGCCTGTTCGAGCTATGCTATGGACTCGTCAGAAAGCAACGATAGTCTTCGATAAGGTTGATGTCATCGATTCTTCCGAGGTACCGAGCTGTTTGCTTTGGTTGCATTCACACTTCACCGCCTTAGGACCGTACTCCGAACACCAACCACATTTTCGTCTGGCTATGAAATAACGCCGATGCATGTTTGACCAACCCGGAATCTTGTATTGGTACGAGTGGTATCTTGTTTGAAGGTAAAGAGGCATTGAGGAAGAAATTTGAATACATCAGAAGCGTAAATGTATAATACAGGGTAGGCGCATGGAAATGCTTAAAGTACACGAGGATATTCTCCTTCGACCGCGGAAGAAGATTCATCGGATGTTTCCCGAAACAGCGCTTTTAGAGTATGGGAGAGTGTGATCCAGGGAAAAGAACGCCGTGACAAAGAGCTCATACAGATGGCGCAAATCAAACCCGTGAATATGCAGAACAAGAAAGTAATGTCGTGCGTTATGCGAGGAAAAGACGGAAGAGTGAGCCTGCGAGCTTAAATGTACTCTCTCGCGCTCTTTTGAAGTTCGATCAGTCTCCATCCGCGAGTCTCGGGGTTGTGTACGTCCTCGGGCAGTCTGGTAACTCCAATGGCGTATGTGACTTGCTGGACCTTGTCCTCCATACCAGAGGCGAGCTGGCCAGTCTTCTTGTTCTTGTACACGTGCACCTCCTGAGTACGGCACATGATGACAAAAACGGGAATGTCACCAGGCTCCAGCAGGCGTGCGTTGAGTACATCGACGTTGCGGATATCCAGAATACGACCGTCAGATACGAGGCCGTGCTGAGTGTATTGTTGCATCAAGGCGGCGTAGACTTGGTATTGTGCTGCACTCAGCCACTGTTTGAGGACCTCGGTATCGCCCTTGACGTAAGCATCGAGGACTTCGGGGAGGATGTACTCGCGCATCTCTTGCAACCAAGGCTCCATCTGGAAGCTGGGGTCCATCTCGCGGAACTTCTTGATGACCTTGGCTGTCTCGTTCTCAGCAAAGAAACCAGCCACGCGGTCGCTGATGCTACGGGCGGTGGAGATCAAGGGGTTCTCGGATTCGGCGTAGGTGTTCTTGAAGGCAAAGAGGCGTTGCATGGTCTTGCTGCTGTCGCGGAACTCGCGCCATGACTCCTTCCAGGCGGCGTCCTTGTGGACAGTAACGTTGACTCCGGCNNACTGTGACTGATGTTAGCACGAACAATCGGTGTAGAGACAGATCTTCACTTACTCGGGGTCTTCAACCAAGGGCTCGCCCGAAGGTCTGCGACCCTCAGCAATGTCTTTTGCTTCTCTTGCCTCTCTGCGCTTTCTGCGCTCTTCCTTCTCGACCCAACCACCATAACGCATGGAGCTACCATCATCGATGACCTCCTTGACGTTCTTGAATGCCTCGGTCTCTCTTACAGGACGAGTGGCCTTCTCGAGTCCCGAACCGACTGCACCAGCACTGTATCTAATGCCCTTGACAACGCTAGTGTCCCATGTCCAGGCAGCACTCTTGCCAATGGCTCCAGCGGTGGTCTTGATGGTGCTTCCAGCAGCGGACGAAAGAGCACCAGTGCTCTTCTCATATGCGGCGCGAGCCTTTTGAACGTTGGGATTCTCGGTGAAGTCATGAATGCTACCAGACAATTGCTTGGTACCTTCGTTCCACTCCTTGCTCTCCTTGAACTCGGTCTGCAGCGTCTCGGTAAAGACCTGCCATGGGGTCTTGTTGCCGTGCTTTGGTGGTGGGGGCTTCTTGTCCTTCTTTTCCTTCTTCTCGGCACCCTCGCCTTCGCCTTCGCCTTCGGCAGCTTCACCTTGAGCCTCCTCGCCCTCCTCCTTCTTCTCCTTCTTGGGCGCATCATTTGCCGGGTCAGGCACGTAGGCACCGGCGTCACGGGCAGCAGTGGCTTGGTAGATCCTCTCGGCTTCGCTCATGGGCTCGTCGACCTTCTTTGCCTTTTGAGCAGGCTCAGACTTGGTCTCGGCATCTTTTGATTGCTTAGCAGCAGCCTCTGGCTTGGGCTCTTCCCTTGGGGCGGATCCCTGAGCAGCGCGTTGACGCTTGCGCTCAGCCTGCATTTCCTTGAATGAGACTGAGCGCACGAAGGTGGTGGCGACAGAGGCAGGAAGGAATGGCGAAGATAGTCTCGAGGGTGTCGACGCAGCGGCAGAGACCAATGGAGATGTGACGTTCGAGCGGTTCAAGACATGTGTGGATATCCGGCGGTATGCAGCCGTTCGGCCCTGGAAGGAAGGCGCATTTCGAGCGATATTCGTGGGAGCTCTAGGCAAGAGCACTTGTCGACTTAACGAGCTCATGCTGGGATGTGTGTGTTGTGTGAGAGGCAAAGGACAGAGGGTCTCCAGAAGTTGTCGCCCGCTGTTGGCCACGGAATGTTCGAGAGTGACTGCAGCTACTCAAAAAACGCGGAAGCGCCAAGGCCGACTTCCGCCGCATCTCCAAAGAATTCCAGGCCTCGTGCTTGCCAGTTGCATACAGCTCCTGCCTGCCAGTACCATCTCTCGCTGTCGCCAACCACACATCCGTCATGAACGTCTTCCGACCACTGGCCAGATTGGCCGTCCGCCCCTCCTCTATCCTTCCGTCACCACTCACTCGCGCCATCTCTTCAACACCACCGCCCGCCGCAGCCGCACCATCAACCAGACGAGGCAGCGCGCTCGAACTCGGCGACTGGATCAGTCGCCTAGGCAGCAACGGCTCCAGCGGCCCTCCTGGAGTCAACATCGAAGTCGGCCCCCTCAACCGCACCGCATGCACATCTACGCGACAAAGCACAACACCCACATCACCCTCACTCAGCCCCCGAAAAAGGACCCCGCAAACCCTGGCAAGCAAATCGACGTCTTGATGTCGCTTTCTGCCGGCAACATTGGTTTCAAGAAGGCTGGTCGTGGCAGTTATGATGCTGGATACCAACTCGCTGCGTTCGTGCTCAAGCAAATCCAAGAACGTGGTCTCATGCGTGATCTGCACAGTCTAGAAGTCGTGCTGCGTGGCTTCGGCAAGGGAAGAGAGGCTGTCACAAAGGCCTTGTTGGGTTCAGAGGGCTACTTGGTCAGGAATAAGATCAGCTCGGTCAAGGATGCTACCAGACTCAAGTTTGGTGGTTCCAGAAGTCCCAAGCCCAGAAGATTGGGTTGATCACGACATATTCGGCTTGTCTTCTGTTCGTTTTCTGGAGCTGCTCCTCATGGCTTCACATCTTTACAAGTTTCTCATAGCCTCAAAAGGATCGGCACGGCGTTGGTTGGTTGGAGGGGGTCGTTACGCCTCTTGTATGTTAACTTATTGCACTATACATCCCCAAGTGTCGTATGCATGCATTGTATGAAAGTCATGCTTGGACTGGTATCATTTGCGTCTATCATAACGCGCACTGAATAAAAATTTGCTCGCTCTCATGAATATGCCATTAACCCTGCTTACTTCATCTGCCACCACGGCCTGCGCCGCCGGCACCGCCAGCACCGCCAGCACCTCCCATGAAGTTCTTTGCCCTGTGATTTCTGTCAGTAACGCGATCTTGTACATAAGATGAACCTCTACTTACATCTCAGCAATGCTGGGGTCGTTCATCAAGCTGGACAGATCGGGCATGCCGCCGCCCTGACCGCCAGCACCTCCGGCTCCGGCACCGCCACCGCCGAATCTATCGGCCATCTCTCTGACACGAGGGTTGCTCATCAGGTTGTTCATCATGTTGGGGTCCTTCATGAGGTTTTGTGCCATCTGCTGCATCATGGGGTTCTGCATAAGACTGGCAAAGTCGGGCATGCCACCAGCACCACCTGCGCCACCTGCACCACCACCGCCGAACATGCCGGCAAGGGATGAAAGGTCGGGCATACCACCGGCACCGCCACCAGGAGCGCCGCGGGAAGAGTCCTCAGTCACACCGCCCTCCTCTTCAACTCTTCTTCTGGCAGTCTCGTAACCACGCTTCATGGCGTCACTGCCTCCATTGCCCTCAGCATCGATACCGGCCTTGTATGCGTCCATGCTGCCCTGGGCGTCTCCAAGGGCGAAACGTGCGAGACCAAGTCTGCTCCAGGCCTTGGTGTACTTGGGGTCGGCAGCAGTAGCGAGCTCTGCATCATTCTTGGCTGATTCGTGTTGGCCAGCACCGGAGTAGGCAGCGGCGCGGTTGGAAAGGTAGATGGTGTTCAGGGGGGCGATCTCAAGGGCCTGGGTGTAGTAGTCGATGGCGGTAGCGTAGTCCTTCTTTTGCATGGCAGCATTGCCCTGGGCCTTGAGCGACTCNNGGGAGTCGGCAGTAGGGGCATTTGACTTCTCGTTGGCGCCCTTGGAGGAAGCAGTAGGGGTGGAAGGGCGGGCCTCCTTAGCGCTGCTGGCGCCCTCGGTGCTGGCGGTGCTCTTGCCCTTGAGCTTCTCGTACACGCCGTAGATGCTGAGCAGGTTCTGTCCGCCCAGAGCTTGGGTCATGGCAGTCTTGTCGGTAGGGTCGACATGGAAGGCTTCGGCGATGCATGAAGTTGCGATCTCGATAGATTCCGAATCGTCAGACTGAAGGGTGCCGTCCTTGAGAGAGGTGTTGAGGAAGTCAATGATGGCCAGAGCCAGCTTCTTCTTTGAGTCGGACATGATGTTGGTGATGTGTTGAGAAACAAGGAGCGACGAGGGAGAACGAAGGGACAATCTCGAGGACAGCGCGACTCAATGGCCCAGAAGGTTCGAAACAGGCAGGCGGCAACAATGCGCAGTCGCCTTGGCATTTCGCGGGGTTGCTGTCGGTGGTGGGGCAGAGCGAGTCGGTGACGACCCTGCTGAATTACTGTCGGTCGTTCTTTTCAAGATACACATCACATCAACCGTCGCCATGTTCAAGAAAGAGTCAGTAAGTCAGGAAAACACTCCTCGTCCCAGAGCTTAACTCTCACCAGCTTGACACCCGGCGCCAAAAGCAAGGTCAAGTCGTCGGCCCAGCGCGCCATCCGCGCAAAGGCCATTGAGACCTACCCCCGCCTCGAGCCCTATATGGATGAAATCATGCCAAAGAAAGAACAGATCGATCTCATCAAGGTGTACGTGGATCCTCAGAAAGAGCGGGCCCAAACATTTCATACTTCGACCACAGAGGCTTCCTATCCAATATGAGCAGCCAGCACTGTATTCACATTACTAACAACTCACTCGACAGANCCCGATCGCGTCTCGCTCTACGTTCTTGGTTCCACTCCTCTCTTCTGGCAACACATGGACGACCCTCTGATACCCCACCTCTCTCTCGTCCACAAGTACCCTCAATGCTTTGACAGGATACGAATTGATCGTGGTGCCATCCGCTTCGTTCTCTCAGGGGCTGCTCTTATGGTGCCTGGATTGACATCGCCTGGCGGTCGCTTGCCCGATCCCTCAGTCAGCGAGGATGATAAGGAGGCCAACGATGGCTATGGAGGAAAAGAGCTGCAAGCAGGTGATATTGTTGTTGTTGAAGCCGAAGGCAAGGAGAGTGCTTGCCTGGTTGGCGTTCTGAAGATGAGCACAAAGGACATGAAGGAGAAGAAGAAGGGTGTAGGTCTTGAAAACGGCCACTACCTTGGTGATGGCTTATGGAACCTGTCTCTTTAGAGTCTAGGGCACCCACCACTTTTGACACGACTGCATAAGATACCTAGCCTAAAAGTTGCATGATATGAATCGATAGACAAGCGCCAAGTATGTGTCTGGAAACTAGTCATGAACTACGCTGCGAAACAGCGGCTTGGTGATGTCGTGTGACCATATCCCAAGGAGAATAATCGTTCTCGAAGCTGCCTCACTCCAGACTTCTTGTAGATATCGTGTAGCTCAACTTCAGCATATATCGCATGTTAGTCTTGCAACCTTCTTGACGACTAATCTAGTAGACACAGTGCAAGATGTTACCTAGTCTATAGAGTTGTGTTAAGCAAGAATAAGGTATGTAGTGATGGTCGTAGTCAAATCCCCATTTCAAGCAACGCCCAACCCACTCTCATCTCTTTCCTGAAAAGCCTCGAAGCCAAAGCCAAACGACACCACACATCAAGCTCGCTTTGCAACATCTACAGCAACAATCACCACAAACATTAGCCGACCATCAATCCCAAGCGCTCTAACAAGTTAAATCGACTGTGTGGAATAAAGAAGAGATCACCTCAGGTCGCCGGATTCCCCGGACCCTGACGATTTTCCACGGCCGCGGTCGGGGAACAGAATTGAAAGAAACCATGGACAACTTCGCCAGCGAGACCGACAGCGACTACACCAGTTATTGGCGGGATTGGGTAAGTGACTTTTCGTTGTGATCATGATTTCCTTTCATTCCCGTCACTTTGCGCAAAAGAGCGAGATGTCGGCTGGTCGACGAGAGACCCCATCACATGCGGCGAGCCGTGAGTCTGGCGTGAGCGCTGGACGGTCAACGCTGCCACGAACTGCAGGAAAGTCGTGGATTGCCGTCAATTCAAAAGGATGTTGTGGTTGCAAAACTTTGTGCGACTGTCATCTTGCATTCGACATACACCAACATGACTTACAACTGGGACGGCATCGTGTGGACCTACGACAAGACTTGGATCAACAGGGCGCGTCATCTCCTTGAATTCTATATCGATGTCCATGCCAGAGAGCGTCAGGATGAAACATGTCGCTGTGCCATGACCCTTCAAGAGGAGATCGCTGTTTTGCATGTTGCGTAGGGAAGCTGCGCACATCGTCATGACGCTTCTCTTTGCACCATCCCCATCGCGTCGCTTTCTCATCAGAAGATCTCAGAATGCTAACTTGTGGGCTACAGTTCGTCTCGTCTCGCGGCAATGAGTATTACTGCGAAATCGACGAAGACTACTTGACCGACCGCTTCAACCTGACCGGCCTTAACACGGAAGTTCAATACTACCAGTATGCGCTCGATCTCGTGACCGATGTCTTTGACATGGAGGTCGACGATGACATGCGCGAACAGATCGAGAAGAGCGCCAGACATCTCTACGGTCTCGTGCATGCGCGCTACATTGTGACGACTAGAGGTCTCGCAAAGATGGTAAGCATTTATCTTTTTTCTACTTTCTTTCTTATCAAATCTACGGCCTTCACATACACAAGAAAAACATCACCGACTAACACGCCATGCAAAAAGCTCGACAAGTACAAGTCCGGCACCTTTGGCAAATGCCCCCGCGTCATCTGCGACCAACAACATCTCTTGCCCATGGGTCTCCACGACGTCCCCGGCACCTCAACCGTAAAACTCTACTGCGCCAAATGCGAAGACATCTACAACCCCAAGTCATCTCGCCACAACGCCATTGACGGCGCCTACTTTGGCACCTCCTTCCACAACATTCTCTTCCAGGTGTACCCTGCCATGCTGCCACCCAAGACTCAAAGACGCTACGAGCCACGCATCTATGGCTTTAGAGTCCATGCTGCTGCTGCATTGATGAGATGGCAGGAGGAGAAGAGAGAGGAGATGAAGGATAGACTCAGAAAGGGAGGATTGGAGACGGGCTTTGAGGAGGAAGACGAGGAGCTCGAGGACGAGGACAGCGAAGAGGGCGATGAGAGCAAGGATGGCATCGATGACATGTTTGAGGCTCCTGCTCCTACCGTGCAGTAGAGTTTTGCGGCTGAACAGTATGCTGCATGCTTGCTAGCGAGGAGGCACAGAGCTTGAGGTTTCTTTTTCTTTTTTTCTTTTCTAATCTCGCTCATCATTTGCCTTTCCTTGGATGCGGTCGCCTGTTTCGCTAGGATAGAGAGGCCTTTTTCTTTGTGTTATTGTTGCATTGCTGGGAATTGCTGGTGCAAATCACTGCAGTTTGCAGCATCTCTAATTTGAGCCTTTGCATTGCTTCCAATTGAATTACTCTTCGGTGCTTCCAATATGTCTCTGTCTTTTGAATTATTCCAACGAATGTTTTTGATGCTTGCCAACGACCATTCTTATGCTCTTCCTGCGCGACCCATTTGAATAATTTCGCCAGTGTGCTTCTCGTCTCCACGCAATACCGGCCATGAAGCACCATCTGCCTTGACGAGCCTCAATTCCAGCTTCGTACCCATGACGCTGAACTCGCTCTTTGCCTTGTCAATCGTGCCAAACAACGGCACGACCTGTTGGAACCTCTTACGGTCACTCGTCCTCAAATCCAAGTCCACGGCCTTGTCTTGAAACTCGACCTTTGAGATTGCCTTGTCAATCTTCTTCAAATACAACGAAGCCATGACTTTGTCGGGTGTCTGGTAAAAGTCATGTCTTACGCTCTCCAATTTTTCCTCTCCGTCGTCTTTCTTTGCACCAACGAACAAATGGCGTGATTTAGTCTTGCAACCGGGGATGCGGAGGAACTCGTCAAACTCCAGGACCCGGCGTTTGCAGCATGACCAGCCCTTGCTGCCTTCGTGGAAGATGGGGGCACCTGGGTGGTGCTGACAGTTCTCGTCGTCACTGCGAGGAGCGCCTTTGTGTGTCACGCCACAGGCCTTGCGCTTGCATGTTGCATTATCAGGGACTGGGGTGTCTGGGTCGTCGTCTTCATCCTCTGGGGGTGCGGGCGAAGCAGGTGGTTGTGGGGCTTGAGCTGTGGGAGCGCGACCGGGTGCTGCTGGCTCAGGAGCGGGTGTAGATGTGGATGCCAGTGTAGGGGCGTCGGCGGGAGTGGCCTTTGGTTCTTCGGCGGGCGTGTCGTCTACGGTGCTGTGTTTGCCCGTTGTGCAAGGAGGTATGGTCATGAATTCGTCAAAGGTCAGGACGCGGGGTTTGCAGCATTTCCATCCTTTCTGTCCCTCGTGGAAGACTGGCTGTTATAAGCGGTTAGCTTGCTATGCTTAAAGCACTGGATCAGTTGAATTGCCTACTGGACCAGGATGATAGACGCATTCTTCATTGTCGTCGGCGAAGGTCTTGCCGCAGCCCTTGTGCACACACTTTCCGGGCATCTTGACTGCTAGTAATGGGAAAACAAGAACGTGTATTGAAAGAGCAAACACAACGTCAAGTCTGGTGATCGTCGAAGCTGGAGCATGCGGGTCAACTTTTGGAGCTTTCTAGAATGACGTTTGGGGAGCTGAGGGAAGGTTCAACCGAGCTTGCTTCGGCCGGTTGCGCTTTCCTTCCAGAGTTCTACAATTCAGCCTTCTCTGCTCAAGCAGGAGCAGCTACTTCGAACACAACGATGCATGAATGACAGAGCTGAACAGCTGCTCCAACAATCCGTCGCTTGGAAGCATCGAAAATAGTAGAAGCGTCCAGATGCTATTCCTTAACAGCGTATTGTGCTACGGCAGCAAGCTATGCGCACATGTTACGAGGCAAGCCGTCATGCATGTACCTTAATGACCAAGCGACGGAGAAGAGGTAAATCGAACATGTAGCCGATAGTCCCTTCGATCTTCATGCTTCCGTCTCTACACAATCTCGGACTGATCATTGATGGACTCCAAAGCTATAATACCATCCTCGTCCTCGGCCGAGAAGCTCATTGTGTTCTGCGACGGCACCTGGTGCGGACCGGAACATGGCACGCGAACTAACATACAGCTGTTGGCCGAGATGGCCGGAATCGATATGGATGCTAGAAAAGGCTCAAGAGAAATCCAAGATACCTCACGGCGACTGAGGGCCAAGTACTTCAACGGGATAACTTGCAACTATTTGACATACAGCCTCGGCGCAGCACCCGACAACATTGGACCACTTTGCCTTGAGATATATCGGTATATCACTCGAGCTTACGATGATGGAACAGAGATATGGCTATTTGGTCTAGGTCGAGGAGCTTACGCTTTGCGATGCGTAGTCGGCATGATCGACAATTGTGGTATTGTCAAGAGCCCGACCGATGAATTATGCGATCTGGTCTATCGAACTTATACTTCAACTCGAGAGAACGACAAACCCTCCTCGCAACAAAGTACATATTTCCGCACAAGGGCTAGCTGGGACGTAATCACACCTGTAAAGATCATGGTTCTGCTAGACACAATCGGCGGCGTCAGCCATGGCTGTATTGACACTGGAGCTATATCCTCATGTCCAACACTTGCAAATGAAGTCGCTCCAAGCGTTGTGGAAAAGGTTTTTCATGCCTGCTCCATACACGATCGCCTGCCATTCCTCCAGCCGTGTCTTATAAGCAGAGCAGATCACAACACGACACCTCAGATATACGAGACTTGGTTTCCAGGCTGCCACTATGATATTGGACGACAAAGCTGTCAATTCTTTCCTAGAGGGTGGCTCTATCTNTTTCCAAGGCTGCTTAGTGGTGTTGTTGAGCCGAACCATGTGCTCAGCAACGCAGTTCTGTGCTGGATCCTGCAATCTGTTGCCCAACAGTTCCCATCTCAGACGGTATTTCAAGACACCCATTGGCAGATCGCTTTCCTGAAAAAGTCAATTCAGTCACCTGCGACTAGTACTGGCTCCGGTGATGTATATCAACCTTCGAAAACTTCTCTGTATGCACCCTTGGGCCGTATACTCACTCGGCTTCCTATCGTCCCTGCCATCTTGGAAAGTGTCGTATCTGTGCTTCCACTCCAGGACAGAAGGATACCAGATCATGAGGCCAACATCCTCGACTTCGAATCTCCTTATCATCCAGACAACGAGAAGAGTTTAGCACAAATGGCGAAAGTGGATATTCACAGGTATCCCTCAAGGACCCACGAAGCCTGGAAAACATGGACGAAGCATACTGCCACAGCCAAAGACAAGAAAGCAATGTCCTGGGCGGACAATCCAACTTGTAGCACGAAGCCTCTCCAAATCGAACCAAAGCCACTCGAGGATCTCTCTACACCTTTTCCAAGCCCCAAAAGCGCATACAAAGAACACATCAATATCTCCAGCCCCTCTTCACGGCGCGACTCAGCAGACCCCCGTCCACGACATCAGCGCTCCTCATCCCTACTCCAGAACATCGTCCTCACAGCTTCCGACGATACCCTGATGAGAGCAGTCATAGACTCGGACGTAAACCTGGTACAAGACCTCATAACACAAAAGGCTTCCGAGCTGGCGTTCGACTTTGAGTGGTTGAGCGAATTGATCGACTTGGGATATGGTGTGGAAGATATTGCAGCAGTGCTTATCGAAGAGGAAGCAGAGGCGCCGTGGCTTGTTGTATCTGGGGGCAATTTTGGCAAGAGGGCGCTGAAGATGGCGAAGAGATTGGAACGTAAGAAGAGAGCAGAATTTTGTTCTTGATTTGCGCTTCAACGATATGTCTCATGATTATCTAGATCCAACGAGCTCATGTGGGCTTCGAGCGTCAATCGACTCCAAGACTGGAGTGCAAGAAGACAACAAGAGTTTCGTCTTAAGTTGGGCTTAGGTTACTACTTCCTCCTTATTGAGATCTCAACAGACAACAATCCCATCATTCATCAGGATCTATAGTACTAAACATTGTTGAGTAACATCGGTTCTCTGAGTAAACCAGAAAATATCTAATCATATATACCACATAAGACTTCTATACATGTTCATCAGTCATAATACATACATAAGGCGCAAGTGGGGAGACTCCATGTATCTGTCATTCAACCAGACCAGCCGCCCATCCCATCCAAAACTCCATGGTCGTTCCAAAACTGCTGCCCCTGATCCATCGGGAGAACTTCTCCAAAATACATCCATTGCTGCTGCAGCTGCCGAGCTTCAGTATTCTGTTGGGGTCCATTGCTCATCCACGGCATGTCAAGATCATGATATTGCTGCGGCTCCGGCAACAAAGGTTCCTCATCAGCTGTCGTCAGAGTGTCGTTGATACCCATGTCATTCAAGTCCTGAAGGAAGGTGGAAGGTGGAGTCGGAGGAAGTATAGAGTGGTTGATAACGGTCGGTTCACTGGTAGTAGCGCGGGATCTACTTTGCCACTGCAGGAATAATCGTTCTATAGATCTTTGAAAGACCTGTCGTGTAAAGTCTGCAAGTTGATCTTGCTGATGACTGCCAGAAGGCATGTTAGCGTTGACAAGAGTCGTTACTATATCGTGTCCTTCATGCGTGCAAAAGTCGCGGAAGGCCGAGAGCTCGGCAGAGAGTGTAGTATCCATGACTATCATGTATCAGTAACAGGACAAGCATGTTTTGATCGAACGCTGACTCACAGGGTGACTCCGGCTTCCTCGCCCCTGGAAAGAGAAGTGCAAACATCGAGTACCAGCTTTCTGATATCGATCTGCTCGTAACACGACGCTTGAGTTTTCGCATGGTTGACTCATCGATGCCTTCGAGACGGCGCTCGGGGGTGGTCTCGCATGTGTTTGCTCTTACGTGTCGGTCTCGAGCATCTGTGTTATTGCGGAAGACTGAGTAGCACTTGGGACAGTGGATAGGTATGCTATGCACACGCTCAAGATGTTGCCTGAGCATCTGAATTAGCATGACCATGGCATTATCAGATCATCTGAGACCACGTACTTTACCCGAGAAACACCTTTGAGAACGAACGTATAGCACTTATCGTACTTGAGCGGGTCGAACTTGACAAACGGGCACGCCATGGGAGGAAGATCTTCATCAGATCGAGCAGCCCTGCTCTTTCGCTTTGGTGGCTGTTCATCTTCATTACCATCACCATCCTCTGCTAAATTACGTCTACGCTTGCTTCCAAGCGGATGAAAGGGTAGACCACTCGCTCCAAACCCATCGGCTCCAGCGTGATCGTCGAAGCTAGACGGATGGCTAGAGTTCGATGACTGTTGCCCGCTGTTGCCTGGTGCGATTTGACGAGATGGAGAATAAGCAGTCAACAAGCATTGTACGGCCAGTCTGAGCAGAGGTTGGAAAATGCTATCACAATCGCCTGGGTCTATGTCGAAATCGGTGTCCGTGGTTGGATCGTCCAAGTCGGACTCGAACAATGAAGTTGCGTATGTGCTTGAGCTGTAAGCAGCCAGTGGTGGCTCCGTATATTCCGGGGATGAAGGTACACCGATCATCAGGTACGGGGAATGTATGTCGTCCATGAAGTCTGCGGAAGTGTCCATCATCTCTATGGGCGAAGCTTGTGCACGCATGTCGACTCCAACGTCATCGGATATCAGGATGGTCGGGGGATCGGTACGTCTGGTCCCTATATAGAGAGGCTGAAGTGTTTGTAGAGAAGACTCGGAAGAATAGGACGCAGAGACTGATAGCGTTGAACTTTGTGCATGACGCTGAGGCAAAGAATTAGCATGCTCAGGGCCATACTGGATATGTCCGGCCGAACTTTCAGCGTAGTCACTGTCCTCGTCGTCTGACAGAAGCTCCTTGCGAGATCGATGTCTAGTCTTGATCTTTTTGCCTTTAGCCTTCTGCCGACTGGCGACTCGACAGGGTAGTTGCATAGAGTCAGGGATGCATTCAGATCTATCAGATCGTCAGTCACTGGCATGCTGCATATATACCGGTGCATAACGTACTTGACCAGCAGTTCAGCAACTTGAGCCTCATCGTATCTGTGTGTCCCTTCAAGATGAGCCTTGAAGTTGTCTTTTCGTGGCCATATCTTGTCTTTCTTCTGGCAAGTAGGAGCAGCACATCGGTAGTAGAATTTCGAGGTCTTGACAGTCAGCATACTGTGGCATGTCTTCTTATGTCGTGCCAGGTCATGTGGAGAGGCAAAGCCGTTGTGGTTGTCGCACCCTGATACATCACACTTGAAAGGACGAGTGTGTGTCAACATATGCTTTCTGTGGGTGGTTAGTATCATGCAATGGTAGAGAAATTGGAGAACTGACCTTCTGTCCGCGTTGTTGCTGAAGTAACGACGCTTTTCCGATTCCTCGTAACAGATCTCGCAGTACTCTGGAACCTGACTGTGTGCTAATCCAATGGTGTTTGGAGGGGCATCTGGTCCAGCCTCCACACCATGTCTGTCGGTAAAATCTATAGAGCCGTAGCCACTGTCACTGATCGAAGGCCTAGGTTTGACTTTGACGACGGGCAGAGCATGTGTGTCTTGGAAAGTACCATTACGGCACCAAGACAGCCATGCCTCTTCGTTCTTGATGGGCAGCGGCATACTCTCTGCTCCATATCGATCATCCAGGGACGTCTTTCCAATGGACGCTGGGCGAGTTATTGGCAGAGGTGTGCTGAAATTATATAGTTGGTTATCGGCTTGGGTCGTCGACGAGAAGAGTTCGAAGTCTTTGTTGAGACAATCTTGAGAGAACTCCTGGTCTACGGTCAGTATTTTGGTTTCGCAATCGAGCAACGAAGACCGACGTATGGAACTATTGGGTTGTGCCAGGCCATTCGAGGATGAAGTGATTATGTATAATATCAGTATATGGATATTGATGATCTTGTATGTTCGATGATCTGGTCCTCCCTCTTTCTGGAGGGATATTTAGTGGAAGCAAAATGGGCGGTATGGAAGGGAAGGTATGGTGCAACATGAGGGAAACATGGTGGTGGTGGCAAGTCACAGTCATATAGACGGGTACACTCTACTGAAGATGGCTCCTCCCTCACACCTGCGTATCTGGCACACTTGTGTTTATTCACACAGCTAAGCCTTGCTGGATAATGTCATAGCGGGGTTGCGTTCGGGGAAGGAAGCCTTTGATGCGATCAGCTCCTGCCGCCAGTTCGACCACAGCTCTATCACAGCCTCACGCTCCCCGGTCGGACACCGCCGAAAACTGCGATTGACCCCTGATAGGAAATGTCAAGAAAGCAGTTCAAAGACGACGCAAAGGTGCGCAGAGTCAGAACCCGTATCAGCACGTCGTCTTGGCACCATTGATTCGAGAAGACGTCCAATCATTCGAAATGGCGCCTGCACGCATCTGCCGTGTCGACCATCATCCGGATGGGCACATGATTGTCTCACTGCGGGCCAAGCCTCAATGACAGCACACTTGTTCCTGCTGGTTTTTGCTGCGCCAACCTTCAAAGTACTATCCAATGCGGATGTCGGCACCTCAGGATTCGCGACAAGGGTTCGATCTCAGATTCACACAACCAGGAAGCTGGATTCGACAAGTCAGATGGCACATGACCCCAGACGGGGCATTTTGACTATACAAATACGGAAGTATACAGCGAGCGGGGACGGTTTCCGATCTCCCCTAGAAGCCAACGACCCTTCGTTTCTTCTTTGCCGGTTTCCCACCAAACCGCCCTGGCTGAATTTGGCTAGTAAACATGTTCGGCTGAGCTTGGGAGCTCGCTAACGACTGGGTGCCCTGAGTTGCTGCCCTGGCAGAATGAGGCACATTCGGTGCTTCGCTTCTAGAAGGTGTCGCGAATGCAGGCTGACTCGCACTTACGATGCCGGGGACTTGGCTATTTGCGAGGTCCATGGCGGATGCTTNTTGCGATTCGCGCCTTTGCTTCAGAAGTAACCTCTCGGCACGACGCTTTAATCTCGCTCGCTCCCTCGGTGTCAGGTCTTCATCCTCTTCCTCGGCCTTCTTCTCCTGCTCTCGCTGAACGGCAAGCCAATCGTACTCATCTGGGCTACCGCCAAGAGTCCAGTGCGCAAGCGTATTAGTTAGTCCTTTGGGTAGAGGAGCTGGTGTGGATTTTTCTGGCGAGAACGTGGTGTAACGTCGAAGACGTGCGAACTCGGAGGACACTAAAGTCGATGGGTGACTGGACAACGATGTAGCTGTAGTCAACGAAGGTGTGGCTGTTGGTGACGGTGTCGGCAGGGATGATTGAGGGAAGTACATTTGTGAGGAGAACGCATCCTCTGTACCTTGCGTCTCTGCTGCTGTCTCTTCTTCAGCTGGCTTCACTGGTGGCATCCTGAGAACGTGGCTTGCAAGACATATACCAGCGGCGATTCTTCGCGCTAGCTGTTCCTTGACAAGTCGCACTCTTCCAGGCACTGTCTGAGATAGTGGTGCCAGCCAATGAGCTACGATGGTGTCGTAGACGGTTGTTAGATCCATATTGCTCTCGAGACCAAGACTCAGGGCAAAGTTGCTGCTAATGCACGCAAGTTGTAAATTCTGGTCAGCCTGTTCCAGATCTTCTTCATGCTGTGATCTAGAAGAAATCATATCCTTGAATTCTGCAGCGGCTTGATCTATGTCAGGCACCAGGACTTGATCATCATAGAGCTCTGACAACAGTGTATGGCCGTTCTCAGCAGTCCTAGAGACCTTGAGGGCTTGCTCCACTCGGACGATCATGCGCGAGAAGTCTTCCGCTTGCGATTTTGCCCCGGTAGCCTGAGCATGAGCGAGCTCGTATAGCATGGTCCAGTTGTCGCGGGATGACTTCAGTGTGTCGACAAGAGACGACGCTGTTTCATCCTGCTCTTCTCGGGTGTTCGCTGGCCCTTGGTTGACCATTGATCGTTCCACGAAACCAGTCTCCTGCAATCGTGGAACACTATGCGCAAGTCTTCCACGCCAATCGGGAGGCACGACATCAGTTAGTGACGACTCAGCCACCGTGCTGGGTAACGCGTAATAAAGTTGCTGCACAATCGTCATATCGCTGGTGATAGCGGTCGTAACAAAGAACCTCACAGACGTGTCTTGATAATTTTTCCCAGGACCGGATGGTTTCTCATGGTGTCCGCTCTCTCCATACTCCGCAGGCTGGATCTGGAAAGTCAAAGCCGCAGGCGAAGCAGTTGCAGTGGAAGGAAGCTCGGGCAAAACGAATTGAGTAGCATCAGCAACTTTCATGAACTGAGGACAGGACTCGTCCAACGTGAAGCGATGGCTCGTTGCGAGCGAGCTTAAGGAAGATTTTATCAATACAATAACATNCTGTGAGAAGTCAGCATTGGAGCTTTGCTGTCAACGGTGTATGTGTGGCATACCTAGCTCGTCAACGAAGTTAGACAAACCAAGCCCCATGTCCTCGGAGTCTCTGAAGTGCCTGCATTGCAGCACAATCTCAGCGCCAGCAGTGCTATAACTCTCCGGGTCGAATTCATCTAGACACCGTATGCGTAGGCAGAACAAAGATATCGAGGTCAAAACAAATATGAGGGTTGGATCCAGAGGGTTAAGCATGATGTCGAGGATCCAGTGCGGAGTTCCGACAATTCCAAGATCTGGAGATTGCAGTCTGACAGGCTTTCCTTGAATGTCATAGATACCCAAACATCTTCTACTGGCAGTAATGATGGTCTGTACGTTGCCAGCCCATATTGCTCTACCCCAACCGTCGTCTAAGAGACTAGCAGTAGTTTCATGGTCTGGGATAGCTTGATCGTTGGTAGCTCCGCGACAAAGTTCGATAGGCTTACCATGCTCAGAAGGGACTTGTTTTAGACTCGAATCCCAAACATGCCAGGAGCCGAATTGGTCGACGGTAGCAAACTGCTTGGGATACCAGTGGTTGAAGGCCACATGGGCAGGCGCCAAACCACCAAACAGGTCCAGATTTAGAGTACACAACTGATCTGTGTGGAAACGAGATGGCGTACTAGTGAGAGAGTTCCATGACGACGCGTGTTTCCTTGCAGCAACGCGCAGAATATGTACAGCAATGGTGGTGCGAACTGCCAACGTCCGGGCCAGATTGGAGTCCTCGTCGGCGTCTGCAAAACAGATTTGGCGGATAGGATGAGGAGCATGCCAGGTTCCAGATTCGCCAGAGATTCGGGGAACGTCGATCCAAATAGATTTGTTTCGCTCCCAACCGTGTTTCTGAGGCTGGACCTGAACAAGGCGCAATATTTGGGCATGATCGGGAGCAGGAAATGCTACGATTGGTATAGAGCGCTTTATGGTGTGATCTGGCACACGGCCAAAAGCCAACAAGTGGCCAGCGGTCGGATCATGACGAGCGACTGTCTTTTGAATCTCTTGCGACAAAAGGGCAGGTTGTGCGAGGAGATGTGTACTCGGAGCAATGGCTGGATCATAGTGGAGCAGCGAAGCGAGTTGGCGATTTAGGTGGACGCTCGGTTTCTCGGTAGGAGTTACATCTAATCGCGATTGAGAGTGTTGCGACTTGAAGACAAGCTGTGGTGTGCCGAGAGGCTGTAATGTGAACGAAGACTCGAGATTCCTGGGAAACGACCAGGCCTGGTCGTCGGGATTGTAGATGATTTGACCAAAATGACCATATTTCAGGTCAGAGGTGGATTGGTCAGCCATGCGGCCTCTTCCTAGCTATGCGTGATAATGGGTCAGAGACGGACTGAATCATTGCCGGGAAGAAGGTGGTCGCCGAATTTTGTTGACGGTGTGATCTGAAAGCTGGATTAATATATGTATTAGATGGTGGCCGGGAGCTCTAGATGTTGCATATGTCGAGGTAGTGAAGTAAAAGAGAAATTCGTCGTCAAAAACTTGTCGAGATTGAAGCGCGTCAGGACTTGACCGGGCCCTCGGCTCTATAGCCGGGGGCGTGCTGACCACTGACCATCATCACCTCGCCAGACAATGTCTCCAACCTACCCATTCTGAAGCAGAGGATCGATTTATAGTGATGCAATACATAGCTCAAGCGGTCTTTTGCTTGACAATCCATAACTCATCCCGAGAAAAAGCCGAGTCGCAAGGGCGTCCCATGGGCTTCCTTAGTGAGACGCGAGTTGACGTCGTCCGTGCCCCCAGCGAGTCCCTGGCAACGCCGAGTGGAGTTTGTGTTTACTCCAAATCTTCCAAGTTCCAGTTTTGGCAAGCACGACACACACATTTGCTATCACAGTCCGTCTATACCACATCGCATATCGAGCATCCACAAGCATGGCCGCCGTCATGAACACTCCCAGCCATCCGCGATTCGATGCCTCCTTTGGCGCAGGCGGTTTGCGCGGCCCCTACCTCACTCCCGATCCGCCGTCAATGGTCGACCAGCTTCCTAGCATTAAATTCGGTTTTGATGATTTGCGCGACCGCATGGCTCGTTTTACCCAGCGATTTGACGACTTTATCGAACATGGTCGCAAGCGCGTGCTTGAGGAGCGCAACCATTTCCGCATCAACATGTCTGAGATCCAAGGTCAGTCAACTACACCACAACAGTTGCTCGCTTCAGCATACTGACAATGCTACNNAGAATCGCAAAGATCAAGACGCAGAGAGCTCGAGGACATGTCCAACAAATCCGTCGCACACCAGAACACCCTAGCCAAAGAAGCTCAAGAGCATGAAGAGATGCAACAACAAATCGAAGAGCTCGACCTCCAGCGCCAGAATCATGAAGCCCACCGCGACGACCTCCGCTCTCAGATCTCGTCGCTACAGAAGTCCATCAACACCCGCCGACAGGCCCAACATCATCACCAGCGACAACTAGATAATCAAGCACGTCACAACCGACCCGAGCTACAGTTTTGGGAGTCCCATCTCTGCATGCGCATTGAGGGTTTGGGCATCGATGACAGAATCAAGTTTGTCTACACACATGTAGATGAGAGGGATTGGGACCGTCAGTGCGCATTCGAGCTGAACATGGAGACAAAAGACTACCAAGTTGTAGCGGTGGAACCTGCATTGGATGACGAGGCCATCGATGCGGTTGTTGAGCGATTGAATGAGACGCGGGATTTGGCTGCTTTCCTCAAGGCCATGCGGGCTTTGTTTACTGCCTCTATCAGGCACTGATCTGCGTCGCGCCTGGGTTAGATTGTTTCTCACGATTTATGATAATGTTGATGCTGTTTCCAAACCAGAAACTCGATCTGAAATTTGAGTCGACTCTTGTGTGTTGGTGCTTTCCTCGTGTGTTGTTGCCAAAGCTTGCGTCTCCAGAAGTCACGCCCAGCCGAAACCATTCCCCTCTGTCTCCATCAATCGACCATCAACTCCATCACCACTACCACAACTCTACAATGCCTCCCACAGAGGATAAACGAAAAGCTGCGCGCGAAACCATCGACATCCTATACGAGATTTCTTCCTTGNNCTTGTACGTTGACTGATTCTATCATTATCGGGGTTTTCACGCGTCGGACGTGTGGTCGTTCTTTGTTTAACATCAATACACTCATGATCTGTATTATTGGCTTCCCTCTCTAATAGTATGCTGACGATTTTGTGATTTGCAGAACACCAACTTGGATCGTCAATCGCTGTCTTACTGTGTCTCGCTGATTGAGAATGGCGTGAACCCTGACGCTCTGGCCGTAAGTCTTTTCTGTCAACTATACTTATATTGCCCCATATCCACCTTACTTGACCATGTTAACTATCGCGAGTATACCTTTACTGACGCTTTGTCATAGACCGTCATCAAAGACCTCCGTGACCGCAACGGCGTTGCCACAGAGCCGCGTGAGAAGCAATGATTGCTTTACCTGCTACTCAACACTTTTCAATCCTTGGTGCACCGCACCGAGTGTTTTCATGATACCCAAATGTTCCTGTTCATTCCTGTTTCTTTTGGATAAAAATGCCGAAATGCTTCATTCAAAATTCAGTCCTGCCAAATTCATCCTTCATTCTCTTCATATCCTACCTCCGACCCTGCCTCATTGTATGTCTGAAGATTATATGCCGTGCCTCAAGATTTTCGATGGAGACATCTAAGCATCTATATAAACATGATCAGTGTAGAGAGTGCCTTGCAATCACCGTATCCAGTATCCACCTCAGGAACGACGATCACCAATACTTTAGATCACGGAAACTGACAATACACAGTGCGCAAATGCTTTGGGGGAAAATGGAATGTTTCGTACGCATATCAGTCTTTGCGGTTGCGATTGACAAGAGGCCTGGACTCGACCAACGCGTTCGTTCCAAAAGAAAACAAATGTCTATACTGACCGCCGAAGGGGTATCATGGAGAAATAAAACAAAAACACCGGCTCAAAAGAACGCCTCTCCGTCCCAAATTTCTCTATTTTGGGCCCTCGAACTCATAGACAGCTCCGTTTCGACTCAATACTGTGCCCAGGCCACCCACAACCTCCACCTGGAAGGGCTCAAAAGGTACCCTTTCTCCGTCTATACTGATGTATCCGGTCTTTTGACCGGGTCGCAACTTTGGACTGATGCGGTAGGCACTGACCTTGCGGTAGTTGACGACATCCATATCAAACGTCTTGTTATTCTCGACGCCTGTAATCATTTCGATTGCTTTGTGGCGCGGGATGGTCCCATCGACGTCGACCATGTCGATGTGGTTGTCGGAAGGCAGAGTAGCGGCGAAAAAGGGAGTATCGGCCGACATGTATGCCATGTTGCCGCAGTAGAAGTTGCCTAATGTGGGCTTGGACGACTTTTCCCAGTCCGCGGGCACATCCTGGAGTACAGTTCCATAACGAAGGGCGGGGAGTGAAGTATCCTTGTCACCATCTAAATCTTGATGTGCTTCCCACTCTCTTTTGCCAGAGATGTCGTGACTTTGGTTCCTGGCGTCTCTGTAGGCAGACTTGATGGCTTCCTTGTCGCCAATGTCTACCTTGACGGCGAGCTCGGCTGGGTATACGGTCTTTCCAAGGAGTCTGATCAAGATGCCGACTGTGAATCTGGCACTACCCATCCACCTCATGTTCTCGGTTCCCAAGTCGCAATCTGCTATTATGCCCACGGCCTGACTCAAGAAACTCCAGTACATCTTCTCTCCTTGTGTGACGGCCATGAGATCTAGTGGTGTGCGTACACCCTTGACAATGGCCAGAGCAGCAAAAGAGGGCGAATTGGTGCCGTTAAGGTTGATGGACATTGCATTGCCTGATCCGCAAGGGAGCTGGACGACGGCGACTGTTCGCAGAGCACGCCTTGGCTTTGGTTGCTGGGCGAGGCCGTTGAAGACTTCGTGAGGCAGACCATCGCCAGAAGCACATGCTACGACATCATAGGCATCTACGTCGAGTTGTCGAGCGATGTCAATGGCGTGACCAGAGTGTGACGTTTCTTGTGCATCGAAGTGACAGCCAGCAGCTCTGAAGAGAGGCTCGACCTCGCTGGTGTACAGCTTTTGGGCGGCTCCTTGACCACCAAAAGGATTGACCAAGACCTTGATTCTCTTGTACCTCTGCGAGTTGCCGTATGCCATGTCGAGTAGTTTGGCCAGCCATGACTTGGCGGCATTGATGGATGATTTATCGATAAGTGTGTAGGAGATGGTGGACGGACGACAAGAGTTCTTTGAAGTTGGCAGAGCATGTTGAATGGTCAACTCGAGACCATGTAGCGAAGCGTCAAGGATGTTGTAGTAAGGAATGGAATGAGTCGTCTTTGANNTCCTGGAGTTTGGGTTTAGCAGGCAGGGAAGGGTTGGCGGCGGAGTGAACCTACTGGTCGGCAGTAGTCCACAACAGTTGGCGGCCTCTCTGTGTACGAAGCGATCGTCTATCGAGCATGAGTAGAGATACTAGGGACTGAGTGAGATACGCAGCATACCCAGAATAATTGTCGCATCGGCTCCAAGGGTTAGCGAGGCATCTTCGGAGACGAAAAGCGTAGCCTCGCCTTGCAGCGCCGATGGTGTTTCGTGGAGGGATGGGTCAACGAATGGGTTGTCGACTGGCAACGACCCTTCCGACATGATGCCTCTCGAATTGAAGATAAACAATAACAGTGATGGGCGGGAGAGAATTAACTTGGGTTTCTTCTGCCTCGGAAGAGGATCATCTATTCCCGTCCAGAGCCGCGTATTCACCACGCTTGGCTCTCTTTTGTCGCAACAACTTACGTACGAGTGAGCTGCATTCTAGAGAGCTGGTCCGTTCTCTACGTCTGAATTCAACGGACAATGCAGACTACTAGATCATGTATCATATCGAAGATAATGACTTGTTCTCGTGAATGTTCTCGGTCGCAAATGTCTGAGCCTTTCTCGAGTGACGTACATAGTTCCCGCCTTATCTCCGGTCCTGCAGCTTAGGGGTCTACCAAAAGTCCTGTTGCTTCTGACCATTGCACCCAACAACCGATTGACAACTTTTCGACATGTCCACCTCACGTTCAATATCCTTGTTGGGACTTGCCTTGGTGTTCCTGAGTGTCCTCAAGGTCTCAGCTCATGGCGGTGGTCATGATCAAGCTCCCATAGCCGCCGACGCAGACTGGGCGACACGACACATGGCTGGTGAGGCTACAATCACTCTCTGCGCTCAGAGTTTCGCTAACAACTGCCTCNNAGAGGAACATCACATCAACTCCTTTGACGCCGGCTCGTTCTTCAACCTTCACGACTATGACAGCAGCGGCACATGGACCCCTGACGACATCCGCAAGACCTACGGCCTGAGAGATGAGAGCACAAAAGACCTGGCCGAAGACAAGAAGGAGGAAGTCGTGCGCAAAGTCCTAGAGCTCTTCGATAAGGACAGAAGTGGCACAATCTCGTTCGCCGAGTTCCTTGTGGCCGAAGCTCACGGCATTAAGTTACCTGACTTTGGCTACGGTCCTGGCCACCACGGTGACGACGAGTACGAGTATGAGATCCACCATTTCGAGAAGTTCCACGGAGACGACACGACCGAGGAGGACTTGACGCATCCTGAGGACATTGTGCACTTCCGCAAGCATGAAATCATGGAGCAAGAGGCAGAACGTCAGGCAAAGCTCGACCGCATGGAAATTGTCGAAGCAAACATCCCTCGAAAGTTCCGCCGTCATGGTCATTGATCGGTTTCTGAGACCCCACGAGTTCGGTCTGCAGAAGTCGTGCATTCCATCAGCATCTCTTTGTACTTGGTTGGGATATGGAGAGCATCAAGATAATTGGAGAGCTGTCCTGCTGGCTTGGACTCTCAAACGTTGTAGCAATAATTGGATTTGAAGCACCTAGAATTGAAGACACGATGTATTGACACTTGTACCACAAGACTGAGTTCTTGGACGGATGTGCAACATCTCTCAAATTGCCGTTGCCAAATGCCATGTCACCTTGATGGTAATTTGGGTAAATCTTATCATTCCTGTGAGTGAGACTGCTTTGGTGGGGTGGATGAATTTGTCTTGTTTGACTGACGCCCGAGCAGTTGACCGACAAAAGTCCTGCGTCATGTCATCTTGCTCCTTCCCTCATAAACACTGGACACCTCGCACTTTGCTGTGAGGTCTACTGTGGGATCGTAGACACCGTCGCTGCCACTCGTAGGTTTCAGTCGTCTTACGTTCTCGCGTGCGTATACGGTAGTGAGCGCTACCAATCCCTGGCCGGCTCGTTTCTCAACCGAGCAATCGTAACTGCTGTCCTCTGCGCATCTATCCACGGAAGGTGCGCTCAGTGTTGCCTGCCACAGTCTAGCTGTCGCTGCCGCCTAGTCAGCCAGTGCTTGTGAGGGCCTCCTCTCGCAACGACAACAGTCGCACACTTGTTCAGGTCCGCTGTTGTACAAACAGCTTTGCCACGCCCCTCCACTGATCACAGTATTATGCCAAAGGAGTTTTCTTTCTGTTCTCATTCGATTTTCGCATACAATGGTGCGCGCAGGTTCACGAGCTCCCTCAGTGGGACAGAGCTCTGTATCCAAGATCCGCGACCGACGCAGCAAGAAGACCTACAAGGTCCAACTCGAATCTGTCGTGACCAGAAAGAAGAAACTCAAACTCCACGTCTGTCACCTTGTCGCTCATTCCATCAAGCTTCCTTACTGAACCATCTCGACTCAGGACATTCAAGGCTCAGCAAGGCCTAAAGAAGGCTACACCTTTCTCCCTGTTGGCTACGCCGATCTAGCCGAGCGTTGTAAAGAAAAATCAAGACAACTAGGCGTCGACGTAGCTGTTGTCTCCGTGCGTACCTTCATGTCAAACTGGACCCTCCTTACAAAGCACTTCCTCCTACTCACCGTTCTTTTTCTGACCACTCACTTANNGGCTGGTACGAGACGCCCTGGACCTACAGACCCCCAGAAGCTTACCCACCACGTACACCGCGTTGGTTACCACTTCCGCTCCGACATCTTTGACCAGGCCTGCAACTTCTTGGGCTACCGTGAGGTCAATGGCAAGTTGGTCCGCGATACTGGCTTTGACACCACTTCCCGCTTTGAGCGGACAATTGCACGTTTTGCACCTCGCCTCGAGTTCAATGCCAGCAACCGAACGACCGAGCAGAGCACCAAAGTCAAGGACTACATTCGTGAACTCTTCCCAAAGATCCCTGAAGCAGACCTGGAGGAAATTTACAAGCGCGCATGGGAGCAGGTTCGTGCCTCCGAATCACTTTCTCAAGAGCACACTAATCAACTGGACNNTCAGGGCACTACAACCGTAGGTAATGCAGCTGATCTGTCGCTTTCCAGACAGGTACAGCTGGCCACGATAGCTCGTATCAGGCACACATACACCGACTACGACAAGCTGCTCAAGTTGGTGTCCTGGAAGGAAGCTCGCCAAATTGTCGAACCAATGTCACTGACAAAGCTGATTGAATGGCGTGGAGAACACGATGATACAGAGGACTTTGAAGAGATCCTTCGAGAGACCATTGTCATTGATGACGACGATGAGGAGCTAGACGATGCTGACAGCGACACTGACAGTCACACTATTGCTTCTGGAGATGACGGTAGTGACACCAGTCTGGAGATTGTGCAACAGACTTTGGCTCCCAAAGACCTCAATGTCGGAGTCGGAGAAAAGATCCGCAATGCTGTCACCAACGTAGGGCGGGTGGCTGGCAGAGCTTTGCCCGCTGCAATCCAAACTCGCTGGCACAATGCCCGTATGCAACAGCAGCGTGCTGATCAGGCCGGTTTACCTAACGGCCATGGCGGTCAGATCTCTGTCCCTCTCGATCAACGAGGTAATGCCCCACGTAAGGTTGTCTCGGACGGGGTTGAGTATGTACGGGTAAGTTCATCTATTTTCCTTCTCGTCACATCTATGGATAGACCATGTAACTTTACCTCTAGNATTTCATCGAGTCCAGAGCCTGCGAAGGAGAAGTATCCCAAGCACAGCATGCCTGGCGTGTGGCCTAACAGTGGTGCTATGCCTGCATCCGGTTATTCTCAAGGCCCGGCGACTCACAGCCATCCCGCTACCCAGGGATCCTCAGCCTCGAGAGCACCACAGCACACTGGTGTGAACCGTCCTCCAAACGAGGTGCCGATTTGGGACCGCCTTGAAAGAAGACCCATGTATCCGACATTGGGAACACCAGTCGTTGATCTCACAGCCACTCCCAGTTTGAGGGGAGGGTACGGTGATAGAATCTCCTACACAGGCCCTCCAGAGTTTGGATTTCATCCACATGAACCGCCTGCGCATGTTACCGCTCCGAGAGGAGTTCCGCATCGCAACGTGTACAGACCAGGTATGGCTGATGACGATGTGATGTTCGCTGGAGCACAGACAAGACCACAAGGTCGCCGTCATCAGTCATACAACTATGGCGGCACTCGTGATCGGGTCGAGGTGATCAAGCCGGAAGACTACCCCATCCCCTCTCGCGAAGAGCCTCATCCTGGCTATCCTACGTTAGACCCATATCATGGTGACACTGACAGAACGAAGGTGAATGTGAGACCTGTTGCTGGTACTACTATGCAGACAAGACCTGCACAACATCAGCCCGTATTTGGTCAACCAGCATACCCTCAGATGAGATCGCAGACAGTGGCAATGCAAGTGGTGCCTCGCCCAGTTCATGGTGCACCAGCTGCAGTACAGCCGCTGCCACCTCAGGAGAGAGCACCTTCTGTAGGTCAGGCAGCACCATCATTTGGCGCGCCATCGCCACAGAGGTTCTTCGTGGGTAGCAGCCATCAGCCATACTACGTGCCTGACAGATGAGACTTGCTTCACGAGAATTCATCACTAACCAGTAAGAAGAGCATACGGAGCCTTCAGTGTCAAGCGTTGTTCGAGAGCACAAAGCTTTCAGGGAGCGCGGTTGCTTGTTGCACATACCAAGAGCAGAATGTACAGGTATGTCGATGTTATTTTGTCACACATTTTTGATTGCTGACATGAATCTAGTCACAGCATCATTGTACGTACACACAGAAGGTGTGGAAGGAGATGTCAGCATGATTGCGTTGCGAGAAGGAAGCACGTTCGCGTCATGAGAAGAGGACAATGATGAGCATTATCAACGAATATTTGCTTGTACTGAGAAGAAGGAGGAGGGGTAGCGCTGGCGAGGGCCGTCAAGAGACGGAGATTATGGAAGGAGAGACTACAGCATTCGCATCAGCATCAGCATGGGCGTCGGCGTCGGAACATGAGCATCAGCCTGGGCATTGGCATCGATAAAGCAAGCATTGGTATATGATGCGTTTTATGGTTATCCCTTTAACAATTCAACGTTGTCATCCTGCCACTCACAATGTACAATATCGCTCGGTCTGAGAAGGACAAGTGCCAGAACAAAACATGAGAGTACAATGGAGGTATCACAGCTACGCGCCTAACACACGAGAAGGGTTGATGTTGTCCCTCTCCCTACCCATCTACACACCCATTGACGCTCCCTGCTTAACAGCCGCAGCGCCTTTCGTAAAACAAGACCAGACCATCAGACCGTACCGTACCATAACAGGGGAAAGGCGTTTTCAGACATACAAGTCACAACTGATATCGACAGCGGACGACAGGACTCATGGAGGAAAGCGAGGCTCTATCCAAAGGGGCGATTTACACATGACAAGGGACGCAATCACACAGATGGCTCGATGCCAGCCTCGGCTGCTTCCAAGGCCTTCTTGTTGACTCTGGCCGAAGGAACTTCGAAGCCGTAGACTTCGAGGTGCTCTCTGTTGTATCTCTCGAGGTCCTTGGCAGAAAGGTCTTCGTATTTNNCTAGAGTGGACTGTCAGTAAACGTGTATGAGACGTGTGGTGGGATCGAGACGAACCTTCTTCTCACTGGCGGAGAGAGCTTTGAACTCTGCGGCAATTTGTCTGGCGGATTCGGTTGTCACGGCGCTACTGAATTCGCCAGATGCAATGCGCTCACTGTGGAATTTGATGAAGGAGGTGATGGGCCTCTTGACCAAGCGGTCGTCCTTGATGGGCAGGTACTTTGACTTGGTATCGGCGAGCAGTCTGCGCAAGCGAGCGCGAGCATTGTTGGCCTCGAGAATCTGAGCGGGGGTGTGGCTGTTGAGCCATTCCTGGAACTCGCGCAGGGACTTTGCGTTGTGCTCGGTGAGGCGTTGGTTGAGGTCTTCTTTTTCGCTCGCGGAAATGCTCTTGAAATCTTGGGACAGAGTCTTTATTTGCTCAATCACAGACCCGTTGTTTTTCGCGGCAGTGTTGGCCTTGACGTACATAGCCCAAGCGTTGACCTGTCTGTACTTGGGAGGAGAAAGAGCTTGGGCTTTGAGCAGCTTGACTTCTTCCTTCTGCTTTGCCTCTTTGGCCTTTGCGCTGATTTCAGCCTTCTCTTCAGGGCTCAAGAGCTTGTAGGCAGCCTTTGCAGCAGCTTCCTTCTGGGCCTTCTTGGACAAGGGTGGGGCGGCGGTCTTCTTCTTCTTCTTGGGGGCAACGCTGTCATCGGCCTTCTTGGGCGAAGTGTTGCCATCGGCCTTGGTGCGGTATGACCTGGTTACGGACAGGGAAGATGCGACTATGGGGGTTGCGGCACGGGCATGGAGAGTAGTCGCGCGGACAGCCAAGCGGAGCGGAAGACGGAGCACGAGCATTGTGATGGTTGCGGGTTGCGCGCGTTGGAAAAAAGAAGACCAGATTGTAGCAACGAGATTGGCGAGGATTGTTGCAGCTGAGGAGATTGTGAAATGAAGGTGAGCAGACCAAGGGAGGGAACAGCGAGACGGAGGGATTGTTGATGTTTGGAAACAGGAAAGCACGAGGTTGACACCAACCATCGCGAACAGGCAGGAGCTCCCGCCAAGCGCATCACGAAACTCTAAATCTCGCCGTCCGTCACCGTCCCCGCGAACTTGAAACCTACCATGAACATTTCTCCCACCGACCGCTATATACCAACCATGTCTGGACGACCCCGCTCACCTCCCCGTCGAAGCGGCGACTCGCGCCGTGACGACCGTTATCGAAGAGACGACCGCCACGGGGATGACCGCCGTGACAGACGAGGAGACGACCGCTACTACAGGCGCCGTTCTCCAGAGNCCTGTAAGCATGCGCCCACTTCCACCATCGACCAGACCCCACCGGCTTACACGTACACAGAGAGATCGTTTCAGCCAGGACAGAGACCTCCTTCCATCCCGTGGAGGCCGTGACCGTCGTTTCGAAGAACGTCCACTCGGCGACCGCTCGCGCGACAGAAAGAGATCTAGAGAAAGATCTCCCGTGAGAGACCGTAGAGATCGCAGTAGAGATAGACCTCGTGATTCGCGCAACCACCGTGACGACTCGCGCGATAGAAAACGTCCCAGGCGCACCGACTCGATCGAATCAAGAAGCCGAACCGCACGCGACGACGGTCGAGGCACCACTTCCACCCCGAAACCTGATACACCTGCCTCGGCCCATGTCGCCGACAAGGCTGCAGAAGAGGAACGAAAGAAGCTTGAGCGTCAGGCAAAGGTCGAGGCCTGGAAGAAAAAGCAAGAAGAGAAGAAGAAGCTGCCACAATCCCCCGCCACTCCTGTTACCCCTGCACACGCTGCTACTCCTACTGACACAGCTGCATCTTCACCCAAATCCGTGTCCCAAGATGAACCTCAGAAGGGCTTTGCTGGTGGCAAGTTTGACCCCAAGGCTATCGCAAAGAAGGCGGCGGCTGCCACGGCCAAGCTTTCGGCGCTGGGAAGCGATGTTTCTATACCCGGGAAGTCCAAGACTGCCGCTCTTGCGGCTCCTCTTACTGCCAACAAAGCGGCTGACTTTAGCAAGAAATCTTTTTCCAGTCAATCAAAGGGTAATTCGTCCTTTCCGGCCTACTTTATCTCTGTACACTCGACTAACTTGGCTACAGCAAACGCAGCAACCGCGTCAGACGCCCTCAANAAAGGCTTTGGTCTGACAGCATCGCCTGCCGAAGAAAAGTCGACTCCCCAGCTGGCACCCGCCATCGACATGGACGACGAGCAAGTCGAACGTCGCAAGTTAGAGAAGCTTCCTACACCCGATCTTGAAGATGCTGGGGATGCTGCGCTTGCTAACCCGAATGACACTCATGATGACGATGGGGATGTCGACATCGCTGATGCAGGATCCGATCAAGACATTGACTCTGCTGCACGTCTCGCTGCAGAGAGACGTGCTGCCCAAGCCGCCGAGACTTCTGTAGAAGACAACGACGACGCCATGGAAGGTGTTCAGACCACTCAGCCCACCAATGCGGCTGAAGAAGACGATATCGACCCGCTTGACGCTTTCATGAACGATCTAGCAGAGGAAGCGCCTCAGCCTACTCGCAAGTTTACAAAGACCAAGATTCGCGAAGCTGAAGATGTCTTTGGTGACCAAGACGGTGCCGATTTGGACGCAATGGGAGAAGATGCTGATGACATTCTTGCCCAGGTGGCCCAGAAGAAAAAGAAAAAGGAGATCCCCAACCTCGACCACTCCAAGATTGATTACGAGCCATTCCGCAAGGCCTTCTACACCGAACCTCTAGAAGTTGGCCAGATGACCGATGAGGAAGTCAGGGATTTGCGCTTCAAACTCGACGATATCAAAGTACAAGGCTCAAAGGTACCTCGACCTGCTCTCAAGTTTGCCCAATTTGGCCTTGGTACGCAGGTTCTGGATGTTATTCGTGACCTCGGATTTGAGATGCCCACACCTATCCAGTCCCAAACCATTCCTGCCATCATGTCTGGACGCGATGTCATTGGTGTGGCCAAGACCGGTTCAGGCAAGACTGTCGCTTTCTTGCTACCCATGTTTCGTCACATCAAAGACCAACGTCCGTTAGAAAACATGGACGGACCAGTCGGTCTGATCATGGCTCCAACTCGTGAGCTTGCAGTTCAGATTCACCGCGAGTGCAAGCCTTACCTCAAGGTCCTGAACCTACGCGCTGTGTGTTGCTATGGTGGTGCACCCATCAAGGACCAGATCGCAGAGCTCAAGAAAGGTGCTGAGATCATTGTTGCAACTCCTGGTCGTCTCGTTGATCTTCTTGCCGCCAATTCTGGGCGAGTCACCAACCTGCGCCGCGTCACCTATGTCGTGCTTGATGAAGCTGATCGCATGTTTGACATGGGTTTCGAGCCTCAGGTTGTCAAGGTCCTTACCAACATCCGACCCGATCATCAGACAGTTCTCTTCTCGGCCACCTTTCCGCGTACCATGGAATCGCTCGCTCGCAAAGTCGTACACAAACCTGTTCAGATCACTGTTGGTGGTCGTAGCACAGTTGCCGATACCATCACTCAAAAGATTGAAGTGCGTCCCGAGACTACTAAGATGTATCGCACACTCGAGGCACTGGGCGAACTGTTCGAGAATGACGAGGACGCACGTGCTTTGATCTTCGTTGAGCGACAAGAGTCGGCAGATGATATGATGATCCAACTTCAGCAAAAAGGATATCCTGCCGTTTCGATCCATGGTGGAAGAGAACAGATTGATCGTGACTCTGCCATTCAAGACTTCAAGAGTGGTGTCATCCCTGTGATGGTTGCAACATCTGTTGCCGCTCGTGGTCTTGACGTCAAGCAGCTCAAGCTTGTCATCAACTACGACTCGCCCAACCATCTGGAGGATTATGTCCACCGCTCCGGACGTACTGGTCGCGCTGGTGAAAAGGGTACAGCCATCACGTTTGTGACACCTGAGCAATCCAAATACTCGGTAGACTTGGTGAAGGCATTGAAGATGAGTAACCAGCCAGTACCAGAAGACCTCCAGAAGATGTCTACAGAGTTCCTCGAACGCGTCAAGGCAGGCAAGGAGAAGGGAGCCGCTATCGGTTTCGGTGGCAGAGGTATTGAGCGCTTCGAAGAACAGCGTGCAGCCGAACGCCAGCGCGAACGCAAGGCTCACAAACTCGAAGGCGAAGAGGAAGAAGACGAAGAAGAGGACAAGAAGAAAGCACCCGAGGAGAAGATTAATGTTGTCAAAAACACTGGTTCGCCTGCGCCTACGAATGCGAACGTCCCTGGTGTTCCTGCGCACATTGACCTCAATGCCGACATCAAGGTTCACAAGACCGAGACGCCTGCACCTGCAAGCAATCGTCCTTTGGATCGTGTTGCGGCTGCTGCTGCGAACATCAACTCTCGTCTTGGTGCTCGCAACGCTACGCGCCCTGGTGTTCCGATCGATAACAAGGGACCTGATGCAGGTGCCTACCACGCGACGCTCGAGATCAACGACTTNCCCCAGAAGGCACGCTGGGCCGTCACGAACCGTACAAACGTGGCCAAGATTCTCGAGTCTACTGGAGTGTCTATCACTTCGAAGGGTAACTTCTATGCTGCCGGTAAAGATCCAGGCCCCACCGATGCTCCCAAGCTTTATATCCTTGTCGAAGGTGACACCGAGCTACAAGTCACCCAGGCTATGCGCGACTTGCAGCGTCTGTTGAAGGAGGGAACGATTGCAGCCGCCGACAGCGAGGCCCGCGCGCCTACCACTGGTCGTTACACTGTCACTTGATCTTAATCGGATTTCTGGGAATGCAGATCCTTCATTTCTCTGCACAGGTAAGCATGGCGGATTCTTTTTTCTTATGAATTACCATCACTCTTTGAGCCTTTGATAAAGCACACACTACATGTTTATAGCATCTGGAGATAAGGCGTACTCTGGACTTGACTGTCAACTGCTCCTCCAGCAAAATGTGCAGCGCTGCTTAGTATCGTCTTGTCCGTAGTTAGTCTGTAGATATCTGGATAAACGAGGAATGAAAAATGATCAAAGAAGATGCCCTAAACTCTAGGGCTATACGACGCGTAATACGAACGCAATGGTACGCTCTCGGGAGGACACAACGGCGGCGGGAGCGCGCCGACGTCACTTGGCATAGCCGCTTCTTGGAACGTGATTATAACCTCGTCCCTTGTCCTTGACTTGAAAGACGTGACCTGAACTGACATTGTTCATACCATTTGATCTTGTGCACCGCAGTCATGGGTCCTCCACCGCTTGCAATCCGCAACCTCAGCTCGACCCCGCTGGAGCTCAAGGTGATAGAACGCTTTGAGATCCCACATGTCGAACCCAAGGGTTTCGCCAATATCAGTCGCAACGTAACTCATTTCGTTGTCTCGAACACGACTGGCAATGTTGCTCCAGAAGGACCTCAATTCGCACCACTTACGGTCAACGCGCAAAGCTATGGTCAACAGGAAGTGTCGATTCGTATTGACCCTTTCACCACCAACAGGACTGATGTCAACACTGCCGAAAGAACAGAGAAGGATGTTCTTCGGCTGACTTTTGAATGCGATGGACAGCGTTATCGTGTGGATACACGCACAACCAGACAGTCTCAAGAACTGACCCCGCTGGATCCCGACCCGAGGAAGCAGTACACGGCCATCTGGATTGACAAGGAGAGTCATCTCGCCATCTACTCGTCTGCAAACATGAACTGCTGGATGAAGGAAATGGCAGACGCCACACCACTATCTGGTCTCTCTATCCCCGGCACCCACAACAGTCCCACTCACCACAAGGCCTTGCCTTCGGTGCGCTGTCAAGCAGTATCTCCCAAGGAGCAACTGCGCAATGGCGTCCGCTTCTTCGACATTCGCGTGCAGCCCGAGAAACCCGAGGATCCCAATAACGATGGACTGGCACTTGTCCACGGTGTCTTCCCCATCTCACTCACCGGCGCAAAGCCCTTCCGCAAACTCGTCAACGACATCTTCGACTTCCTCCGCGAAAACCCGAGTGAAACACTCATCATGAGCGTCAAGCGCGAAGGCCCCGGCGAACACACCGATGAACAGCTCTCCAACATCCTGCATCAACACTACGCCACCGACCCAGCCCTCTGGTACACGGAACCACGTATCCCCTCTCTCGGCGACGTCCGCGGCAAAATCGTCCTCATGCGCCGCTTCGCCCTCGCCGAACCCCTGACCCACGAACACGACAATGCAGGCTGGTGTCTCGACGCCCAAAACTGGGCCTACAATACCCCCTGTGACAACCATGGCAACGTCTGCGTCCAAGACTTTTGCGAAGTCCTCGAGACCGAAAACATTGGCAAGAAGATTGATTTTTGCTGCGAGCACTTTGAGAGGGCGGGTGCGCAGGTGTGTCCCGTTCCTGGCATCACCACTGATGCGGTTAACCCTGTGCCTCCTGGCCCGCTGTACCTGAACTTTTTGTCCGCGAGTAACTTTTGGAAAGTCGGTTGTTGGCCCGAGAGAATTGCTGCAAAGCTTAACCCGGCGGTGACGGAGTTTTTGTGTACAAAGCATGATACGGCAGAGGGTGACAATAAGGGTGATGGGGGTGTGGGTATTGTGGTTACGGATTGGGTGGGCAAGGATGGGGATTGGGATTTGATCAGGTGCATCGTGGGCATGAACTCGCGTTTGGAGCTGAGAGAAAGACAGCAACAGCAGTAGATGATGTGATGATGCCCCACGAGATATATGACCGGAGATCTTGGTTCTCATGACATGGACGTGGTGATCGCGGTCCTTGTGTTTTGTCCAAACGTATGTTTCAGATTCAAACAGTGTTGCATAGTGGAGCCGTGTCACATGTGAGATGTCTGTTCGGGTTGTGCTGCAAGAGACTCAATTCAAGGTACATCATCGTATTGCTAAGCTACGCTCGACATGCATCTCCTCTTCCAGTAATCCAACACCCAGAAACACCACGTGGCCGACTGAGATCCGGCCACTGCCCTCCATGAACAGAGCAATCAACAAGCAAGACAAACAGAGAACAAAACAGAAACACCCACATCAAATGCCTCTCCATCTGCCGATTTCCATGCAAAGCAAGAACGCAAAAACATTACTAGAACAGAGAGAGCAAACATCACACAGGACATCATCACCTGCCACCGCCCCAGTTGCCCTGGCTCAGCTTGAGCAAACCCTCGACACAGTTCAGATCTTCCTCTTCTGAGCTCTGGCGTTCGTCTCTCTCAAGCGAACGATGCGCCTTGTCCTTTCTGACGCCACTACTGGGTTGGTTCATGAATTGCATGACATCTTCGTCATCGTCGTCGTCATCCAAATGCTCGACTTGGGTTCTGTTGCCATGTTTGCCACGACTGCGAGGCGCGGGCGTTTCGTGAAAGCCTGCGAGCGCACGGGGTCGCTTGACCGTCGATGGCATAACGGCAGGTGAAGTCGCCATTTGATGCAAGAACTGGCGGTCCATGAAAGCTGAAGGGCGGTCTCCAGGACTCCAGTTTTCCTTGTCCGAGTCTGTGGCCGAAATCTCAAAGGTGGGCGTCTGCTTGAGTTTGGGCGTCTTTGCTAAGAGTAGAGGGTCGTGGTGGGCTGGTCTTCTGTTTGTAGATTGCATGTTACGCGCTGAGGATGAGCGTTGCATCAAAGGTTGACGGAAGGGAGTAGCGGCTACGGCTGAAGGAGCAGATGAAGGAGGGGGCGCATTGAAGGACTGGCTCTGGCGCAGACGCTTGACGGCACGATCTTCGTTGGAGATGGTCTGGGGGTTGAGACGCTTCAGAGAAGGTACGCGGGTCAGAGGGTGGTATGCGCGATCCTTCTCCTGCTGACGCAAGAGGGAAATGGCTTCAGCAGCATCGCCGCTAGCCTCTTGGTTTGCACGGTCCTCCAACTCACTACGAGCGCCACGGTCGGCAAAGAAGGACCATACACGTGAATCGCGAGATCGTCCACTGGGCTTGCGACGAAGACTGGTACCGCCTTCTTGGCTACCTGGTGTGTCGCAAAGACTGACCTGGCTGTTAGTACGATACAGGTCGTTTGATTGACTGGCAGGTTCGTCGAAAGCTGTACTAGCAGACACGGGAGGAGGAAGCTTGCGAGGAGGNNGGGAAGATGTAAGGTCATCTCCATCAATGACACGAGCAACACCATCTGCCGTCATGGACAGACGGATTTTGGAGTCTGACTTTCTAAGACGCTTTGCCGGCGGGTCCTGGCTGTCTGGTTGTGTTTCCTGCGAATCGAGTTGAGTGAAAGAAGCATTGTTACGTCTGTTGGAAAGGTAGCCAGGTTTCGAAGCCGAGTCCTGGGAGGCTGCTTCTGGTTGTGAGCTGGGAACCTCGACGAATGAGGCCGAGGCATTCTGGCTGGCAGGTGCAGCAGTCTTGTCTTGGGGTATTGAGGCGGGATCGGTCATGAGTGTCGCGTTGTCCAGGCTTATAGACGAGTCTTCTTGGTGATCTGCCGTGTGGGCGTCGAGCGGTGATGAAAACATGGCCATTTCGCGAGGATCCAGCGGCTTGGACTTTCTACGCGAACTCTGGCGACGGTTCTGGAACCAGATCTAGGCGCGTTTTAGTCTGACGCGTTGTACAGGCTTTGGGTGAGTTTGCGATACCTGGACTTCCTTCTCGCCCAAAGCAACGCGGCTCACGATATCCATGCGAGTGGCCTTGTCAGGCTTCGAGTTCTTTGCATATGCTTCCTCGAGAATCTTCTGGTCATCGGGACNTATTCGGTGTTTAGTGGCTTGTCGCGGTATACAAAGTGGTCAGTCTCCGTACCTTGTCCTCCTTCGCTTCTGACGTGCCAGAGGCTTGTTGTCCACATTGGGAGGGCGGTTGTTGGCCAGGGTATCGGTCGAGTGGACCAGAAAAGGATAGCTATTGGCCGTCGCCTTCAAGACCAGCGAGGCCTCGGTCTCGGGCTGGGGTGCATATAGGGATTCTGATGTCGACTCGCCCCCTTGGACCAGGACGTCGGTAGTGTGCTCGTCCATGACTGACGTGGACACGTATGTTGGGCGAAGGTGGTAGACTGTCCCCTCGACGAGCTGACGCTGAACGGTGAAGGACGCGACCGAACGCGACTGCCAATTCACGACTCTGGAGAAAGCCACCCGGCACGCCAATCCCACCCGACTCGGAATTCCTGCCTCCTCGTACTGATTTACTATTCAAACACGCGTAGCAACATTTCTATCCTTTCCAAAAGTGCACTCCTCCTCCCTGTCGACTGGTTTTCCTGTCACCTCAATCTCAGGTCGTGTGCTCTGTGTTAACACCGCGTCGAGCGGCCGCTCCCTCTCTGCGCGTGCCCACTGTGCATTGACTATGACATTTCTCAGAGATTCGATACTTGTCCATCCTTTCCAAGGTTTCTTTGATGTTTCAATCCAATCTAACATATCCCTTGCCTACACGATTCTGCCAACGCAAAATAATTTGCTTTCATCGAAACGCGAGAGAATAACCAAACCCGTGACCTGGTTTCAGCTCTCAACGGTCCAGCACTCGGCCAATCAACCGAAGCTCTATTTCCGACTACACCTCTACTTGTAGTCGCGTACCTACCTACCATCGAATCCGCGTTCTGGCTCGCATCTCACTTGCATCAGACATAGTTCACAATGGAACCCGACACTATCAGATGTCATCTTCTTTCTGACGCAAGTTTCTTGATTCATGTTCGCTAAGCACTCGAGTGCGTGTTTCGTCAACCTCATGCGACACTCGTGACCATCAACGAGATATCTCTCAACAACACTCTCAAGGATACGTCAACTGCTGGTATATGGGAAGGAAAATTCAACCATGACGGTATCGTAAGTTTCCTCCCCATTCATGACTAGTCATCGCCAATTCTGCTCTGCAAACACTTGTTGAGAGGACAACCCTGGTTACATCCCTGATCACGCACTCATCGCAGCTGCCACCATTATGACCACCACAATCATATATCGGCCTCATCATTACAGAACCTCATCTGCTTGGATGTGACGAATAGAACCGGATGATCAGCTTGTTCCACGGCCGGTTTCAATTCGAACTCTATGATGAAGATATTCAGATCGTGGAACTTGTACTCTGCCGCATGGTTCACAACCGGTCACATACCGGCAACATGTTTGCAAGGAGAGAACAAAACACACGAGGCATCGCGGGATATCCACTACCCCAGCTCCGAGTCCCTGACAAGACACACGCGTCAAACCCTTGATCGACTCTATTGGCCGCCAAGACTATGTCCATTGGCTGTCCTTTCCCGCTTGATCAACTGATCCGACTACATCTCATCGCTCAAAACCCCGTCTCGCCTGAGTTTTTCCTGATACTTCTCTCGAGAAGCAGACCTGTTTCAAACCTCAATGATAGCAAAGCTTGAAGTACCGAGCGAGCCTGCAGCACATGCGATCGGACATGCAGCCTTGGTATCATCAACTGCCTCCTACTGATTTTCTGTCACCGAGTAAATCTCATATACAGCCTCGCCAATCACCACAGATTCTTTGGACTTGACAACCCCATCCAGAGGAATAATGCATCCGAGTGTCACTGGGATCAGGAGTGAGCCTTTACCTACAACAGCGAGTAAGACTATGGCCGAAAATTTACGCGGCTTCTCTATACCAAATACAGGTGGGTGTTGTGCGCATTGTTCACTCACGTCATTTTTCTAGATAGGTACGAACTTCGCAAACACATGGAGCTCATTAGGCACCAAGTAGAGCCGACTGCAGGCCGTTGATCGCAATGTTGTTTCGCAAACAGATCGAATCCTTCATCGAAAAATTCGCAGGCCTTCACAGATGTGACTCCGCCATTACGGATGCAGTGGAGCTATAACGTCTTGATAAAGCCCCGGATGTCAACAGAATTGGTATTTCGCGATGGATCGGATGATGAAATTAGTGTGCACAGTCCTTGGGTGTTCGACGAGTTTCTGATTTTTCGAAAATTGCAAGGTGTTGATGCTCTTGCCCCACGCATGATGTAAGTCAGCGTCATAACAACTTTCGCAGTTGAGATCGACAACGAGTTCAAATATGACCCTCTCTGCATGCTCTGAGGTTTGCTTTACCATTCATCTCATATCCCAAACGATTTCCAATCTTACAATTCATTCACCACTTCACCTTTTAACTCTTTACACCACCAAAACACAACACCACAATGTCCGGTACCGAGCAGACTTTCCACTACACCAAGGAGGACGTCCGTAAGATGGAGCAGCGCGACTCCGCTTCCCACGGCGGTAACGTCTCTGCCGACTCCAACGCTGCTGCCATGCAGGTTAGTTATATTTTGCCTTCGCTGAAAGCAAAAACCTTTACTAACACATCANNTCAGTCCATCGTCGACAAGGCCGACCAGAACAAGGCCGACCTCATTGAGGAGCGCCGCAGCAACCTCCCCAAGCCTGATGCCCCTCCCGCCAAGTCCGACTTCAACTCTGCCGACCCCAGCACTGTCAATGTTGGCTCTGGCCGTGTCTCTGACACCTTCTCCCACGGCAACGACGCTCTCCGCGAGCCTGCCACTGGTGACAGCGCTGCCAGAAGCGCTGATGCCACCCTCGGTCAGGGTGTTGGCCGCGAGGGCAAGGATGGCCTTTCCGGCATCCCCAACGACGCCGTCACCCGCGAGGCCAAGAACAAGTCCTCGCTCGCCGACACCACCGGCAAGGACTACGGTTACCCCAAGAACGACCCCTCCAACGCCTCGTAAATGGCCTCTCTTGACGACTTCTCATTTTTCAAAAACGCAGCCTAACTGGTTTTCCCTGGCGCAGGGCGCTTTGGGGTAATGGCTTGCATGATGGAATGAACTCTACTTTTATTTATTCACACTACACCTCCTTGCGGACGAGCGCGCAAGGCATTCTTAATTATGAATGAGCATTTCAGGATGTTTGGGAAATGAAAATGAATTTCAACGTACTCTCAACCTTTTCCACTTTGTGCTTACTTGCTCGTGTGACATGCATCTTGTTGAAACCACATCCTCCAAGGCTACACCAGAGACCTTGACTCGAGTGAGAAACACTACTGGGGAGCAGAAAGAGTTTGCTTCTCAACAATCGATTGAGGCTCAACATTATTCCTACCTGAAATTTTCTGCCATGCGAGTGCATTGTTCGAAAGAGGTCGCGACAGATTGCGGCGGGATTAACGTTTCGGAAGCGAGTGGGTCGTCAGCCTCAAAAAGAGCCTCTGGATGTTTATCCAAACCACAGCCTTCAAAAGAAGAATCACTAATGATTGTCTTTGAGAAACTGTACCATCGAATTCATGAGCTCTCTTACAGGAGACGACAGCCTTATCGGACAGTATCACTCTGGCAAACAGACCGCTTCCGACGAACAACCATGCTCGTCATCAGGTGCGGGGCACTTCTATCAAAATTTAGGTGGGGTTAAGCTCGGCGTGTGATGTAACGATCGCGATGGGCACATGGTCGCAGGGAACTACGAATCGCGTGGTTCACCTCGATGGCGAGAGCTGTGTAGTGGTTACGTCGAGATGATGTACCTAGCATGAGGTACCAGAGAGCTGTACCTACGCAATCGGTGGAGCTATGGGAACAGGGGGAGCTTCACGAAGCAAACAAAAGGCAGCACTGGAAGCTATCTTTCTGACCCTTTCATTCACAAAGCACAACCAATTCTTTGCAACTTTTCCAACAGAACACACTTTTTCTACATATCAGTCATCATGTCTTCCGGAACCAAGGTACATTGAAGCGCTTTCGATCATTCCATCGAGCGGGTTGCTGACAAGAGTCAACAACAGGCCACCAACACCAACGAAGGTATTAACAACCCCAAGATCGAAAAGGCGGGCATCGTCACATCAGACTCTCTTGCCGGAGAATCGCTCAATAGTGGCGGATCGTTTGGCGCCGGCAACCACCCAGCCGCCATGTCGCAGCCCTCGAGCTCAACGACAACAAACAACACAGACACCTCAGGGGCCACCATCCTCCAAGCCGCTTCCGATGCCGAAGCACGCCAGGCATTGGAGGACTGGAACGAGGAAGCCCAACTCAACGCCGCCCGAGGATTGAGCGCCGGCAACGATGTCGGCGAACCCGCACCGCCCACGTCTTCGTATCTCGCAACGTCGTCAGCCCAAGGATCTTCAGCTAACCCTTCGGGTACCTTTACAGGTCAAGCCCCTCACGGCAAAAACATTTCCGAAGGCGGATTCGACAGCAATGCCCCCAATGCATCCTTCAACAACGAGGTCGGCGGCAAGAACGATCCTGCCCGCCAGGCTGTAAACGATATGCAGCGCAATGCTCAGCAGTCTGCTGGCGATGCTGGTCTGCCCAAGCAAAAGGGTGTTTCCAACGATGGCCAGTTTGATGTGCTCAAGGACACTTCTGCCTAAGAAGTTGTTGTTTTTTTTGCTTCTTTTGTTTATGACTTGTTTACCTCATCTGTTTTTATGATATGAGATGCATGACCTACAATTGTTCAGAGCACTGGTGGCTTTGATGGATGGCTCTGAGGTAGCCTTGACCGATGAGGTGTGGATGTACCTTTAGATAATGATCCAAAACATTCAAGCACGCCCAGCGGGGCTCTGTTTCTACCACACAATGTATTGTATGTGTTCAGATGATACCTTTTGAGGTGTGAAGATATTTTTAACCTTGGAGAGTGGATCACATGGTCAAAGCTTCTGTAATGTCTGGGTCGATTTGGTGGTCTTTCAATCCTCATGATTTGGACAAAGATAAAGATGAGAAGGCAATTATCATGATGGTCGTCAATGTATTGGTGGGGGTCGTTTGCCTATGCTGTCCAACGTGTTTTATGTACACTAGCATGTTCTTGATGACAGCTCTGCATGGAAACCCCTGCTGCAAGCTGATGGCCAAACATCCTGATCCAAGCCTGATATGCTGCCGGAGGGCTTCTCAAGCAGTCGAGAGGAATGAACTGGTCGGATGCAGTTGGCTTTGTGAGGTGCGGCTGAGCTGTAGCGCTGGCATAGCTCTGGTTGTTTTTGACAAAAGGAATCTGTCAAAAAGCTCATGCCTCGACCTTGAGCTTCTTCATAGCCTCGAGAGCATCGGCACCATCGTCGTCCTCGTCGACAAAGGCTCTGGTCGCAACACCGCTCTCCCAAAGCTCTCTCCCTGTCATCTTCTTCTCCTCCTTACCACCCCTCTTTTTCTTTTCTTCGGCCTCTCTCTGCTCTTCAGCCCTCTTCTTTGCTTCTGCCATCTCCTCCTTGAACCTGTTGCTCCACTCCAGATATGTCTCCCTCGTCACTTTTGTACCCTCGAATTTGCGGTTTTCCTCTGCTTCTGCTTCTGCGGCTTCCAAGTCCTTTTCGGCTTGGACGGCTTGTTGTCGCTCTTGTATCAAGAGCTCGGCTTCGTCTTTTAGGGTGGTGACGAGGGTGAAGACCATGGCCATACCCAGGTTTTCTTCGATTGTTGCCGTCAAGCCATCGAGTAGTCGTGTCTTGTCTTCTTGTATGTCGAGGTGTGTGTGCTTTGGAGCGTTTGGTGGGGCTGAGAGGTCTAGTCGGGGTGCTACGTCTGGATAGTCTTCGGGGTATGAGACGGAGAGGATGAGGATGGGAGCGCTCTCGGTGGATTCTTCGTCGGCTTCGGTTACTTCTAGCTGTATCGAGACGCGGTACTCGGTGTCGGAGATGTCTGTTCTTGTTGGTCAGCGCATTCTTGCTGGCATGTGGAAGTGACTTGCAAAGTACGCACCGGTGATTTCTTCGGGAAAGATGGAGTCGAGGACTTCCCTCTCTTCTGTTTGCTCTTCTCTACCCATGGTGTGTATATCTTTTTGTGTCTTGTGTTTTTGCTTGACAGAATGTTCAGCTTCTGGTTGCGGGCTTTGACAGTTCGCGATTGACGTCGGACATGTTGGTCTGTGCTCCAATTTTTCTCGAAGATTGAAGCGCCTTACTTTTATCTAGATCTTATATTCTTCTCCCTCTCCACTATCCCAAGGTACTCGATCAGCTGGTCTGGACAACTGATCTGAAGCTTCTACACCACTGCGCGACAAGGAAGATATAGAGACGAACTTTCTGACCAGGTCTCCACCGAATCGACCAAAGCTACAAAGCAAAGGAAAAAGAGACAACCACACAAACATAATGGCCAAAACAAAGTCANNAAAAAGAGCCCAAAGAGCTCCTCCTCCAACCAATCCAAAGAANTCACCTGAACAGCTCTACGACCTCGCAATCCAATGCGTCGAAACCAGCCAACCAGACCAAGCCCTCGCACACGCCCAAGACCTGCTCGTTCTGGTCCGCCGCCTCCAAACCCCCAATGCCGTGCTTCCAGCCCTGAACCTGCTCGGCGAGATCTGTATCGAATTGGGTGATGCCGAGTCCGCACGCGACTACTTTATGCAAGCCGTAGAGGCAGATCCGCAAGGCAGTATCCCAGAAGCCGTNGGGGGTGGTGCCGAGAAGTTCTTGTGGATGGCGCAACTGTGTGAGGAGGGTGGTGCGGCAAGTGTTGGGTGGTTTGAGCGTGGAGCCGCTGTCTTGAAGAGGGAGATTGCCGAGCTCGAGGCCATGCAGGACAGAGACGAGACCGCCGAGATACAGTTGGAGGAGAAGAGGGGGAAGCTGGCAAATGCTCTGTGTGGTGTTGTCGAGGTCTACATGACCGATCTCTCGTGAGTCTTTTTTTTTCCTCGGAAAGAAACCCACACGATTACTGACATCCATTCTCTCAAAGANTGGGAAGCAGACGCCGAACAGCGATGCGAAACCCTCATCACAGAAGCCATGATGGTCGACCCCGACAGCCCCGAGGTCCTCCAAACCCTAGCCTCCGTCCGCCTATCCCAACTCAAGCCCGAGGATGCCCGCGCCGCCCTATCCCGCAGCATCAGCATGTGGAAAGACCTCGAGCCCGAAGACCCCCTGATTCCCGATTTCCCCAACCGCGTCAGTCTGGCCCGTCTGTTGATGGAAGCCGACATGGAAGACGAAGCCATGGATGTGCTTGAGCGCCTGGCCCTGGAAGACGATCAAAGTGTCGAGGCTTGCTATCTTGGTGGCTGGTGTCTGCAGCTCATGGCCGACAAGAAGAAAGCCCAGTTCGGCGATGCCGCCAACAACCCAGACTCGGAGCAGGCAAAGGAACTGTTGGCTACGTTGAGAGCGAGCAGAAGTTGGTTGCTCAACACACTCAGACTATACAGAGTCTTGGAGTATGAAGACGAGAGACTCAAGCAGCACACCGAGGAATTGGTTGATGCGCAATGTCAAGTCCTCGGTCCTCCGCCAGAGGAGGGCAAGGAAGATGAAGAAGAAGAAGACGAGTGGGATGGTATTGACGAGGATGATGAAGCGGCCGACGCCGATGAGGAGATGGCAGACATGTAATTGTTTTTTCTGCGCCTTGATACCACAGAGACTTTTACAATTCATATGAAACGGACTTCATTCCGTTATCACTACCTGAAAACAATTCATGAGCACCTACCAATGACTTTTACGAGTGACTTTGCATTGCCATGACCATCGATAGCGTGATCGTGATTCGAAAGCTATGAGTAAAAAGCAGATGTCGGTGACAGTGTTGGAAGCGTCCAAGCAGAGAGGCGATTAAAGAAAGACAGGCGCCAGAAACAGTTTCTCTTGCGATGATGCCGAAATTACAAGTTGCGAAAAGTGAACAAAACAGAGCTGTCGATGCGAAGAGAGAGATGGACTTTTGGTTGTGCGTAAAACATTTGGATCATTTGGTTGGTAACCCCCAGCTTGTCATTTTCTTTAAAAACGCCGAAAAAGTGCGCGCTGCTTTTTTGGTTTGTTGTCTTGATGCTGGCTACATTGTGGCTAAGAAGTGTTGGAGTTCGCGAATAAAACCCGTTCCTCGCAGAGCCGTCGCCGAACCAAGAAAAAGGAATCTCCACTAGGGTGATAGTGGGAGGGGAGTAGCAAGTCGGAAGAGATTGGGCGAAACCATTTATTGGGCCTGGAAGAGAGGAAGAGTCAGTACAAGGCTGACGTTTTTGTTGTCGAAGGGAAGTATCATCGCACCTTGACGGCGTAGTTTCTCTGGGGGAAGTGGGTCTGCTTCTTCTTTTGCTTCTCGGTGACGCGCGAGGCATCCTCCTTGCTCAATCTTCTGCGGATGGCACGGGTCTGCTTTGCGCGGAGGTCGANGGGAAGGTACTTCTTGTTCTTGTAGAAGATGCGCAGCTGCGAGCGCTGGTTGATGTTGATGATGGTCAGGACGCGAGCGATGGACTTGCGGACATCATNGGCTATAAGAGAAGAGGACATGTCAGAAAAATTCCTTGTTCGTGTGCGCGGGTTCGTGTGTAGCGTGTGTATGCGTGTGATCTTTTCGATGTCGTGCCATTCCTTCCTTCTCTTTCTTTGATTGGATTCGGGCATGCGGGAGGTTCAGTCGTACATTCTGGTGAGCTTGCTCTGGGCACCACCGGCAATCTTCTGGGTGCGGAGCTGGACCAGCTCGGCCTTCAACTCCTCGAGCTGAGTCTTGAGCTCATCCTTGTTCTTGCTCCAGAGCTGGCTGGCCTTGACCTTAGCGGACGACTGCAATGTGTTCCGTCAGCATTCCGACATGGCAGACAGGACGTATGATGGGAGCGCGCACCATTTCGGCTGTGAGTTAGTAGGATGAGTTGACGAGCGGGCGAAAATCGTGTGTTCGGCAGCAAAGTGTCGAGACAGCAGAATTCGCTGTGGGCTTCGTGCGCTACGGCCTTGGCGGCACGACGGGACCTACCGGCTCAACATCGGGTCATAGGGTCCGGGGTCGTGCATAAAGTCTGGCAATCCTCGGCATAAGTCATGCAACGCATGTGAAGGGCGTCGCTTTAGATCTGGCCCTTTGACCATCCTTGTACAATAAACACATCTACTCCAAAATGGCGTCTGGCTCTGGCAGCTGGGCACAACTGCGACAACAGGCCCGCTCACTCGAGACTCAGGTGCTCACTCTCAACTCATCTGTTCTTCACAAGCTAATGTTCCTAAGNACGGATGCCTTGTTCCACACCTATTCCCAATATGCGTCCATGAGCAACATTCCCGCCAAACCCGACGAGGATGAACAACGAACAGAAGCTCAGCTACAGGACATACTCGAGAGGGTAACGCAACTCTGCCACCTTTCAAATCCACTCGGCTGATGCCTGACANNGCGTTCAGCCCTCATCTCCCAACTCTCGCGCCTGCTCGATTCTGAACCTACCGCTTCCGCCCTAAAGTCTACAAACCTAGCTCGTCACAAGGAAGTACTACAACAACACCGTAGAGAGCTTGACAAGCTCAAATCCAACATCGGTCACCAGCGGGATCGCGCCAACCTCCTCTCCAACGTTCGCAACGACATCAATGCATACCGTGCACAGAACCCCGAGCAAGCAGAGGCAGACTACATGCTGGACGAGCGGAGCCGCATCGACAACAGTCACAACATGACCGACACTGTTCTCACACAGGCATATGCCATCAACGAGCAGTTCGGCATCCAGCGGGAGACCCTTACCAGCATCAATCGTCGCATAGTCGGAGCAGCCAGCCAAGTACCTGGCATCAACAGCCTGATCGGCAGGATAGGCAACAAGAAGAGGCGAGATGGTATAATTATGGGCAGCTTTATTGCCTTTTGCTTCTTGATCTTCATGTACTTTTGGTAGACAAGTGCACTGCAAGGCGTTCAGGAGTTTATGGGCATGCAAGCGCTGGTTTTGGGAGGGGAGAACATTTTTGTATGTCATGGATCGTTATCGAGAGATTATTGCACTTGTTGGGGAGTGGCCATAGCCTCTGCCTCAACAACACTGTCAACTCTCTGACTCTTTGGTGACTCCTTGCTCTTTCTTGCCTCGGCCAGAACTCTCTTCAAGTTCCTGACCAAGCTCTCCTGCTCGAGTTCGTGAGCGACGGCACTGCCTGCCCAGCGAATCTTGCATTCCGTATCAACCAAGTAGACATAACCGACCTTGCTGTTCAGCAGACCAATGGCGTCTCTAATGTCGTCGTCGATGCCGCGTCTGATCAAAAAGTACTTGGTCCAGTCTTGCTTGGGGCGCATGGCCCTCAATCTGCCGGCAAAGGCTCGCAAGATCCACCATTTGAGCGCATTGGGTTCATGATTGATCTCGACTAGCTGTGCAAGTCCTGCTTTGCCTCTAGCCTTCTCTTGCTCCAGTACTTCGTGTAACGCCGGGTTCTTGTCCTTGGAGCAAAAGGTAGCGACTTGGTTCTCGGCCCAGCCAGATGAGAAGATGCTGACGATACTGATCTTGCCCTTCAATGCATTCACCAGATCCTTCTTTTCGGCATTCTTGGTCGAGTCCTTTTCTAGAGTGCGACCACGCAGGTTGGGGAACCAGAGGGCATGTTCGGCCTTGAAGACGGATTGAGGAGACAAAAACGTCTTGCCCTTGAAGTGGCGCATGGCACTAAAGTCGCGGAAGTAAGGACGGTATAGGGTATCGCTCAGCTTCTTGCGACGTACGAGATGCTTGTCGTAGTTGACAAAGTCATCTCTACGTTCTTTCCAGCTACGATCATCGAGTCCTGTGTTTTCGCCAGCTCGAGGTGGGTGTGGCATTCCAATCGGTCGTTCTAGAGGCTTTGGTACGGGATCCTCATCCGGGTTCTCTTTCTCGCGTGGTGTATATGTCAAGGGCTTGGTAGGTGTTGCGGCCGGCGGTGTTGGCTTGGTGGCATAGTTACGTGTTGCTGAGATGCAGACTTGGTTGCTGTTTGGTGTGACCAGTGCTCGCAGCACTCGCAAACACGACAATGATGGTGCCTTGATTGCCATGGTGGGATGTTTATGTATGGTAGACTGTCAAAAAGTGGCAGACAACATTGGAAGAAGATGGCCGGTCTCGAGATTTGTCCTCCGAATTGCGGAGTCGATCAACTCCGAGCTGCTTTCCCAGGCTCACTCATACTCTTCTTCACCAATGTCAACCATCATGGTGGAAATCGCTGTGATCACCTACGAGTTTGACACAATACCATGTGAATAGCATCGTTCTCTCCTTGAACAGGTTTCCCAAGTGTAATTGACATATACTCAAGTACATCGATGTCTTCTTCGCCATGCAGTGCAGTAATCAACATTATCGCAGCTCAGCATCACCACAATGCAGCTGCCAGGAAGAGAGCTGCGTTTGACGCATTGTATGCCTTGGACGACGAGGAGGAGGATGAGGTTGAGGATGAGGGCCTGGCAGCTTCATTCCAAACAGTGAAGGGCAGAACTCTTGGAGATCCAACCACTTCCCTTTCACGCTTGCGTCGCACACCAGGCAGACCTCCAGCCAGCCTCACACGCTCTGTTTCCAACATAGTCTTACCCCTACCACAGTCGACCCAGCAACTTCCGAATCCTAGGAGGGCTAAGAAACCTCTGGAGCTCCTGGAAGAGTCGAGTGCTTCGAATTCAATAATCAAAGATACTCCTCCATTACAACACCATCATACTGTTATCGGAGTGTCTTCACTCGACAGGCCTGCTAACGAAGCAATGCCACCTTCTTCCTCTGCCCCGCCCGTTTCTTCAGCCATTCCCATGATCAAGAACAAAAAGGGCAAGGGTAAGCAAGCGGCTGAAATTAATCTCGTCCCTGAACAACAACGCATCTTTCAAAATCTTCATTTCNNTGTAAGCTACACACATGCAAATGCTTGTCGTTTGCGCAATACTGACAGTTAAGACTTCTTTCCAAACAGTGACACACACCCTGGTCGCAGACAGAGAATCATCAGAGCTTTGGAGTATGGCGCAACTTGGCAGAACGATTTCAATGAGACTGTCACTCACGTCATCGCTGATCGCGAGTATGATTATACACAGCTGATGAAGTACCTGAAAATGACAGAGCTGCCTGCCTCTATCGTCCTGGTCAACGAAAACTATCCGGCGTCATGCATGGAGTTCTACAAACTAGTGGATCCATCAAGTATCGAGTTCAGAGTCAAAGGCTACGAGATGCCCGCTCCTATCTCGACGGCACAGCCTCAACCACTTCCATCCCAGGTGTCTGACACGTCTCTGAAACTCAAGCCTGCAAAGAGAAAGGCAACGACTCTCTCTTCGCAATCGACACCCCAGCCAGAGGCAAGTCCCAACCTGGTGTCTTCAACTGCGTCGCCAATGGCTTCTCCTGTACGTGTCAGTACCGACGAACAGCAAGCCGTGAACAAGGACGAGGATGAACTCGATTCGGCCATTAGGGAGGCCAAAGAGTCACANCCCCTTGCATCTGACGACGCAGAAGATGACGGACGTTATAAGAGACGTAAGCCAAACAACTGGCAAGATAAGTTCCAGTGCATGCACAAACACACTGGCGGCAGCGGCGATAAAGGCCCCAATGCCCAGACGCTGTCCGTCCTGCAAGAGCTGGCCGACTACTACGAGCAAACACGCGACCAGTGGCGTTCGAAATCATATCGTCAGGCCATCTCAGCACTNAAAAAGCACCCCGCCAAGGTCACCACAAAGGAAGAAGGACTGCGTGTCTATGGCATTGGTATCTCGATAGCAGAAAAGATTGAGGAGATTGTCAGAACAAGCCATTTGCGTAAGCTTGACTCCACAAAGATGGATGAGCGCCAGCAGATTCTCAACAAATTCCTGAAGATATACGGTGTGGGTTTGCATGCAGCAGAGCGATGGGCTAGTGCAGGTTACAAAACTCTCGATGACTTGCTTCAAAAGGCAGAGCTGACTGACAACCAACGCATCGGCATTGCTCATTATGACGACTTCAACAGCCGTGTCCCTCGTGCTGAGGTCGAGAAACACGCTGCAATGGTCAAGAAAGCACTCAATGGCTTGGATCCAGGTTACAAGGTCTATACGATGGGTTCTTATCGTCGTGGTGCCAAGGACTCTGGCGACATCGACCTTCTCATCACCAAACCGGGAGCAACCATCGACAAGATCCGCACGACGGTAATGGACCGTCTTGTGCCACTTCTCAACAAACAGAAATTCCTTGTCGCAGCACTGGCACAGACCTCTCAGTCGGACGGTACTCAATGGCACGGTGCATCCTGCTTACCCAGCAGCACAATCTGGCGTCGTGTAGATTTGCTCCTTGTGCCAGAGGAAGAGCTCGGCGCGGCTTTGCTATACTTTACAGGCAATGACATCTTCAACCGCAGCATGAGATTACTGGCTAGCAAGAAGGGGATGCGCCTAAACCAGCGCGGGCTCTACAAGGATGTACTAAGAGACTACGGCCGCGAAAAACTGAGCGAGGGTACTCTGGTGGAAGGCAGGGATGAGCGCAAGATCTTTGAGGCGTTGGGCGTGCCTTGGAGACCACCAGAGCACAGGATCTGCTAGTTAGGAGACAGGGGACCGTCGTCAGTTTATAAGGCGGCATGTAGTAATGTGTCAGGGTGCTCATTCGATAGCACGATTGTTAAGCAAATGCAACTACTTTCCATGTTTTTGGATTATGAGTTCAAGACTTTTGCCAGACAAAAGATGTTTGCAAAGGAAGAAAGAACATAATTTTGCCCCCTCTGCATCACGAACTCTTGCAATACTGTTTCCAACTAATGAACGAGCAAAATATACGTCAAGACGAGTGGTCCTTGTCCGAACGGCAAAAGATGTGTGCTCTCCATCAGGGAATCGAACCCTGGTCTCCCGCGCTTGACGAGATGTAACTCTTGACAAGCGGAAATCATGACCACTAGACCAATGAAGATAGGCCAGCTGTGCTGGTATTGGTTGATGGTCAAGCAGGATCTAAGCACGAAATTATACTCAACCCCGGTCTCGATGATCGTCGAACTAGATGACCGACCGAGGCGCGAGCCCAAGCTTGCGACATCCCCTAACAAGCAGCTCGCAATACGGTCGTCGCTGAGTTTGATGCTATCAACGTGCCCTTGCGCAGATGCAGTGTGATACCACCATAATCGGTACTGGCCATGTACTGGCCTATTGGTGCGCCCAAAACGTATGCTGCTTCTAAGCGTATAGTCCGCAGCGCCAATTCACCCTCTACCGACCCTGATAGTCCCGACAAGCTCGCCATTACACCACTCTCGCCCGATGCTGGACAACTCACGCCCTTGGTCCTGGAGCACGAGCAGACGCCTTTTGACAATGCGATTGCACCGACGCCTTCCACGGAAGAGAACAATGGCGCAGAAGAGCAGGAAATAGTGGACATCAAAACATCCCGCGCTGGCAATATATTCACCACCATCACTTCTTCGTCGCTTAGTGTATGGCAGACTAAGCCTACTGCTCTGCTCGCCACCGTCACAAGGTCGAATCATTCGCTGCAAACATATGGCCCGAACACGTCTCTCCTGCTGCGCCCGGATGCCCTCATAGTCATTGTGCAGACTCAGAAAGGCTTCCTCATTACATACTCCCTGGCCATTGACTCGGCCGCTCGAGTATACCAGACTTCTATCTACACTGCTTCTGGATCCCACGTCCGACGGCCAAGCAATGAAGCATACAGTAAGAGGCCCAATCTTGCCCCTGAGGGAGGACCTGCAGAAGGGGAAGGCATCAAGGAAGTCAGTGTGCGCTTTCGCATGGTGATCCGGATAGACGCTGGAATTTCACAAGCCCTCGTGCTCGATGATGAGCTTGTTGTAACCACTGTCAAACCTGCAGCTGTCCAGTGCATACGGTGGACACCAGACAGCTCCGGCTCTTCTCACAGTACTGAGCTTCTCAAGCGGATGACCTGGCTGATCGGAAAACCTTCTGTCATAGACATGTCATACGATAGACCCATGAACCTTCACACTTGGGTGACAGATGATGGAAGAGCGTATGCAGTACAGCGATTGTCTGGAGCCCGTGTTGACTCTACCAACCTCAAAAGTCTGTTCAGAGGTTTCTGTTTCCATACTCCGGTGCACCTGGGCCTCTTTGCAACAAAATCTGCAATCAATGCTCGTTTTTCTCTGATAGCTATCGGATGTTCAAACGGCACAATCCAAGTTTACTCTGCAAAGGACTATCTGGGCAACATACCACGATCGCACGAACTCAAATTACCCGTGTCAGAAGCATCTTCTGGCAATCTGACATTCTTGAGCTGGTCTCCGGATGGATACTGTCTCTTTGCAGGCTATGATCAAGGATGGGCAATATGGAGTGTTTATGGTAAGCTAGGTGCAAACACTTTTGGCGCAGATCGATCAATGTCGGAAACCAATGACGAAGAATGGCTTTGCGGCGTGCGCTCTGGCTTCTGGGTTGGTGGTGGCGCGGAGATACTGCTCCTTGGTCCAAGCAGACGCGAGCTGCATGTCGTCGAGATGATGCGTAGCAGTGTAACAAGCTGTTTTGCAATGCCCAACATCTCCAGATCCCTGCTGCAAGGAAGCACTAGCTTGATGCTGTACAGAGGATTCGAGACTTCGGATCACACAACCATATCTGGTGATATCTCCTTGTGGCAGACTGTACAAGTCCCACAAGCCTATCTTGCATACCAATGGCCACTCCGACTCAGCGTCGTTTCTGCTGACGCGAGATATCTTGCCGTAGCTGGAAGACGAGGGTTGGCACATTACAGTGTTGGTAGTGGGCGCTGGAAAACGTTCGAGGATCCCATCGCTGAAAACAGCTTCACCGTACGAGGTGGCATGTGCTGGTGGCAACACATTCTTGTGGCTGCTGTGGAGTCTGGCAGTAGTTACGAGGTATGCTTTCTTGGTGCAGTCGCTCTGACAAACCGCTAAACTTTCACANNGGTCCGTTTGTATTCGCGCGAGAAGACTCTGACCAATTCTCAAGTGTTACACGCTGAGATACTGCCCTACCCAGTAGTCTGCATGGCTACGTCTGGGGAAGATTCTCTCTTGGTGTATACTTACGAGAACGTCCTGCTTCATTACATCTTCGTCTCATCGTCCAAGACAGTCAGACTGGCACAGGTCGGTCAAATCGCCTTTCATGGTATAATTAGAGCACCACCACGTGTTCGTGCTATCAGCTGGATTCTCCCCGAGGAGCAACGCGGTATGTCTTCGATGCTTGTGTCCTTTTCAAGCCGCTTACACATGCCACTTNNAGACAATGGCGATCCGTCACACGATGTTGCTACAGCTTCCGTACTGTTCTTGGTTGACGCCAAGTTGGTTCTGCTACAGCCTTCAGCAAACGAACACGGCGAGCTCAAGTATGATATGCGTGTTATTGCTCACAATGTGGAGTTCTACACACTGTCTAGAGAACAGCCACCTTCTAGATCACCATCAAGTCCTCTTGATGACAACCCTGATAACAGCTATCTACCTGCAGGTGCTCTGGGCCACAGCTTGCGCGACTCTCTGTGGTATTTCGATGGCACATCAATGCACGCATGGCCTGATGTTCTCGATGTGCTTTCCTCTGCTCTTACGGAGCATGGACGTGAGGTAGCTCCTACTGTCGCTATCGCAACAGACTTTTATCCACTTTCTGCGATCGTGGAGAAAGGACTTCTCACTGGTCTCGAGTCGGATTTAGTTCAACGTCGCGACATCAATTTCGCGTTCTACCGTCTCAACCCACGCACTCACTTGTCGATACCGTCTCTTCTACGACATCATCTAGCGCAGTACGATTCACCCGCGGCGCTTCATCTCTCGCATTCTTACCAGAAGCTCCCTTACTTCAATCATGCTTTGGAAGTGCTCCTGCATGATGTCCTGGATGACGAGGTTGATGCTCCGCCTGAGTCGTCAGAGGCAGCACTTCTTCCTGGCGTCTTGTCGTTCCTCTCCTCGTTCCCAAAATATCTTGATATTGTTGCTGGATGCACGCGCAAGACAGAGTTGCGAAGCTGGAAAACCTTGTTTCGCTATCTACCACCTGTTGCTGAGTTGTTCGAAGAGTCCCTCCAGAAAGACATGCTCAAGACGGCAGGAAGTTATTTGTTGATTCTGCATGCTTTCGATGAAGGTAGCTTCAGTGCGCGTCAGACATCTACTCTGTTCAAGAGAGCTAGGGAAGAGGGCGACTGGGATCTCTGCAAAGAACTCGCTCGTTTCTTGGTAGGGATTGACGAGACGGGAAACCTTCTGAAAAGTGTGCTTTTTCGAGCTGGGCTGAGGGGCACGGAGCCTCATAATAGCTACAGCTCCTCGGACGAAGATGTCAGCGGGCCTTTTCACGGCGCCAATGCCTCCAATGGCGCCGCAATTGAGACACCTGACAGGTCTGGGAGTAACAGTAGTGACGGCAGCATCATCAATGCCGGTCGCAATCTTGGTTCATCCACACAGGACTATTTTGCTGACCCAGCAGGATACCCATGAGAAAGGTATCCCTGTCGGGTCACGAACGCCCAGGTAGCAACCTTACCATAGGGCTGCATGTCGCGTGGAAATGGTATACATGTTTTCTTTTGATCGCTGTCTAGCGCAGGACGGGCGCACGTGTGATGTGTGCGATAGGCAGGGGAAATCGCAGATGGTGGCTCTTAAACTGTGATGCAGAAAAGTAAACAGGGAAGCTTCAAACGGGTTGGTGGGGTTCTCTCTGCTTTGGGAAGAGAGCACTGTTTTCTGCTTTGGGAAGCAATATCCATTCATCTCAACCACGACACTTGAAGCGTCAAACAACATTCAATCGCAATATTTAGAGCGGCTTTCGTGATGCTAGCTATATTACTTGCCGCATGGCGCAGTTGACTGTGGCAGTGACTAGTTGAATACGATGGAAGGTGCTGACTGTTTGACGCTCGCGCGTAGGAAACCTCGTGCTTACCAGAGCCGAAAGCTTGGTATGGCGCACCTTCTGCATACACCGCCCGTCCTCTCTAGGAATATGGAGCTGGGGTCATTTCCAACTTATCTTTTGCTCAGATTCTATACTCCTCCGACCGATCTAAGTATAACCATCGTCATCACGCATCAACCGGTGTATCTCATATACCATGTCTTGGCCATTCTCTGCTTCGGGTCAGCCTGGTGTCACGACCAGAAGAGCATGGAGCTACGTATGTGGCAGGGCTGTCATGCTAGACATCCCTCCGATCGAGAGGTTACTTCACCGTAGGTCTGGCATATATTTTGAAGGTTTACTGTTAGGTTTATAAGGTGAGGAGAATACTACCACGGCCTACGACTAGGGAGAGTGCGCTTCGTCATACGCTCTTTGCACCCCGGTCAGATCTCAAGAACTGCTGGAAACGGTCCATCGTCTGGCGGTCGGACGGCCGCATCCATCTTGGAACTCTATTTCGGCGACGCCGACAATTGGTCCACGACCTTTGCAGATAATTGTGGTAGCCTGAGGTGCCGCTTCGGGAGACCTTTTCACTTTTCCAATGACTGCATTTCTTTATACGCCCTGCAATGTAGAAAGAGGTTCACAGCCTCTTGACTGCGCCCGAGCTTACAAAGTTCGCTCCTTCCTTCTAAAATATCCCCTTCTTACTTCCTTTGGAATAACTTGGCATCTGCCAGCTTTTCTTGATATAACTATTGACTCGGAGCTTAAAGGTTGACCAAAGAAAGATACAATACATACCATCGCTGGCTACCACCATGCTCTAGTACACAACTTCACTAGTGCTACACCACTAGCAAACTCCGAAGCAGCTTAAAGACTGCCCTCTGCCGCCGATCATCGACAACATCAACCACAACAGCAACAAACATACATGCCATCCCCGAGATGGCGATGAACAGCAGAACTTCCAGACGGTCAATATCTCCGAAGGACAACATTGCCGACCAAGATGACCAACACAACCTCACATGGATCATGATCACCAACCCACACCAATCCAAAGACAAGGACATGATGAGGAACGTTCGCATACAAGTCATGAACGACTACCTCACCAAGGAACGCAGAAACCCACACAGTACCGATGCTCGCGTACGACATACCGTGAAACGCTCAAAGACCAGTACGTCGCCAGAGATGAAAAAGAAGTCGGGTCCTCATAAGACAAGAAGTCAATCCCCTCCTCGTGCTAGGGACTCGGCAATGGGCTCTGCACTACCATCGCCCGAGATGGTATACGCTCAAACGTACCAAGATTTAGAAGCAGAGACGTTAGACGATACAGAGTCGGCGGCGCTGGCGCCGTGTGCGGCTTACGACCCACCAGTGGCAGGCATTGGTGCAAAACTGGATGTCTTCAATGCGACTCCGAAGTTTGATGGGGAACATGTCGATGTTCTCATGTTAAAACACAATTGTATGTACCTCCATCATGAGGCTGACCAGGTCTAACAAAGGAAATGCAGGNNCACGACGTATTTTGCAAGTCAGGCCATGTGCAAGAAATGGGTTCCAATGTTGTTCGCCGGTCGTGCAGCATTCCTCAGCACATTATGCATCTCGTCCGCCTACCTCGACATGATGCAGATGGATTTCACAGTCACACGGACCGCCAACTCGATCGAATCTGTACGAACGCTCACAGTCAGGGAACAGACGGTGAAATTAATTGGTGAGCGTCTGTCCGACCCAGAAACTTGCTGCAACGATGCAAATATAGTCTCAGTCGTACATTTGCTATTTGGTGAGATGATCGTGGCTGGCAGCCAGGCCTTGCAGTGGCACGAGGATGGACTACACACAATGGTAGAATACAGNGGAGGCTTGGACAATCTAGGCGGTAATGGTCTCTTGGCTGCCATGGTCACCATGTAAGTTGAAGAGAACATCCGAGAGACTAGTTCTGACTTTGATTAGNNCCAAACCTTTGAAGTTTCAGTCCTTCGCGAGAATCGTCCTCGACAACAGTACCTTGACTATGCTCGATCGATCTCTGGACCTGCGGCACGAGACCGTTCCTCTGCAATGCCAGAATCGCCTCTATACTACCCCACCGGTGTCCATCATACTCTAGCTCGCACGCAACGCTGCGATGAAGAGACTCTGGATCTTGTGAACTATGTCCGGGACCTTACACAAGCTGTCATGGACCTCGAGGAAGCGTCCGCGGCAGATGCTCCTCACGGCGAAAAGTTCGGACCCAAGGCAGCAAGTAGAATATACACAGAGCTGGAAGTCCAAGCATTGCACAGGAAGAAGCGCAGAACCGTAGACCACCTTGTCGCACTCGAGGCTCGAGACGATCCGATGTACGAAGCGGTACGACTTTGTGCTCTACTCTATGCCACAGCCATTCACTGCAACATGCCCCTCTCCACCACTGCCTGCAGCTTCCCAAGTCGTATTGTGCTACAGATAAGAGACAATCTCCTCCGTACTGACTTATCAAACTGCTGGGACAGCATGGTAGGCATACTCTTCTGGTGCACGATTGTGACTGGAGCAGCGTGCAACAATGCAGACGACGAAGACATTGAGGTGCTGGCAACCAAGAAATGGATGGTGGCGCTCGCCATCAGAAGCTCGATTCTGCTGATTTTCCAACACACGGATGCTATGGTGAGGATGTTGAGGACGATATTGGTTGTGCAGAAGGTGTTGAGAGGTTCGGTGGGCGAAGCGGAGATCTAGTAGGCACACCCCTGGTGGGTTCCTGACTTTCTACTGTACTCGTACGGAATATTGGTATTTAGCACGGGAAACTTAGACAGCGGGATGCACAATCAAATACTTATATGATCAACTTACGACGGATCAACACACGTGATGGGTGACATGGCCCGCACAAAGAATTGGAAGTACCACAATCTCAAGCAGCATCGTGTCCTCGACAATCAATGAGCATCGCCAGACACGACCAACCTTAGAGAACGACGACCAAGATATATTCAAACACAACAATTGGATAGGGGTAAGATTGTGGAACATGTGTATTATAGAGCAATGCAAAACGCTACAAGAATTCTAGATCTAAGGGTATAATGTGTATAAGCAACAAAAAATGCGAAAATCGTGGTATGCTGCCATCACATCGTATTGTGATGAGCTTTCAGGTTGAGCTGGAGAAACTCTTTCTACAAGTAAAATTCGACAGAGGTCTTAAGCTTTGTGGACAGCATAAGCACTCTTGGTTCTGATCCTCGCGCCATAGATGTAGAAGACATATGGCACGGGCACCATGAGTGCACTGATACATGCGAGGATGGTGAGCGTGTAGTGGACGCCCATGTTGCGGTACCAAGGCACACCGACCACAGTCATGCCGCCGGCTGCGAGGTAGCGAGTAAACGTGACAAACGACAATGCGCTTGCGGCGTAGATGGCGTAAGAGTCGATGATGTACATGTAAGCCGAGATGAAGATTGTGATGACGCCGTAGCCGAACAGAGCAGAGGCGATGATGGGAGACCAGATGGAGATGTTGGCGTAATCGGTCCAGCCCATCCAGAACAGAGAGACGGGCACTGCGAGTGCGCCGCCGAGCATGGCAAAGTAAAGACGAGATTCAGGTGTGGGAGCAGGGTTTTCGACTCCAGCTGCCTCTTGCTTCTTGATGTCTTTGACTGTCCAAGAGTAGATCAGAGGCAATGTGCCAAACAGAGGGAAAAAGCCAATAAAGACAGCAACCCAAATGATATTGGTAATACCCTGAGAGATGCCATAAGTCTCGGTAAAGACGAACTCGAAGCCGATGAAGAATGTGAACAGCACAATGTAGAGAACTGTAAGGTAAAGTGACATGAGCAGGATGATGGGTTCAGTCCAAATCATAGCGAACGGTCGCCAAAGTGCAATCTTCAGGCGAGTCCAGAGAGAAGTGCGACGCACCTCCAAGGGCGATCTGTAGCGGTCATCGCCTGTTTCGACGCGAAGGTGATGGGCTTTCCAAGAAAGTAGAAGCGGACCGTAAGTTTCTGGCTGGCCAACAATAATGATGGTTGTGATGATGCCACCGAGAATCAGCATGAGCCATTCACACCAACGCCAGCTCATGCCGCTGGGACCAATGTAAGAACCAATGACAGGGCCGAAGAGAGGTCCAGAGAATCCGATGAATGCATAGACTGGGAAGCTAAAGGTCTTCTCGAGGGGGTTCCAGAGATCGGCGATAGTACCGCCAGCTACTGTCAAGGGCGTTGATCCGAACAATCCTGCGAAAAATCGGAGTACGATGTGTCCACCAAAGTTGGGAGCGAGAGCGCAGCCAAGCAAGAAAAGCATGTAGATGCACATAGTCACAATATAGATGATGTTCCTTCCAAACGTTTCCGAGAACGGTCCCGCGAATTGCGAACCGACGGCGAAGCCAATCAGGTACATTGCAGTTGCCAGTGAGCCAGCAACCTCGCTGACGTGGAAGTAATCTGCGTACTGAGGCAATACCGCAGCATCGATCGACGACGCCGCAGTACCTGCAAGAGCTACAAGGGACACGACCACTGTCGCCCACATGCGCTTTGTCGTGGACCAGTTTTGAGGCTTTAGTGGGTCGTGAGAGCCTTCCCATTCGACCACAAAGACATGGCCGTTCTCGCTTTCATTAGTGGCTCTCAGGCGCGCGTTGATGCCAGTCATTGAGTATCCTAGAGCTGTCCGTTCCGAGTAATGCGTTCGGTGGGTTGGTATCCTAGAGAGATCGGCGTTTTCGCTCTTGGTCCTGGCTAAGGTCGCATGGTGACTCCTGCTGGTATGTATCCTGTTGAGTTCGTTCTGGTTGTCGGTTTGAGGATATGAGTCTTCCATTTCGTCTTCCACTATCGCGTCGAGTGCTTCCTGGTCATCGTTTGCTTCCTCGTCTCTACTGGGTGTTTCGGCCTTCTCCAGAGACTCTCCACCGAAGATCTGAGCTTCCTCGCGTGAATCGAGTCCATGTTGTTGGGTATATGCAGAAAGTGCTTTGGCCTTGTCTGTATCCCTGGACAGCTGTCTCTGAACAGCCTGCCTGAGTTGTTTGTATTGGCGTAACGACTGCATGGTCGTGGATCAAAGTTGGGTGTGTAACAAGGAAACAAAACTTTTCTGAATGAACGTGAGAAATGACGAGGGTGACAACAATGGCCTCGAAGGTGCGCCAGATCGTTGGGTCCCTTAGACTTATATATCATAGCGCCACTGCACATGCGGTGGTCCTTCGGTCAGAGATTGCTGTGATGGGCAACGGGTCAAAGGCGCGTAAGACCCACTCTCACCGACCCCAGATCAAGGTGGTTGTTTTTCTTGCTTGCCATCATCACAGCTATATCGTTTGTTCGCAAACTTTCGTAGCTGATAAAGCCATAGCGTACTATCATCACTACACTCCGAGTAACAGACTTGAGCATCTACCCTCGATATAATTGTTAGTGTTCAGTGACCGGTGAGAAGGAGAAAATTCGGGTTTGGCGCAATCTACTCGGCTTCGGTACGATTTTCCGCCTGAAAGTTCCGAGCACTGATCCAACATCTACATTTGAGCACCATGCTTAGGACAAGCCATCGGGGTAGAATTCATATAAGCATGATAGAAGATCGACCTCTTTACAGCACGATCAATAGCGAATTATGTCATTGGTTGTTCGCTTATTCTGCTTCATCAAGCTTGCATCTCGGACTTGCCCATGCTTGATGACTTGGAAAACTGGGACAATAGTTTGAGATATCATGGTTGAGACCATCGCTCAACGGCTTCTCGGACAAGCATCACTTCTGACCATGTATCAAGACATGGCAAGACTTCTTCGCATCGTAGCATGCGTGCAGTGCCAACGACAAGCGATCATGCTTGCGAGAAGCAGAGCGAGCATCGCAGTGAACGCGGGTATTGCGGAGTAGGACAAGCAACGCGGTTGTTGCGGGTACTGCGGAGCATACTCCTCAAAAATTCGTGATCGTAAGACGTTCGGAGGTCGTGATGGTCATTTGTGAGTCAGCAAGAGATGGGTATTGCGCAACGGAAAAGACTCGGTCAAAGAGTGAATGGTGGATGCAACCTCCCTGTGTGCAATAGACAGTCACAAATGAGCGACCTCTCTTGCCTACTAGCTTATCGTTTTATCATGAGCTATAGTGATGCACAGTCATTTTCTGAATAGAGGTGTCACCACGGAGATGCCTGAATATAACGTTCTCTCCATGAGTGTCATCCTGTCATAGAAAACGACTGTGCGTTTCTACAAGTATACTGTGACAGTCTATCGAAGCACGAGTTCGAGGTTTGGCCTGCTTCAAAAGTGACCCTGTCCGGGGCGGAAGCGCACGTGCCTATCTTGGCAAATTCACACTGCGCTTGCCTGTTGAACAAAATCTGCGCAGCCGCCACTCTTCTTGAACCCGTCACGCACAATTCCTCACCAAAAGAACCCAATTCTCTTGGAAGACAGCCAGCATCATGTCGAAGATCACTGTCGCCGGAGTGCGCACCAACGTGCAGGAGCTCCTCAACTACTCCCAGAATGAGAAGAAGCGCAACTTCCTCGAGACCGTCGAGCTCCAGATCGGCCTCAAGAACTACGACCCCCAGCGTGACAAGCGTTTCTCGGGTACCGTCAAGCTCCCCAAGGTCCCCCGCCCCAACATGGCCATCTGGTACGACCTGGAAATCTGAAAGAGCACGAAGGGACAAGACGGCTGACGGACAACTACAGCNATTCTCGGTGACCAGCACGATATCGACCGTGCCAAGCACTTCGGTGTTGATGCCATGTCCGCTGAGGACTTGAGAAAGCTCAACAAGAACAAGAAGCTGATCAAGAAGCTCGCTCGCAAGTACGACGCCTTCATCGCTTCCGAGGCTCTCATCAAGCAGATTCCTCGTCTCTTGGGTCCCGGTCTTTCCAAGGGTAAGCGCAATCGCATCTACTATAAACTCCATCAAAAGAGCATCGACTAACAAGCACAACANGCCGGCAAGTTCCCCACCCCCGTCTCCCACGCCGAGGACCTCTCCAACAAGATCACCGAGGTCAAGTCCACCGTCAAGTTCCAGCTGAAGAAGGTTCTCTGCATGGGTGTCGCCGTCGGCAACGTCGAGATGACCGAGGATGAGCTGATCGGTAACATCATGTTGTCCATCAACTACCTCGTCTCTCTTCTCAAGAAGGGCTGGCAGAACGTTGGAAGCTTGACCATCAAGGCTTCCATGTCTCCNCCCAAGCGCGTCTACTAGAGGACATTTATTTGTTCGATAGTGGTGTGTGCTCCTGCTGAAGGAAGAAGAAAAGTACCAACAATGTTAGCAAGCACAGATGAAAATCAAGATGATTTGCAGCACCCAAAAATGTTTTTCTCTGCCTTGAGCACTCGTGAGGCCGATTATGTGATATGCACATGTGCTTGCGATCCTCATATCTGACGATTGGTCCTCATAACCGATAGTGGTATCGTAGTCCAGAACACGACCTGCATGAGCAGCTTGTAGTAAACATATGTGGAAGTCATAGAGATGGTATGCACATATATGGTAGTTGCAGGCGAAGGAGTATGAAGATGTGAATTTTCTGATAACTACACGTCGCTGGAGCCGAGCGCGATGCGCAAACGCGATCAAGTCTTGCCGATATCCAAGACCAGAAAGCATTCGCAACGATTGCGCAAAAGCTCTGTTCGATAAAACCTTGCGCAGAGAGAACTCTGCTGGCAAGAAATATGAGACCAGAAAGAAAAAAACTTCTTTAGATGAAGAGATGTCGCAGCCCTCCCACACCTCCGTCGCACATTTGGCGGTACACGCAGATGTTAGGTGAGGGCTCCTTCCCTCTATGCACCAGGGAACGATACGAATTCCATAGGGAGAGGAAAACACATAGCAAGCCGCCGTAGCGGAAGTGCAAAGTGACATTAGTCACCTACTGATAGATAGAAAAGAAACTTACTTGAGGGCGAGGACTGGGCAAGTTTTATAGAAGCTGCACAGGGTCTGTGCTGGGCGTCCGCTCGGTGGCTTATGTAAGCATGTGAGCGCATAAGGTCGAGAGGAGCACCCTGGCGCGATATCAAGATGTGCGACGGCGAGGGTTGAGATAGCCTGAGAAACTCGGAGTCTTGCAAGGTATATGTATGTAGAGAATTGGAAACACTTGGGGGTATTTCATGGGGACTCAAGCTATTTTGTCGCTGTTACGTTTGATCATCTCATTCTCTGGGTGTGTTGACTGCTTTCCATTCCATCCTTGAATCGCTCTCCAGTGACGAGCAGAGCCCTTTGACTTGCAACCCCTACTTACGACTATCAGCAAGGTAGAGCTCCCTTCTAGTCAGTAAAGATTTTCATGCCGAAAGGAAGTATCGACCAACAAGTTGTTGGAAGTGAGGAGTAGGTGCCCAGTTCGAAATAGCAAAGTCACGTGCTGCACCAATAGGCAGGCGGCCCAAGCTCGTCGCATCGCAGCATTCCTGGAGCAGAACTCCCTCCCAGCTGCCGTTCCCGTCCATCTCCATCACTTCTCACCATCACCCCTTCTCCAATCCATCACCAGCACCTGTTTCCTTGACTGGACTACTAGGCGCTTTTTCACTCTTCAACTCTTCACGTCGCATCCTCGCCGAATCGCGTCGCCTTTACGCGCCTCACTCAACACCGACTACCTCACACCACCCGCCTAACACCGCCAACATGTCTGCTGAGGAGGATCTCATCGATTACTCTGACGAGGAGCTTCAGACCACTGAGCCCACCGCCGCCACCACTGACGCCGCCGCTGCCAACGGTGACGCAAAGAAGGCAGATGGCGCCGCCCCTGCTGCAGGCGCTGCCACCAAGGGCAGTTACGTTGGTATCCACTCGACTGGTTTCCGTGACTTCCTGTTGAAGCCCGAGCTTCTTCGCGCCATCACCGACTGCGGTTTCGAGCATCCTTCGGAGGGTTAGTCATTCATCATCATCATCATCATCATCATCATCCTATCTAGCGCGCGTCTCCATTGCTCCGATCGTCCGTCCATCTCCAAGCGAAGCTCCATCAGGTAGAAAGAGGAGGCAGTCAGCGTTTTTTTTATGCATTTGCCAGCCACCTGGATACATCCTGCGTCACCAGTCCGCTCTGCGCTACATTTCGCCTGTGGTGCAGACTCGGCTCTGGTTTGACAGCTGCCGGATTCCGAGGGAGAAGCCATGCCGTTCATACACGAGCAATGCGACAAAAGGCGCGTCATGCAATCTGACCTTTGGTCTTACGAGTCTTGTGCCTGGCGCCAATTGAACTCTTGATTTGCAATCTGGACGCGCCGTCTCCCGGCTTTGCTTTGCGCCTCTGACCTTGGTCAAGTGCTGTCGGTCACACCATCTGCTTTTTCATTGTCGCAAGTTTAGCTAGCGAAACCTGGACAGGAGATGGACGGACGCTTGCTTGATTCACGCGAACACACTACTACTTGGCAAACCGATTCTGACATAGCTGCGATATCCAGTCCAACAGGAGTGCATTCCCCAAGCCATTCTCGGTAACGATGTCATCTGCCAGGCCAAGTCCGGTCTGGGAAAGACTGCCGTCTTCGTTCTCGCAACTCTTCAACAGATGGAGCCCATCGAGGGTGAGACCTCAGTTCTGGTCATGTGCCACACCCGTGAGCTCGCCTACCAGATCAAGAACGAATACGCCAGATTTACAAAGTACATGCCCGATGTCAAGACTGCCGTCTTCTACGGTGGTACTCCCATGCAGAAGGACATCGAGCTTCTTTCCAACAAGGAGACTCACCCTCACATCATCGTCGCCACTCCCGGTCGTCTGAACGCCCTCGTCAGAGACAAGAAGCTCCGCCTTGGCAACATCCAGCGCTTCGTCCTCGATGAGTGTGACAAGATGCTCGACCAGATTGGTAAGCTCAATCGTGGCTTCTGGTATGGCCAATAGCTAACCCCGAACNNAGACATGCGCCGCGATGTGCAAGAAATCTTCCGTGCCACCCCAACACAGAAGCAGGTTATGATGTTCTCGGCCACTCTCTCCCAGGAGACTCGTCCCATCTGCAAGAAGTTCATGCGTAACCCTCTGGAGATCTACGTCGACGACGAGACCAAGCTCACCCTTCACGGTCTCCAGCAATACTACATCAAGCTCAGCGAGGCCGAGAAGAACCGCAAGCTCAACGACCTCCTCGACGAGCTTGAGTTCAACCAAGTTATCATCTTCGTCAAGAGCACTCTCCGTGCCACTGAGCTCGACAAGCTTTTGCGCGAGTGCAACTTCCCCAGTATCGCCGTTCACTCTGGTGTCTCTCAGGAGGAGCGGTGTGTATCCCAGCTTTCGACATGATTGACAATGACTAACGCCTTCATAGTNATCAAGCGTTACAAGGAGTTCAAGGAGTTCAACAAGCGTATCTGTGTCGCTACCGACGTCTTCGGTCGTGGTATCGATATTGAGCGTATCAACCTTGCCATCAACTACGATCTTCCTGGTGACGCCGACTCTTACCTTCACCGCGTCGGTCGTGCTGGTCGTTTCGGTACCAAGGGTCTCAGTATCTCCTTTGTCAGCAGCGAGCAAGATCAGGAGGTGCTCAAGACCATCGAGAAGAGATTCGAAGTCGCTTTGCCGTAAGTTTTTCATGTCTTTTTCATTAGGTCTGAACACGCTCGCTAACACAACTCAAGTGAATTCCCCGAGGGCGGCATTGACTCCAAGAGCTACATGGCCAACTAAGCAGCTTCCTCCACGTTAGAAAGCATGGATGATGTTTATCAACAAAACTGCACTTTTGGCAAGCGATTGCAATGGGACACGCGTGACGGTGTACTCTTAGCTTCTTTCTTACTATTTAACGATTATCAAAAATTATTCCGTTGATGAGACATCCTGCCTGTCTTGCTCTGGACTTTTCATCATCTCGTTGCCATCACATTCCCAACACACTGCAGCGCTCTTGCACTTTAATTCGCAGTCCGCGAATATGTGACGACTCTTTGAGACCCAAAGCAACGGGTCCAGCCATTCAACAATGCTGATGCCTACTCAACGATTGACATTCGACATGCCGAGCCGTCATCCTGAACAAGATTGTTTTCTCTCTATTACGCACGCAGCGAGAGCGAGAAATATCAACGTCCGAGGTAAAAGTTGCGACGGTGCTCTTGAACATCAACAACGTCTTTTTCCAACTGTCAATGACCGTCACTCGGCAGCACTTGCATCCGAGAAACACGTACGTTGCCGGCCGCGGCGCTCAGACTTCCTACTAATTACTGTCAATTTGCGATGACAGTCTAAAGCATGAAATCAATTCTGGAAGGTCAGCTCAAGAGCACAGAGTCATTTATGGTAGATCATGTTCATCAGATTGACCTCATACGTTTTGCATGATGTTGATTGTGAATACTGTTTGATGCGAAGAATGTGTATAGAAGTAATCAGCCTCGAGTATCTGGATGTAGAGAATACAGTGACCACGTTAGAGATGGCATCAAGCTTCTCTCTCCTGCAGCAGCCTGGCCTGTGATGAGCTTTGTTGTTTCTACAGCAAAAGTCAGGACTAAAGCTCGAGTGAGAGTCCTACAGAGCGCGCTGCAATATTGACAAGTTCGAAGCCGATAATTCAGGAAAATCAGCATACATGCCGACATCAGCTTAACCGAGAAGATGATCGTAGACTTGATGTATCTCCTGCCTCTACGTTGTCTACAGAGATGTACATCGAGTAGGCAGCAAAGTCGACGACTGAGGTCAGATGTGACCTGAATGGAAAGAAGCCGCCTCCAGTCATTGAGATAACCTCGAAACTCTGTCCGCTCAAGCCATTCCCAATCCTTGTAACCTCCGCATGAGCTGCGACGTTGAAAATGCATGTTGGCAGTCTTATGGTTACATCAGCCGGCACAGAAGGAAGCGCTCCGTCGGGCACATATAGGTTTTCCAGTGAGACGATCCAGAAAGAAAATCACACCAGCAAGCGTCCAGCGTGGCAGATCTTGAGCAATAGTGGTCGTATAGAATGCTCTTAATGACCCAGGTGCATAGCTCATTTGTGGTATCGTCATCCAGATATAGGAGGGGGTGGTGAAGAAGAGGCAAGAGAGTTTGTAAGGGCAAGATACCGGTTTGTTGTTCGACCTCCCAGAGTCCGGGAATACTCCAAAATGACATTAGCATGATTTGCGGTAAAGGGGTAGAAGGGCATCAACGTGGTGGCGGCACTGGGGTTAAGTGAGTGAACCAGTTCTATACTTTACAGCTTGGAGTCAATTGTAAGTGGTTGCCGTCGATATTGAGATGCAAGCTTCTTTCCTTGTCTGACCGGTCTTTTACATGGTATGCATCAACGTGCGTTGCAACATGATGATGCAGACGGTACTTCGTAATGGCATCGTTACGAAAGCGGGCAGCTTTATCAAAGCCGGCACTCTTGATCGAAAAGGTGTACTCGAGTCGTCCAGCTCTCGAACGATGTCTTGACAGAACCATGAATATCATCTGATCTCGCAAGCCCGTACTGTTCTTGAGTATAAGAAAGACCACCTAGAAGGTAATCCTGATACTATCCGTCTGCTGTCCGTCTCGTCCAGTTGTCTACACCTTTGCGTAATGGCGCTGCTCGGCATTTGCTATGGACTTCGTAGCGAAAGCGTGAATGTGCACCAAAGGCACCTCTATGGCAGCCTCGTTGACAGAAGAGGGAATCTAGGATGAGCCATCATGCAGTGTGGACCGCATCCTCTATGCAAAGGCGGTAGTCGACAGATCCACAGCTTCACAAGACCATGAGGCCTGACACCGGTACTTAGCAGGCTTCTTGCGCTCTTTGCGAAATATTGTCCGTTTGCCCATTTCGGCACAGTCGGATGCCACATTTTTTCTTTCTCTTTTAAGATTCAAGAGGCTTTTCGAACCGCCCAACGGCCAACCCTTCCTGAAAGCGCCAGCGCTGTGACGGCGGATTTAACCGGTGTCGTACCTTGATTCTGTTTCACTTCCTTACCAAGCATTGGATGAATGTTTCACTCGCAAGCATGCCCTGAACGATTTGTCGGTACGAGAAAAAGAGACCACAGGACCAAACAGAAGGTGAAAAAGCTTGTTGTTATGTCCCGTCTGGGGGCATACGAGAATGACATTTCTTGCGTGGTGCAAGGGCAGCCCAACGTGGGGGATGGGAAAACAGGGATTATGGATCCTTCGATAGAGAAGAGGTGCAACCGGTGTGTGGCTGTGAAGAAGAGAAGACGCGGTTGCGTATTTCCGTATCGACGATAAGCGTACATCGTACTGTACCGGAGGTCGGTCATGCTTCGTCGAAGCTGTGCGTTCACAATGGCTTCAATGAGCGTTCTAGTTGTTGAGAACACATCAGCACCCAAGCCAATCTGTCGGTCTTTGGGCTTGTTGGCTTCCGCAGCAATAAGCCTGCTGCAGGATGGCTTTTCGCCTGATGCCATTGTATCTGAGACTTTGCTGCCTGGCGCATTGACAAGCAAAAATCGTGCTTGTTTGGTTCGTCTGTCTGTCGCGTGGCATCAAGGAACAATCTCCGTCGACTGGCCAATGATGTTCATTTGCGCTCCGGAGACTCGAGGATACTCAGACACAGGACCGGACGACCGAGAACCGACAGCAGTACATACTGGACTCCGAGAACACGTTCAGCCTATACAGGGTATTCTCTAGATGCGTAGAGTAGCGCGCAACATCCATGTGTCTTGGTCTGTACAGCAGATTAGAGGTGTCACCAAGTTCGAATTGAGAAGCATGGAAGCCGGCGCGATTTAGCAGACGCAAATGTCACACATGACATATTACAAACGGTGATATCTGCCTGCGACTGTAGTTATCAGATCGAGGAAGCAGGTTGCCGTGCAGCTGTCATGAAAGAGCATAGTGCTATATACGAGGCCGGATCACATAGCTCCCGCCCTCCGAGTCAAGCACCAGATGGTGTAGGTTCAGCCTTTGCTATGCACGTACTACGGACGTTCATAGGACGCTACTGTTTCGGCGTTGGAATGGTACAAGTATTGCCAGCCTCATGCCGTCAAGAAGCCGGATACTTGTTGCATCAAAGGTTTCAGAAACATGAAGTAGACTGATAGCTCTTTTTCTCCTGCAGTTTTTGGCAAAACATTTTCCTCACCTTTGTTTATTGATGGTAGAAGCTTGTTTCTATATCGGATAGTCATGTTTCGATAGCAGGGCTAACCACTCTTATCCTTGCCGAGAACGATGATCTGCAGATGGGATATTCGACGTTCTCTACCATCGACTGGGGGCTTAGTCCTGGATGGGAGATAGACCGTGCAGGGGTCGGGAAATTGTGTGTGTGTGTGGCAGCCTCAACGTGGGGTCGTGGAAGGTAAGGTAGTTGGGCAGACAAATGCGATCGCAGACAGTCAGTAGTTGATCATAATAGAGACGAGTGTCGACAGATTTGAAGGAAGCACGACGGTGAATCGCGATAGGTAGCTAACTAGGTATATGCGACAGTAGGGAGAGCGAAACACGCATCCCTGCGGTCGATGAGGAACAACAGGCAGGCACCGGCGTGAGACTCGAGACAAAAATGATGCCACCGCGGCGGTGCGGCGCGGAGAGGTCGAGCCGTGCACGCAGCCGGTCGAGTCGTCTGCTTACGCCTAGACCCAGAGCAGCAAAGAGTGGTCGGAAGCCGGAGTGGGTTTTTCTTGCTTCACGGCAGACTGGCGTGGTTGCGAACGCTACCAGTAAACTCGCGAAGACAGGCGGCGCTGACGATGGCGATGACGCCGCCCCAGCAGGCGCAATCAGACCAGAACTAGGAGATTTGACGTCGTGAACAGCATGCATTTGATGAATCGAGAGGGATTGCTAGCTAGAGAAATTAAGCAATGTAATTGGCCGTCCGGGCCCAGCAAGCATTGCTTGTTGTATTTAGTGGTTGCGTGGGTTGTCATCGCCCACCGAATGCCATGCCAATCGGGAAGCGAACCAAACCAAGACTTTGCTCTCCTTCTCACCCATCCGGGACGTCGTCAACGACAGCTTCTCCTCATCTTCCGTTTCTCACCCTCGCCTTCCTCGTCTTGCTTTTCAAAATTTGTGTTCTCGGTCTTGCAGTCGCCCACTGGCCTACATCTCACGCTCGTTTGGTCGACCCCTTTCCTCCCTTTATATACCGCTTCGTCCCAAACACGCGCGTGCACCTCCACCGTTTGGCCGCGTTCCTTGGAAATTGTGACGCTTGGATTCGCTGTTGCTTCGGTCCTCGAGCCATATCACAACTCTCTTGTCCTCAGCCACCGCCATCTCTCGTCCATCTCCCTCTCGCGCTTTGAGCGTATCGCATCATGGCGCCCACAGTCCCTAGATTGCGCATCCTGTCAGGTCAGTCATGCCGTGCCTGTTCCTAATCATCCTTGCCCTTCCACCATGTGCCATTGGGACCGGGTCCACTTTTCTAGCTCAAGCAAATATCCATCACTGCCCATCTCAGCCGCTCTGCTAGTCGCACTTGCCCTGTCCCGACGTGCCTCGATCATATGCACACCGAGCATTGCTCTCCTCACAGCTTCTCCTTCCCATCTCCGACCCGAGTCGTCAACCCATCATGGCTGTCGAGCAAGCGCGCCAGAGGCAACAGCTCACTAACGTACTCGTAGTCGGCGGAAATCCTGTCTCTGCCTTCATGTCATGGAGACTTTCGGCGACCAACGCATGCGATGTCACTCTCGTCTGGAAGAACGGCTTTGAGAACGTGTCGCAATATGGCCTTTCGTTCAAGTAAGCCAACGCTGTCGCTACGACTTGCATCCACCACTGACCCGTATAGNNATCCGCTACATTTGGAAACGAGAGATTCAAGCCCAGACAAGGTCAGTAGATGCGCTTGTCTTCACCCAGTGCCTGTGCGCTGACATTGCTTNNCCAAGTCGTCCGCACTCCCGAAGAGGCAGCAAAAACGTCAAGAGCGCCGTACGACTACGTCCTTCTGTGCGTCAAGGCACTCCCGGACGTGTACGACATTGCATCCATCATCGAGTCGGTCGTCGCTCCTCAGCACACATGCATTCTGATCAACACAACACACTCCCTCGGCGTCGAGTCGTATCTCGAGCAAAGATTCCCCACAAATGTTGTTCTGTCTCTCGTTGCTGGCGCCGAGCTCTCGCAGCTGGGCGCAAGTGAATTTGAGCACAAGGGCACAGCTGAGATCTGGGTCGGACCTGCCAACAAGAACCCTTCGATTCCCGCGTCGATACAGTCAGACATGGCCGAAGCACTAGCCATGACATTGAGCTCAGGTCAGGTTGACTGCAAAGTCTCGACCAACATCAGGCAACAACAATACGAGCGCATGATTNNGGGTAAGTCGCTATCTATAGCTTGTCGATCATTACTAACACGGTCTCGCAGTCCTATTGCCTTCCATCCTGCCAGTGTTTTATTCGAAACTCCCAACCATGCCGAGTTGCTCGAGAAGACGGGCGCTCGTTCTATGATCACCGGCATCATCGAAGAGATTCTTGGTCTTGCCAAAAATCAAGGATGTGTCTTTCCCGAGGACTTCCCCGAGCAGACTATGGAAGCCATGATCCAGCCCAATGCCACACCCAGCACCATGTACCAGGACTTTACGGCCCGTCGACCTCTGGAAATCGAGACTTTCCTCGGCGCTCCCATCAAGCTCGCCCAGGACGTAGGCGTTCAAGTGCCTCGCATCGAGACGCTATACGCTCTTCTTCACAACGCCAACACATTGAACCAATCTCGCCCACCTCCTGCAGCTGCAGTCTCACCGCAAAACCCCGCACAAACTCCTCGTATGGGCCCCGGTCCAAACATGGGCCCTGGCCCTAACCAGCGTGGCCCGATGAATGGTCCGATGAATGGCCAGATGAACGGCCCCATGCCTGGTCATCCCGGTAGACCTGGAATGATGAGGCCCGGAAGCAGGGCCCCTTCGATGACTGGTGGTCCACCTGCGCAAATGCGCAGAGGGCCTTCGATGAACAACGGCTTCGGCACACCCATGAGAATGAACGGAAATGGCCAACGTGGCCCTCCTCAGCAGCCAACGCGTCGGCCATCGCTTGAAGACAACGAACTCGAGGAATTCAGTCACCTGATGCTTTACGACAACTTGCCAGAGGGTGCCCTGCCTGAAGGCGCGATCCCGAACGGTGCCGGTCCTGGAGGTGAGATGGGAATTCGTGAGCGAGAACTGGCACTTCGCCAAAGAGAGCTAGCTTTGAGAGAGCAAGAGTTCAACATGAGGCGTCGTATGCCTCCTCCTCCTGCTTCGCATGCCGGAGGCTTCGACGATGACGACGAGGATGGTGAAGACTTCTTTGATCCCATGGCTCCAGGAAGGAATGTCCCTATGATCGACCCTGACAACTTCGACATGATGAGCGTCACTTCAAGACGCGCCCGCAAAGCACCCCCGCCCACTGCCAACCAGCTCCGCAACAATCCTGAGATGGGAGGTCCTCAGATGAGAGGAGGAGGCGGTGGCGGCAGAGGCATGTTCGGAAGGCCTAAGATGCAGAATCGAACCAGTGCTAGACTAATGTCTGAGATCCCTGGTCTGCACGAGAACCTCATGGGCAACCCGTTGCTAGGCTACTCGTCAGACAGATACGGAGGTGTTGACCGTCACAACCTTGGACAAGAATCGAGAACCAACTCACTCACTGCAGAACGCCTGAACGAGCTTTCGCGAGGCGGACCTCCCGGCCAAGGTCCTTACCCTGGCCCAATGCCCCCTCAGATGGGTCGACGTGCTAGTAACTCTCCTGGACATCCTTTGGGTCCCCCAAGAGGGCCTCCCGGCCAACGTCCTTACCCGTCGAATGGACAGAATGGATATCCGCCCCATATGAACGGCCGACCATCGCCTCCTGGCGTTATGGGCTCGCCGATGCAACGCCCACCAACCCAGCAAGGCCAAGTGCCACAGCATGTTGAACAGCAGAACGGGGTGAGCCATCTCTATCCGCCCAAAAGCGGCCCTCAAGAACGCAGTCTGACAGGTTCCGCGAGCGCTAGCGCGGGGAGTGGTGATAGTAACCACTCGGTGCCCCTTGATTCCGACCCTTCGGCCCACAGCAGCTCCAGCAGTCTGGGACCTCGTCCAGCTCACGGTTTCCGATAGACCAGCGGAGCCCATCCGCGTCTCGATTGACGAACATGAGCGATTCTGCAGAACCGTCCACAGCTCATACATGCAGATACTGTTCTCCAGAACCGACAAACTCAACTGATCATCTCTTTTCTCTCCTCCTCACCTGACTGCATTACTTGATCCGCAGTATACACGCTCCTTCTGTCGCCCTATCAAAAACAATCGACTCGGGACCTTTATCTCCTAGGTTTAGACGACACGAGTTCTCATAGACGGCGGCTACCCTGGACACTGGCGCATCTCTTATCAGCATCTGAACGCCTCACACGTACATACTCTACACTTCAGCATTGGCATGCTGTGCCGGACCTTTACCAAAAGTTCATCAACAAGCTCTGTTATGCCAGAGCGACTAGTTGGATGGCATTTGCCTCTCTTCTGGTCTTTTCATGTCGGTTTCATCGCGTCGATGCATTTTCCTTTGTCTTCTGATTGCTCCATTTGCGTTGAACGATCATCATCCTGGCGAGAGGGAGGAACAGTCTCTTTTGGTAACTTTCTTGTCCACCAGAGACCAGGGTTGGATGGCAACACCGTGTAATATCTTCATTATTTTCGCATGAGGCGTGACGGAGGAAAATAGTATGTCTTTTTTGTTTTGTTCAACGCTGAGGTGTGTATGGGTCGAATGGACTCTCATCATCTTTTGTTTGCAACGCGTGTCTTGTTGCATGATGAGCGTGACATGCGTGTCACCTTGTACCGATTATTATCAGAAGGAATCGATCATAAGCAGAATGCGTTTCATTTTGCGGCCCTTCTTGAACGCAACCTTGAGTTCCACTGACTCATGCGAGTCCCACTCAGTAGTCGAGGCCAACCCTGGTCCGGACGCCGAACATTTCCTGCACTACCACGGCACTTTTCGAGACGGGGAACATAGCTGCGTACAGAATATCCTCCCCTGATGTTTGAAATAGTGTCGATCCAAGCCTAGTCTTCTAGTAAAGCCTGAACATACAGAGATTGATGTTCAAGTTGGCAAGGATTGTTTACCAGCGACATCGCCAATATCTGCAGCTCCGGTATGGCTTGCCAAGTTGCCAAGTTCATCTCGAGGCATCTTGCGACCAGAGCTTTTTATCAGATCATCGCCCGCTTTATCAGATCGGTGCTTTTTGGCGACCACACGACAACAGCTTCCGACTTCTCACGTCCTCCCAGCTCAACACGCCCTGCCAAGTGGATGTAGCATGATCTGATAGGACAAAAAGTAGCCAAGCCAAAGATGTGAAGTCGTTATAAGTATGGAGCCAGTCTCGCACGCCCGTACATATCTATCTTTTTCAGGTAGGCTTGTGTTGATACGGTCAATTTCGTTTTTCTGCATATTTAGGTGCCTTAATCATGTCGAATCAACACTTCTTGGAAAGTATTGAGCAGCTGAAGAGGCAATCGACCAACATACAGAACCAGGAGATCATGGATCAATCGAATCTCTCAAAGGATGCACAGGACAAAGAAGCCCAGACTGCAGTTGTCACAGTCCTCGACAATTCATCTGTCGATTCTTCGCAGGATGATCCGGCCAATACACTCCCTCCTGTGCCGCTGCAGATGAAGTTGCTCAGTGTTTTGTTGGTTTCCTTCATTGGCTTTGGGTCGCAATGGAGTAGTGGTGTTAGCTCTGCTATGAAGTCGACTATGAAGAAGGTATACACCATTTTCTCATCAGTGGCCACAAATAGAACAACATGTGCTAACACCATACAGGAAATGCATATCAACAACACTCAATTCTCCCTCCTCGAAGCCAGCGAAGATTTCATGTCCTCGGCTCTCATTCTCATTACTGGCATCTTCACTGATCGGCTCGGCGGCACTGGGTGTATCGTCTACGGCAACATCATCTACACAATCGGCTCCATCTTCATTGCAGGCGCTGCAGAGATGCGCAGCTACAAGTTCATGATTGTGGGCAGGGTAGTAGCCAGTTTTGGAGATATTGCTACGCAGGTCGCGCAGTACAAGGTTTTCAGCAGTTGGTTTCCACCCAGTGCGGGCTTTGCTAGTACCTTGGGATTTGAGTTGGGTATCAAGAAGGTATGCTTTGGATGATGCTAGGGCGTGCTTTCCTTTTTGAGATCTGGCAGCTGACGATTGTGGATANNGATTGGAGGATTTGTTGGCAAGTCGACTGCTAACATCATTGCCAAGGTAAGACCGACTTTCATCTCTCCTTCCCAGTGACACAGAAAAAAAAAGCACAAAACATACTGACGTGGGACANNGAACTGTGGCTTCTCGAGCGTCTTCTGGACGATGGTGGGCATGAACCTCTTCACCAACCTCGCCACCGTCTTACTCTTTCTGCTCGTTCGCTACTGCTCTTCTCGCTACTCATCCATCGCCGACCCCTCTACTGGCGAAAAGCTCACCGAGAAGAACAAAAAGTTNGACTTCAAGAAGGTTGTCGAGATGCCATGGCCGTTCTGGTGTATCATGGCTTTCACGATCTTCCAGACCACTACTGCAAATGTGTTTTCCCAAAATGCGACGGAGCTCGCTGAGCAACGCTTTGATACTGATTCTGTGACGGCAGGCTGGTATACAGCAGTGTTGCAGTATGCTGGCTTTTTCATTGTACCGTTGTTGGGTGTCTTCGTCGATGTCGTTGGTCAAAGGGTTAGCATCATGTGCGTATGTGGTGCGGGATGCTTCCTCTCCATGGCGCTGGTCTGCTGGGCGCCTACCGTCAAGGGTACTGCTGCTGCCTTTGGAATATATGCTGCGGCATACACCCTCGGACCTACAGTGATCATCGATTCCATCAGGACTTCTATGTGGCATCAAGGCGCATTCGGTACTGCATACGGTCTCAAGATCACCATCAATAATGCGTAAGGCTTCGAGCAGACTCCATGGATTTTCAACAAGCTGATGACAAACAGTATGTCCTGTATCATCCGTGTCCTCACTGGCGCTCTCCAGGACGCAGACAACAATGCCTATACCCGCGTTGTCCGTGTGTACGCTTTCTTTGGCTGCGCATCTCTATGCGTCTCACTCGTCATCCTCGCTCTCTCGTTCCTTTCGCCAGATCTCGGTCGCTTGCAGTGGAGTCGTAAGAAGAGGTTGTTGCAAGGTAATCTAATCAATGAGAGGCTGGAAAGATTTGAGGGGCCGATGAAGAGGAGGAACAAAAGAGTCTCAGTTGTTTGTTTTGGGTTCACCATGATGCTTATGCTTGGAGGATGGAGTGCTTACTTTTGGGGTGTGGCTACTGGAAACAACAAATAGAGATGTGGAGATGTGGCAAAAAGAATCCCACGAGGACGAGATAGGCAAGATGAACACCATATACGATAGACCTGAAGCAGCAAGAGCGTCCAAGTATCGAATATCGTTGCCATTTTTTCTTCTTCAATTACGTATTCTCTGTCATGGAAATACGGTGACATTCTGGTTCCGATGTCTACTTCAAAAGACTTCACATGCTTGGAACTGTTATAGTCTTACCAGTATTCCCCGTTCAAGGGCAACATAGAGCGCTATAGTATGCTATAGCAACGTGTGTTGATTTATTAGATCAGGCTTGTGACCTTGTAGGCAGCATGTTTACTATAGTTCACCCACATGCTCTTTAGGGAAAAACTTCGTGATTCGCCTCTGTAGATCAAAATTCAACCAACATCAAGAGCAGAATAGAAGAGCAAAGAACATCAGAGCTGACGTCTGTCGTACGAGAGCTTCTCAAGTATCAGAGTTGTAGTACCATGCATCAGAGCACTGCTTGATCGCGACCCGAGGACCAGCAATTGATACGAGAGATGAGGCGACTACCTATATAGGCACGAGGCTCTGAGCCAGTACCACAAACGTCTCCATCGCCATGTTCGATTTCAGTCCAATCAACCTTGGTGTTGTGGTAAGAACAAAGTAGAAGGCTCACATCTTGCATGAATGATGCTGGAGAAAGTGTCATTTCCAAACTCGTCATCAGCGTGAACGTTCGAGGAGCATACAATTGGTACATGCAGACCGGTGTCTGCAGCTCTGTAATTTGACACCCCGATGTGACACGTACCAGGTTATGACTATGAGGAGTTGGCGTTGGATCAACGCTCAACAAGTTTGTCTCAACAACACGTACGACGTGCAAGACAGATAGTGAAAGATTATAGGCTGCAGGAGCATAAGAACAACGAAATCAGCGACCCAGACCCTGGGCGGTGTGGTAAAAGGAAAACAAGATGTTGCGTTGTACTTTGCGCTGCATTGCCTCGCAGCTAGAATGAAGAAGACTCGAATGCACTGATTTGTTGTCTATGGTTCCTAATGAGCATGCGATATTTGGAAGTGAAAACGGAATGTACGAGGCGGTTGATGGCTTTTCCAGTACACAAGGGTCAGTTGGCCACAGTTCCTTTCTTGCAGCTCATGACAATTCTGATGCTCTCTACAGAGGTACCGAGGTAAGCCATGAAGACAAGAATGGCACAGAGTACCGAAGCGAAGGCTCGATGAAAAGCCTTCCGATGTCAGTCAAACCAACTTGTGGGATTTCTGTGCCACCACACGGGAATTGTTCTAGGTCATCCGGTTTCATGCAGAGTCTGCAAGCCGCGTCTCCATTGCAAAGTCGGAGACAGTCATCTTGCCGGATGAACAGTTGAATAAGATGCGGTCAAGCCCTTAGGGTTTTGCAGTATAGCAGAAGGCTGTTATTGTCCGCATGCAAAAGGTCATACATATATTGTGGAGGTCTTGTTTGCAAGTTTGTGATCAATCAGAAAAGTGTTTATCAGAGTTTCGATAGGTTAAATGGCCCGCATAACATGCTTGTTCTTGTCGACAATTCTGCAGAACGACCCCGCTGTACGTACTCTGACTTGTCAACGTGATTAAGGACCAGGTAAGGTGAATCGCAGAGAGCAAATGTCATGACAGAAACCGAGAGACGAGCAGGACATTTTCATGGTCAGATTATCATACGTCAGGCTGGAACCGTGCGGCTGTCAAATCCCAAGCATTTCAAGAAGTCGCAATCCTCGAATATCAATTTTGACAGGCGCGGCCCGACGCGGTGAAGAGATGACCATGAAAGGAAGGCGCAATGCTGTATGATCTACGCCATAAACGCCATAAGCGCCTTGTTCTTCCTCCCCAGATTGGATACCAGCAAGATGAAAATAGGTGCAGCTGCTTAATTAACACAAATTACAGATGCAGTACTAGACCGTTCCGCTGGACATGACCCGACAAGTCACGATATTCAAGCACTTTTCTAAGCGTCTTTGATGAGTGACATCCAATTACCGCGATTATTGAGCATGCAGCCCAGAGTTGTTGATGCTCTTTCAATCCTGCAAGATCAGGTTTGATGCATTTGGATTTAAAATCCAGGTACGGGTCCGATTTGATGATGTTGACGATGAGTGCATCACGATTTGCCTGGATTGACCGGATCAGCAGGTTTGTGAAGGGTCTATGACCGGGCGGTTGGTGACCAATTGAAGGATGCCTTTTCTTTCCATAAGATGACACTGCATCGAGGTTCGTTTCAGCTTGACAGGTCGAATCTTCTAGCCAGCAGAAAAGAAGTACTGGCGAGACTCGTAAAGGAAGATCAGTTTCGTATATCGACGCGAATACTCTTTGAACAAAACGAAGAATAATCGTGTCATGCCGTGTGTTCGGGTGTGGTCCTCTGATGTGGAGCTTGCAAGAATCGAAATTCGACAGCAACCCCTTTGGGACATGCGCATGAGCCGAGGTTTCGCGACAAGACAGCGAGCCTCTCTCGACCATGAGAATCGATTTCTTCGCTCGTTACCTCCGACATAACATGATTGGTCTGGCCTTGCAGCAGTAATAGTCAGATTCAGGATATATTGATCCAATCGAAGATCAGGTGCGGTGGCTGTTGGTGCCCTAAGTTGTTGGTTCTATGGACGTGTAACGATAAATGTTCCACTGCGCAATCCTCTGCTTGCAGAACAGATCAGCTTTTTGTTTGTCCAAACAATTTCTAGTCGAGTCGGCGCGTTGGTTGGACAAGTGTCCACTGTCCGACAATGGATTGGCTAGTATGAACTTTGATGCGATGTGCATGATTTATTGCATATGCGCTCACGCTCGGCCAAACCACTACTGCCGGTCTAGTATCCACCGTCGTCACAAGGAGTCGAGGGTGAGCAAGATGTTGAGTGTTAGTGTCAGTCGGTTTGTGGACTGCACTTGAATTGTTGTGTCATTGAGTCTCCCTCCTAAAGGGTTGACATAAGGTACATGAGAAAGAAAAATAAAAGATGGTATAAAATCGAGTATGTCGTGTCAAGACACCAAAACAATACAACCCTCTTGGGTATGATTATTGTCGACACCAGTGCTCCAGGCGCCTTACTAGGCCTTTGGGTATGAAGAATGCAATGAAAAAGAAATTGAACTCATGATTAAAGCTCCCCTTGCGCCATTTCGTTCCTGTCGTTTATTGATGGCTACGAGGCTTCGACGAATCCAGCGCCGGATGGGGGAATCGAGAAGTAGTAGGGCTGATGTCGTCGTCGATGGTATAGACTTGTACTTGAGGCTCCTTGGAGGAAGTCGATGCCTCTGAGTCCTTTCGATAGACCGCCGAGCTCAGAGTTGCCTCGGAGTGTGCTCGTTCAATGGGGTCCATTTCATGTTGTCCGCGGTTGACGCACTCGAAACCTGAGTCCAGGGTATTAAAGCTGTCCCTACGGGCGTTACTGGCGAAAGGATCTCTAACCTTTTGCGCGAAACGGCTTGGGCGTGAGCCGATGGTCGCCAGAGTGAGTGAAGGGGACTTGTGTGTTGGCAAGCTGCCGCCTTCGCTACCCCTCGACCTCTTGATCTTGTCCTTGAATGATGAGACTTGCGATGAGACGAGCGGATAAAGCACACCGCTGACGACTGCCTTGATGGAAGGCGAGCATGCAATAAAGACGGCGAGATGGTTCTCAACCGAGGACCAGATGAGGCAAGAGGCGATGTTCCATGAGAGATCGCCCTCTTGGTCGTAGCGGTAAACGACGTAAAGACGGATGAAGCTGGCAGCGACAACNNGCTTGAGGGTGGTCAGGATGATGTCTTTCAAAAGTCATAACAGGCCAACTTACAATGCACCCAATGCGAAGAGAAGGTTGAGAACAATTCTTTGGGTAAGGCGAAGTTGAAGTTTCCATGTGAAGATGATAGGGAGAATATAGAGAATGATGTCGTTCACAATCATGATGATCGAGTTAGAGTAGAAGAAAGCCTTGATGTTGATGCAAGTTCCAGGAGTGTTTTCGTCCCAGAGATGTGCGATTGGGACACACTGGAAGATGATGACCAAGATGCTACTGACACCGAAAGCAAAAGCGATGAACTCCATGAACCAGATTGTCCAGTGGTGCCAACGCTCATATGTTGTGTGGCGGTAGAAGAACAAAAGAGCAAACTTGACGAACATGTTGCAGGCCAAGTAGAAGACGAAGATCGAGATATACAGNNCTAAGCTATGAGTTAGCACCGATCTCGCAAAGGGAAGACGGATCAACTGAAAACTCACACCCACCTTGTAGAATTTGACTTGGTCAGATGAGTCGACTTCCCAGTCATGACTACCAAGACCATACTTTGTCGCGATACATTGCAATAGAGACATCATGATTCCGCAGAACTATGAGATAGCTGTCAGCGCCGGGACTTGACGTTCTCCAACAAAGGCACACATACCCCNCGCCAAGCAGATCATGATGTTCTGCGCATCAAACTTTCTTTGCTTTGCATTTCCTGTGACTTTGGCAAAGCGAAGTGAGAGCGCTGATATCGTTGAAAAGGAGAGTATGACGTTGACGACCACAACCAAGTCCTTCCGGTTTTGTATCGCAAATGCGTCGCTCATGATGACGAGGATGGATGAGGATCCAGTTGTGAGGAAGAGGGGTCGACTGTCAATATGAAGGACAGTAAGGGTAAGATGCAACAGGGGAGAAGGTGTGGCAGTTGTGTTGCACGGACAGACGGTGAGGGAACGTGATGGGAGGGAAGAGGGGGCCGTTGTAAAGATAAAAGTAGAGTCCATAAGAAGGGCAGATTGGTCTGTAGTTATCTTGACACAAAAGACCCACCAAGTATGGCAAGTCGGCTACAACATGGAGTAAAGTGAACAGGGAAAGAGACTTGCCTTGTGGCGAGACCATTTCTGCGAACCATACCGCGCTAAATGAAGCCCTGTCCGGCGAGGCCTATGCAGGTGCTCACTGACTGGGGAATGCGATAATCACAGACTAGAGTGGGTGTCGAGGGCTCAGTGGCTACGTGCGTCTTATGCGCGTATTCCCGACGAGGTCCAAGTACTTACTACCACTTAGTACGTGCTGCAGGTCCTATTAGCATCAAGTTAGGGCGACTCCGAGACGATCGTTGACGGCTCACTGGAGGGGCGACACCAGATTCGGACAATCCGCGTCAAGGAGGTTGGCGCAACTTTACTCAAACTGCCTTCCACCGAACGGATAGCTGCAGTGCTCGAGGGCAAGCGAGTCGGCAGACACTCCCAAGAAGGTGCTGGTGTGGCCGATACAAACCCGGGGCATGTCACGTCAAACCCTGCGCGACTCGAGTCTAGACAGCCTCGACGGTACGTTAGCTGTCAAGCTAGTTTAGGGATAGTATGGCAGGGGCTTGAGCTCGTGGTACTCTGCGGATCCTGTCATTGATCGAGTCTGAATCAATGCTTTTAATCATGGCGTCAATGAGGCGTCCTTTCAAGTACTGCTTTGTGATGGACAGCGGCAAGAAGACGCGATCAAGATGTATTGCTTGACGACGCAGAAAAAGAGAAAATTCGTGGCAGCTGCAGGACTCGATGTTGTTGGGAGAAGGAGCAGTCCGTGGCCGTGGGTCGACCGTCCACGGATCGCTCCCGCCCGCGCCCGCCTCCAACGCTACTGCACGAAATCCACGTTGATTGTCGCTCGCGTCCTCGCCATTTCTCCAAGCTGCTTAGATCCCCGTTCCGGGTGGAGACACCATGTCTAACTTCGAATCCAGTCGTGTCCTGATCGCCTCCTGGTCGACTCGAAATCATTTACCCATTCGGTGGATGATGATGCACCTCACCACTTCGACACACCCTCCCCTTGTATACTTTTGATTGATTGCTGCACGAGATTCCATATTCAAAACACATCTTGCAAGCCCTTTACTTCTTACAACTCATTCGACTGCTTCTCACTCAACCCGCACCAAGTGCCGACTTCCTAGTTCAAGACAATCACTTAAACGTTCTTACAGATACGATTGCACTCGCTCAGCCCCCACATATATCATGTGCAGCCGTGTTATGTTTGTTCATGCTGATAGCAGTCTTTCCACGCCAAGTCTTGGATGGCAACGGTCGAAGGATGCCGTCCCATGTACTTCGATGTTTGCCCTCTGCTCGCTACGAGCTTTCTATTCACTACAGTGATCCAGCACCGCCTATGTTCCTAAGTTCCTGGAGATCTTTTCTTTGGCATTAGGCCCCGGTCATCATCACCGAGTCAATATTCCGAGGTTTCAGCCAGTGGTCGTTCCGTGCTCTTTAAGCTTTTGACCCAATGCAGACCTCAGGAGTTCAGTCCAGCATCGCCAAAGCGGCAATCATCGATATCCTTACAGCAACGTTGATGGGTTCAGCTGCGACGGACTCTTGCCAAGATCTAGATCTCTACCATCGCAGTTCAGTGGAGTTCGATCACGTATGTGTACGACATCAAGCCAATTACCAAGGTCATCCACCTCGAATTGAGTCAGTCCCGTCCAATCCCCTGCGTCGACACATGTCAAACAGTTGAACATGACATCCCGGACCGTGCCTTTACCTTAGTACACCTCCATTCTAAGGACTGGCTCGGAAGTGGTTGCTTCCGCCCATGAGCATATCAACATGAGAATACGACATGAATACCTTGAGCCCCTGAAACAGGCAACCATCTGTGGGGCATCCCGAATGTCCCTCTTGATCAGTACTGAGTCCAACCGCAAAGAGACCCTTGATCAAGTCTAATATCCTTGGCTATGTCACAAACTCAGACATACCCCTCGCTTACGTCAACGGGTAGTCACTCCTCCAGGTTTGGTCAGCCAAACCTACTTTATGTTATAGGAAGGTGGGGTCACGAAGCCCCTTATAGGAGCATGTCTTCCCGTGTTTCCAATAATCCAACAGCTTTTTTTCCATAGTGGTGGAGCTCACAACTGCTGGGGTATCATGCTGTTTCCCTGCCGCCTCCACCAAGTGTCAAAATCCCACAGGCAATTCACTGCCTTTGGGCTTGCTTGAAGTGGCTCGTTCAGGCGATGTCGTCTCCAGGGGTCACATTGGTATGGCAAGCCGACGAGCCTCTCTTCAGGACCGAAGGTATGCGGTTTGCCATGTAGCTAAGAGTGAAGATGTACATGCACTTACTCGCAAGCCCCCAAACACCAGAAACGGCCATTGTGTCTCAGATCCATGTCAGATCCCTGTGAAACTGTGTCTACGTGCGAACCAACCTGCAAACTAGTCATGTTATCGACCTGGTCTTCTAACCTTGCAGAGGACTTGAGTGTCTTTGCACGCGCGGCTATTCTGCATCCCTGATCTGCGTGCAATGCTTTCGTGGGAATGCAAGGTACGCGGGCACAGGCGCCGACACGCATGTACTTGGCTTCAAAGCACGAGGCAGGATTATACCACCATACTGTCGGTACCACAGTACAACATGACTCTTGTTGGCATTGGCCATGGCCAGAGGCAAGTCCCCTGCTCTGGCTGGGAATAACTCGCTTGACCGACACTGTTCTCTCCTTGATTGCTGTTGAGCAGTACCTGCCGTAGACGTACTGTACTGGGAATTCTCTTCTTGTTCCACCGAACGTCTACACCACCCATATATGTCTGAAAGAGAACTGTATAGCCGAGCTTTGTTCTTCAGTATCAGTACACTTTGTCATATCATCTCCCTTTGTGAGTTTCTCGAACAACGCTTCCGTAAACCGAGCTGGTGGGAAGCAAAGAGTGGCTCCCAAGGTAGAATATTAGAAGAGACTCTCTGCTCTTTCCCTCTTGAATATAAACTTGTTTGACGTCTCTCCATACTTTGAAGATATTGAGCTTCCATGCGCTTGTTGTATCGCAAACAACAACAGTAATCGGTCCAATTTGTAGATTTTCGCCATGCCTGTACTGCTCGTTGTGTGTTCTTTTGCTGTATGAAGACGTATCGAGAAGCCTCTTTGTTGTCCAGAATGCCTTGTGTTCATTTTCCAGAACTTCTTTTCAGTTGCATAGAAGGAGATAGCTTTTCTGTCAGTGTTCGATTATCCTAGTTGACCTTATCCATTGCCCTATCCCATTTGTCTGGTAGCTTTAGTGTTTGGTCAGTGTTGGAACGATGCACAGTGGTCTCTGCGTCTGGTATCGAGAGAAGAGCGGTGAAGTGGAAGAGACAAGGAGCTTGGGGCTTCTGTGCGTTTTTGCAAAAATACTTATATGGTGTACCTATCCTGCCGAGACTTCTTGTTGTTTTTTTTTTAAAATCTTGCAAGTCTGGACTTCCTTGGACACTTTTGTGAGGAAATCTGCCGAGCCTGTTCATCAGAGGTATTACCCTGTCATAATGCTCTCGAGGTTGGTATCCTGTAAGTTTGGTAGAGCAACGAAAGAACTGGAAGAAGTAAGAACTAAAGATGACACCGAGGCTGTTGGGTGATGAGCGAACCAATCTAGATTTGTGGATTGCAAACATCAGAGTCGTCAAAAAGTGAGTAATTGTACAGAATTGGGATTAGACATTACTCCCATTGAGTGTTCTTGAGACGCTGCATAAGGTAGTCGACCTCGACTTCTTTTGTCAAAGGAATGACATAGTCTTTGTACATGGCGACGACAGCATCGACATTGATCTTGGCAGCTTCTTCAGCCTCTCCAGCCGAGATGCTGGGATCCGTGCCGTAGGTCTTTGCCTTGAGGCGCAGACGCTCGAGGACCTTCTTCTCGACGGCAGCATTTGTGATGGCCTCGTCAATACCCTTGCGGTCCTCGCGCTTGATCAGGTCGACAAAGCGTTCCGTCTCTTTCTGGAACTTTGCCTCTGCGACAAACTTGCCAAAGTGAATGCGGCGAGACAGGGCTTGCAGGCAGTTCACGTCGCAGGTAGCGGCAGAGCCAAAGTTCTCCTGGTTCTCGCCGCGCTCTTCACGGCCATAGTTGATGCACGCAGCGGGTAGGATGTGCTCGGCGTAGTGGTGTTTGAGCTTGCCGTTGATGTTGACGTCGTTTGGGTGCAGGATCTGGGGGTAGTGGATGGGTTGCAGAATGGGCTCTTGCAGGGCGTCCGGGAAGAAGGGGTACTCGTCGGGCGACTGGTAGCGGCGCACAAGAGACTGGAAGCGTTCCTGCTCGCGGATCATCCAGTCGAGCAGGCTGTAGTCGCAGTCGGGGATGCGGACGGCGCCAGGCTTGTAGATGGAGGGATTGAGAGGGAACTGGACGCGCTCAATCAGGTGGAAGGTGATGGTGTCCTCGAGCCNGGCTGATACCATATCAGCGAGTCTGTCATAGTGTGGGTGGTCGGGCGGGCGCGTCTACATGAGCTGGAAGCGGATGTTGGCCAGGTCGAGGGCCTTGCTGGCGTCCGAGAGGTCGATGGCAGTATCCATGTTGGTTTGTGTTTGGTTGTAAAGGAGGATTGATGAGAAGGAACATGTCCTTTGACTGGGAGCGACACCGGCGTGGCTTTGGTCGTGAAGCTGGAGAAGTCGACGGGACCATCATCATCGTCAACAACCTCGGCCTCGTGTCACCTGGAAAAAACATCCCGCAACCCACGCCTAGACCACGCGACCTGCTTGTCTGCCTGCTATACTACCAGACCCTTAGAATGACTCCATAGTCCTGACCGCCAACCATGTCGACGTCTCGAGGCCGCAACCCGCCTCCGCCATCGTCGTCGCACAGGCGGCGGCCCTCTGCCAACATGCCCCAACCAGACGACGATGACAGCTTGCTGGGTGTATGTTGTACCTCTCTCGCCATCGTGAAAGTCTTCTAACACAAGCTCCACAGTCGCGACAGCTTGAAGCCTTTGGCCGCACCGTCCATGCCACCGCCAGCCATTTTATCGGCCCTCTCACAGGCGACCCTCACCATTACCAAACCGCCCTGGGCGACATCCACCGCGAGCTCCGCCGACCCTTGATACAGCGCTCCGTCTTTGAGCTTGCCAAAGCTTCGCCCAAGGAGCTTGTCCGCTCTACTTTCTCCACCACCGAGATCCAGCACCGCGCTCTAGTCCACCTCCCCGACGATCTCCTCCGCCACATCCCCGAACGCTCCAGCACTTACTCACTATTCCAGGGCTTCCAGGCTTCCAAACCGGAAGAGAAGAAAAAGTCTGCCCGCAGCAACGACAAAGGCCAGAAACTACTCGCCCATGAGAGCGACGATGAAGCAGATCCAACCACTCCTGCAGCCGCCCTGAAGAAGCTCAAGTCAAAGAAGGGTACCATGGAGCACCGCTTGGAGATGATGGGCATTCGCAAGAACATGTGCATCTCCGAGATCAAAGAGATCGATACCAAGATTGCCAATCTCAACACTATGAGGAAGATTGTCCTTCAACGACTGGCCGGTCACGAGCAGGAAGAGGTCGACCTCGAAAACGAGATACAAGAAATGTCCGAGAAGCTCTCTGACTTGCAGGAGGAAATGGAAGATGCTGCTGCCCTGGCTACCAAATCCCCACCACTGGAACCTACACCGGACACGCCTGCCGATCTGGCCGAGTCTACCGAAACTTTCATGTCTGAATCTGTATACGAGAAACTGCCTGACCCCTCGCCGACCAAGACGGACAAAGAAAAAGAAAAGGAAAAGGAGAGGAAGAAGCGCCGTGTAAACAGGCGCAAGTCCATGCCGGTATTGCACGAGCACATGGAGAAGGGCTCTCGCATCCGCGAGTTCCAAGCCCACAACGACATGATTACCGCTCTGGACTTTGACGCTCCTTTTGGCACTCTTGTTTCCGCCGCCCTCGACGACACAGTTCGCGTTTGGGATCTGAACGCTGGAAGATGCATAGGTCTCCTTGAAGGCCACCACGCTTCAGTACGCTGCTTGCAGGTACAAGACAATTTTGTTGCCACTGGCTCAATGGATGCTAGTATTCGCTTCTGGGACCTGAACCAAGCCGAATATTCCCCTCCGCCATCATCGCGGAATAACAGATTTGGTCGTTCATCCGAGGACGAGGAAGACGATGCCGACATGTTCTCTGATCCTGAATTGGACCCTCTTCCCGTCGCACCTACATCTTCCATGCAAGACTGTCTGGTTACCGAGCTTTCTGCTCACGTGGCAGAAGTTACCGCCCTCCACTTCCACAAGAACACTCTTGTTTCTGGTTCGGCTGACAAGACGCTTCGCCAGTGGGACTTGGAGAATGGCCGTTGCGTGCAAACACTTGATGTCATGTGGGCAGCCGCTCAGGCCAGTGTATCGAACAATAGCTTTGGCGCCCCTTCTCCAGCTGCTGCAGACCCAGCTGCCTCGGAGGGATGGTGGCGACCTGCTTCCGGCCGCTTACCGCCTGCCGAAGCGGACTTTGTAGGTGCCATTCAAGTGTTTGAAACAGCATTGGCATGCGGTACTGCCGATGGTATGGTTAGACTCTGGGACTTGAGAAGTGGCAATGTGCATAGAAGTTTGGTTGGTCATACAGGCCCCATCACGTCTTTGGCGTTCTCTGGCATTCATATGGTGACTGGCAGTGCTGACCGTAGTGTTCGGGTATGTTGTGTCCTTGTATACAACTCGGCGACATGTGCTAANCATCATTCACAGATTTGGGACCTCCGTACTGGTGGAATTATCGACGCATTTGCATACGAATCACCAATCGTCGACTCATCGGTCGACGCCAGACATATCGTGTCGGCGATTGGTGAGTCGGTGGTCAAAGTCTACGACAAAACCGATGGCAACCAATGGGACTGCGGGCCTGGGGCGTCGGAAACGGAAGAGGAAGACCAAGGGCCGCTTTCCACCATCGAGCGTATCCGCATCAAGGACGGCTATCTGGTTGAAGGTAGAAAAGACGGAGTTGTCGGCGTGTGGTCATGTTGATAGTCGTGATAATGAGAAGAAACAAAATCACATGTTTTCCATATCCCAAGCAAGGCACGTGAAGGCTTGCCAGTTACGAGACGAGACGAGAAAAAAGTTCAGACCCTCGATTTCTCTTGGCGGTCGATGATGCTTCGCGGCGAAGCCTTCGCCGCCCATGATGATATTTTGTTCTTGAATTCATTCCCTAATCCCTCGTCCATACCTTTATCATATTTACGCCGCCCGTCCTATAGTCCCTGTTCTGATACTTCTGCTCACTGCCATCCAGCCTGCTTCTATCTCCTGTCTTTACCGTTCTCCGCATTCGATCTATTCCGCCCGTCCAATTCATTTCCTCTCGTGCTCACAGAATGCTCGTCCGAGCAGCAGGTCGCAGGACGCGGCGAAATACATCTCTACACCTTGCCCATCTCGCCGACTCGCTACATCTTCCGTTTCTCTGTCCTGCTCAGGCACGATGGAACTCGTCGCATTCGCCGCAAACTCCTCAAGCAAGAACACCCACACGCCTCCAATCCTTGGGTACCGACAAGACACAAACGAGACGCTTAGCCACAGTTGCCGATCAACACTCAACAGCCTCCGACTCGCCACGGTGGACTTTTGGTGGGGTTGAATACTCTCTGGATCCAAAGGATACTCTCATGCTGCAACATGACCTGCAAGCAACACACGAGCCTAGACGTTTATTCACAAACGGGCTCGCTGGAAACGTCAGCGATCTTGTACAAAGCCTACACACATGTCTCCGCGTCGAGCGCCTCGAGAGAGCCCGCCTTGTCATCGAAAAGTTGCGACAGCGCTGCCACAAGGACTCATTCGAGATCCAACACGTCCACAGTGCATACCTCGAGGCGAGCCTCGCACAGATCGAGAACAATCGGGTATACAACAGAAGAGAAGATCAATATGAAGCTTTGCGAGATTGGTTCGAGAATGACCTTGTGCAACACGAGTATCCTATCGACTCGCAAACGCTAGTCGTCATGATGCGCGCCGCCATGATTTCGTTGCCGACACCCAAGCAAGAGCGCGCCATTCGCCGCTACGCAGAACTTGCAGAGGCATCTGGACCAGGTCTGCTCGACGAGATTTGCGATTCCGACGACTTCACCGACGATGAGTTTATGAGGATTGGAGCCGTCCTGCCTACCTTGAAATCCAGGTCGCCACAAATCGAGCAGCCCGTCGACACAGATGAGCTGCCATCTTCTGATTCAGATATCGTATCCACGCACGAACTCACCGATGTACCCGCCGTTCTTGAAGTAGCACAGAAGGGAATGGGATTGGCTTCGTTGAAAGATGCTCTTGACGCCGCATCACCCGCTCTTCAGTCAAGCACGACGCTCGAGGCCATGGAAACGGCCAGACTCACACCCGAGGATCGTGAGCGTCTGCTTGAAGAGAGCGCGGGTAAAGCGGCCATAGAGCGATGGAAGAAAGAGGAGGAAAACCTGCAAAACCTTGGTATACACAGCACTCTTGAATCAAAGCCGCTTGGTGCTTTGATGTGGCAATGGTACTCGGACTTGCTGCCTGCGCTGCGCGAAGAGATAGAGGCCTGTCGCGCGCTCATGGACAATCCCCCACGAGACAACACCATCAAAGAACAACTCATCTACGGACCCTTCGTTGAGGCTGTGCCCATAGAGCAACTTGCCGCAACAACTATTCTTAGCGTCATGGGTTCGTTCGCTGGCGGCAAGGACAGGACCTCGGGTACCTACAGCAGTAACCAGAGACTCGGACGTCTCACAGCTACTCTTGGAAAAATCATGCAGGATGAGGCTAACGCCGAAGCTGCTAGACAACGCGCGATCGCTGAGCATAAAGCGAAGCTTGGTCGAGCTCCGAAGAAACAGCCAAAGTCACCTCACCCATTCTTTGACACAGATCTGCACGTCTGGCCCAGCGATGTTCGCGTTAAGCTGGGTGCTATGCTTGTCTCAAAACTTATCGATGTTGCCAAGATTCCTGTCTCTCGACAGCATCCCAGAACAAAAGAGATGGTCACGCAGACGCAGCCAGCTTTTCTCCACAAGACACTTTATGAATCAGGGAGGAAGCAAGGATGGCTCTGTCCCAGTTCTGAGCTGATTAACAAGCTCCACCGCGAACCCGTTGCCGGTCTCATCGCCAAAAGACTGCCAATGGTGATCGAACCAAAACCTTGGACCGGTTTCAGCAAGGGTGGCTACCTCAACTATCCCACACCTGTCATTCGTTTCTCTGGAGCCGACAGTGTACCTCGTGACTACGCATATGCTGCCATTCAACGAGGAGATCTCGACAAGGTCTTTGAGGCTCTCAATGTCCTTGGCAAAGTTCCGTGGAAGATCAACCAGGATGTGTTGCGCGTGCAGATCGAGGCATGGAACAGTGGCGAGCCCATCGGCAACTTTGCTCCTTTGAACCCAAAGCTCGACCTGCCTCCCGAACCCGAAGACAAGTCTAATCTTCAGGCGCGCCGTCTCTGGCTACAGACTGTCAAAGATACGGAGAACGTCAAGAGTGGCTACCATTCGAAAAGATGTTTCCAAAACTTCCAGCTCGAGATTGCTAGAGCATTCAGGAAGGAGAAGGTTTACTTNCCCCACAACATCGATTTTCGCGGTAGAGCGTATCCTGTTCCTCCTTACCTCAATCATATGGGTGCCGACAACGCTCGTGCCCTGATGACGTTCGCCGAGGGAAAAGAACTGGGCGAAGTTGGATTGAGATGGCTCAAGATTCACCTGTCTAATGTATTTGGTTTCGACAAGGCTAGTCTATCCGAGAGAGAACAATTTGCTATGGACCACCTGGATGATATCCGCGATTCGGTAGCCAACCCTCTGGACGGTAGAAGGTGGTGGCTCGAATCCGAGGATGCATGGCAGACTTTGGCTGCTTGTTATGAGTTGAAGGCTGCCATGGATCTCCCCGATCCGACCAAATATGTTTCACACCTTCCTATCCACCAGGATGGTACTTGCAATGGTCTCCAGCACTACGCAGCTCTTGGTGGTGATTCTGTCGGTGCCCGTCAAGTCAACCTGGAACCTGGAGACAGACCCTCTGATGTTTACAGTGCTGTTGCCGACGGAGTCAAGGCTGAAGTCGAAAAAGACTTCGCTGCAGGTCATCCTGTGGCGCAGTTCCTCAGAGGCAAAATTACTCGCAAGGTCGTCAAGCAGCCGGTCATGACCAACGTTTATGGCGTCACCTACTACGGCGCCAGAGCTCAAGTCAAGAGGCAACTTGAGGAAATCTTCCCCGAGATTCATCGTCACGATGCTTTGGACCATCTGACGCTTGCCTCTTACGTCGCCAAGAAGATCTTCAAGTCTCTTGGTGAGATGTTCACAGGTGCACAGGCTATCCAGACATGGTTGGGAGATTGTGCAGATCGCATCTCAACTTGTGTTACACCAGAGCAGATTGCTGGCATGGAGAAAGACCACTCTGAAGGTAGAGCTATCATCCCGGAGAAGCCTATGATCAAACAAGGTAAAGGCAAGGGCACTACTGTACAGCGCGCTGAGGCGTCGAAGCACTTGTTCCGCAGCTCTGTCATCTGGACTACTCCTCTTCGCCTCCCTGTAGTACAGCCTTATCGTACTTCGAAGCGCCGCCAGGTCAAGACCAATCTTCAGCAGATTGCCCTCCAAGAGCCAACCGCCATTGATCCTGTAAGCAAGCGCAAGCAACTGCAAGGCTTCCCTCCCAACTTCATTCACTCTTTGGATGCGACGCATATGATGCTGTCCGCCATCAAGTGTAACGAGAACAACATTGCCTTTGCCAGTATTCACGATTCCTTTTGGACCCACGCTTGTGATATCAATCACCTGTCCGTCGTTCTCCGCGATGCTTTCGTTGCCATGCACACTGAAGATGTCGTCGGCCGCCTGCGCCAAGAGTTTATTGCTCGCTACAAGGACTGTATGTACCTTGCCGCAGTCGACATCCGCACACCGGTTGGCAAGAAGATTGCCGCCGTCCAAAAGGCCCGTCCCAAGGGAAACAGAAAGAACAAGCAACTACAGCCAACCTTGATCCTTCAACTTCTGGAAGAGGCCGAACGCTTGCGTCTACTCAACAGCGAGAACCCAGAGGAAGTTGCCCAAGGCGAAGAGATGCTCACCCCTGGCAGCATCTTTGCCGACGAAGCCGATGCTGAAGACGCGCTGACCGTGCCTGCCGAGATTGTCAACGCACGTCTCGGCGAGATCCCCGAAAACTCGGATGTCCTGGGTGCCTCCGAGTCTGGTGTTGATGACTTGACCGAGCCCGTCTTGTCCGACCACGACGATGTCGACCCCACCAGCGACGACAAGGTCGCCAAAGCAGCCGAAGACGCTGATATTGATGTGGACGAAGCAGAAGAACACGTCCCCACCGTCGAAGATCTAAAGAAGAAGTCCAAGCCGGCCGCAAAGAAGCCGGCCGTCAAGAAGGTGTACGTCTGGCTGCCGCTCAAGTTCCCCGAGGTGCCCGCCAAGGGCGACTTTGACGTGACGAGGTTGAAGGAGAGTCGATACTTCTTCCACTAGAAGTGTCTTGTACCCTTCTGTTTCACGTTTTGTATATATATGTGGAAGGTGTTGATTCTATGGTGTCTAAGGAGGGTTTTTTTTTTGCATATGGGTGGTGTTTTTAAAGCGATCAGAAAGCGAGGTGTTGTCCCTTTTGGAGTTTTTGGGAAGGAGAATTGCATGAATGCTTTGAACCATATAACCTGTACCACTATATCAGTATCGCTACTTCCTCCTTACATTTTCCACGCTGACCACAATATCATTCGCTGTTTCCTCAATCAATTGCCAAAGAATGTGAAGACGTGGAGGATTGAAAAACATTCGGACCGAGAACCTTAATCACTGCACCACGTCTCTTCCATAAATTTTGACTTTCGATAATGAGTAGTTTGACACTACTACCAGTTCATCTGGTTGCTTTGGTTGATCGCCAAGCAGCATGATGTTCATCGTCTATATGCGTACATCAGGTGGTTGGTATGTCGATACAGAATTTGCTGTTACTCTATCGACTTTCGCACCAGAGAGAATAACCGAGAAGATGCTCAAAGAACATTAAGGCACATATCCATCCCTTGCAAGGTACTCTTGACAGCACTTTTTCTGGATACTGGTAGTCTCCGATGTGTAGAGAGCCGATTCTACGGATATAATCTTTTTCGAATGCAGAATTCTGTTGCCTGAAATACGAGTCGTGCATCGCTGCTTCCTTGTGGAACCCCAAATCCTTCTACTTAATGTCAAAGAATTATCGACGTAATACTGCGACGCTCACCCGATTGTCTCTGCACTAAATCTTGGTCCTCTCCAATCATTCTGGCCATGCCGAGCTCTACCAACTCCTTTTTGCAGATCTGATCTACATTCTCATCTGGCAACTTGATCCTTCACTGTACAGCCTCCATGGACCTCAGCGAAGCGACTGCATTGACCATGCATAGACTCTATATTCATCAGGATTTTCACCGTTTCATGACGACCAACATGTGGCACGGTAAAGACACATTGCTATTCGTGGCTAGTGTTAGGCTACTGCATTCAGGAGTTGGCCTCCTATATCTGCTTCGATGCCTGGATATGTGACAATGCCACTGTTGGCTCAGCTAACTGACGTTCGAACGATACAATGCTTTTGTCAAGGTCTCCCTATCGACTTGGACACTATGAGGACGATATACAGTACCTCCCGTGGCTCGGCAACATCGACCATAGGGTACTACGGACCATCACCTCGGCCCTCAGCATCTTGACAACCAAAGCCACCTTTGTCAATGGCTTCCATCATCCTCTCCGACTACTGTTGGTCCACCTTATAGCGACGTTACTCTGGGAAATCATTCTGTGGCTCTTCTCGAACAAGATCGAGCGTACGTTCGATGCAAAAGACTATACACTGTACGAACTGGCTCGGAGAGGCAATCCACTGTCAAGGACAGGATTGAAGCTTTGTATTCGGTTCGCTTGTGGTATTGGTGCTTTGATATGCGAGTACGTCGCCATCTGCCGCTTTCGATCTCTTCCTGCTCTGAGCATGCTGCTCTTGCCGGACTGGGTTCAGCTCGTCTATCTGTTACACCATCGAGGCATCACGATACCAAAAAAAGATTCTTGCATTGCTTGGGTGTGCGCTGGGCGTTGTCATGATACTTGGCTTTGAGTTCCAACTATCTGAGGTTGGGATCAAGTCAGCGAGTATTGGAATCTTTCTGGGCCTTGCTGCACAACTGCTTCGTCAGGAACCAAGTATTCTGGATGACACTCAGTGCACACATTCCTTTCTTCCGGTTGCCCCAGTTCGAGACAAGGCAATACTTCTTCCTCTGGCTATCTTCGTCACTTCGGTCGGAATATACAACCGCGAATACTGGATATACACACCGCCACTTTCCAAAGTATCGCTCGTTGTTTTGGCTGTCAACCTTCTTGCTGCGGTAGTGACTTTTCAGTACAGCGGATCACACTTTAGGAGAACAGAGCCAGTCGCTACATTCAATGGTGTTGTGGAAGATCTTGACGATGGCGAGGTGGAGTCTATCCTTGAGACGCTGGCACTGTATACTGTGATAGCTTTGGGTAGCTTCTTGATCAGCCCATCTGACCCGGCGTCTATTGTGTCAATTGAACAGTATGTCGGATTTTTGATCGCGTTGAGTGCACTTTTCTGGATTGGTCGACTGTTTAGACCTGGTGCTATGGATGATCCATGCTATACCCCTATTGGTGTATTACCACGCGACGACACTGAATGCGGTCTGCCGGCTGTCGAGAATCTTGACCTTCAGAGGCGATATGGTATCAAGTGGAGTGGCTTCCTCCAGGCCGTATTTGTGGTGGCTTGTATCCTCCTTTCGACGTCCCTTATATTCCTTTATCACAGCTCGCACCAGCCATCGCCACGCTGGATTCCAAGAGACGACCAATTCAACACGTCTCCGAACACAACAAGATCCTTTGACTTTGTCGTATCCAGATTCGACGAACCCGCCACCCAAATAGCACGCCAGATAAACTCTCTGCACGAACTACCAAACCTGCGTTCTCTATCAACTCGTCTCATAGTCTACACCACAGGCACCGACTCGAAAGAAATCTTCCACGCCCAACTACAGCAATCCTTACACCCAAGTATCGATATCCTCATCGAGCAGCGAGATAACCTAGGCAGGGAAGCAGCAGCCTACCTCACACACATACTATCCCACTGGTCAAATCTCGCCACCCACACTCTATTCCTCCAAGCAGAGATGCACACACCTTCTCTAGTCTCGCCACGCCTAAACGACTACTTTATACCTCAAACAGGGTTTTTGTCCTTGTCAGACACTTATTGCGGCGGCAATACCTGCAACACCCACCCTTGGGATCACTCGGCTTGGTCTGAAAGCCCAGAGATACTAAACCCTATCCACGCCCTCGCAAATGTTTCTTCGTGCGTGGACTACACATATACCTACCGAGGCCAATTCATCGTTTCCGCCCAACGGATCCTGAGCAAACCTCCTGAGTTGTTTGAGCATCTGCTGCATAACTTGATAGATGCAAATGCAACCACGCATGCAGAGGAATACATCAAACAGCCTTGGCTGCCGCATAAACAGGATACTCTCAATGCGCCGAGGTTTGGGTATACGATGGAGATGATTTGGGGGTTGGTGATGGGGTGTCGAGGGAAAATGTCACAGTGTCCGAGTTTGATGTCTGGTGCTGTTGCAGCGAGGTTGGGGTTGGGGAGGAGAGGGAGCGTGAGCGATTGTCAGTGTTTGGATACTTGAGGGGTTTGCATAGATTTCATGAACAAACAAATGTCTTTTTTCGAGAGCCTGTTCTTTCGCACCTCACGTCATCTGCAAAACTAGATAATTGACAAGAATATTGATATTCTGGTATCTCACTGATGAAGAAGAAAGCCCAGGAAGAACACCAGGTACATCTAACCTCATTCCCCTTCTCTCGCAGACATCTTGCACAATACCTCAACATTCTTACTTCAAGCCACACCCTCGACCTCACATTCCCTCTGTCTAGCAGCAATACGTTTGTGACCACGGTGCTCTCTCATGCGCTCTGTGACCCTCGCCATGTGATCCTGAATCTGATCAACGGCAGTCTCCATGGCCACTTGCACGGCACCAACCAAAAACATGTTCTTCAGCACCACGTCTGCAGGATCAAACCAGCCGCCACCACTTCCGAAATCCATCGCACGCTGAGCCATCGACGGCAAACCTAGCATTTCCTGTATCTTTTCGATGGGCGCTATGAAGGCCTGATGGGCTTGGTCGAAACCAGGTATGTTGTGTAAAATTGGAGCAACTGTGTCAGAGTGCGCAGAGACAAGTTCGTGGGTGAGAACGAGAAAGTCATCGTTGTTGAGGGTGATGGCCAGAAACACGAGCTTGACTGCAACGCCCTCGAGCACAGCAATAATGACGTCGCGTTTCTGAACTTTCAATTCATTCTATGCGAGGAAGCGGAGGTGTTGGTGTAATTTGTAAGCGCCGATACCTAGACAGAATCCATTGATGGCGGCAGCGATGAGCATTTGTGGTGCCACGGAAGCCAGACCAAGGTTTACCATCAGACCCAGACTGTTCCTTGTCACCACTCTGATTCGATGGCGAGTTTTGCGTCGGATTTCTTTGAGTTCAATCTCATCAAACTCGCGAGGTAGAGGTCGATGTCGTTTGAGCTTTGGCTNTTTGAGAAGGTCTGCGTTTTGTGCATAGATGGCCTCGACCACGGAGGAGAGTTCGTCGTCTGCGTGATATGGTGGGAGTGTGGCCTCAGTGTGACCAGCAGAGTTGGTACGAGAGCGGTATGTGGGTAGCGTTTCAGTAGAGGACAAGGCATCGGCAGACAGTGAAAACTCGATGGATCGAGTAAAGTCGAATTTGGCAAAATCAATGTCATCATGGTTTCGCTTTGGAGTGTATGATGTATGGCCTTCATGTCTCGAGACAGCATAGATGACCCATTTCTCTGGGAGTCCCAGGCGAGCTTCATCCGAGTGACCCGAGCGACCACCGCTGTCTCGGGAGGAAGGCCTTTTTGNCGTGTCTGGCTCTTCGGGAGATGCTACGGCGGGTACGGACGGCGACCGCTTGAAGCTTGTCGATGCCGCGTTCGATCTCGTCAGTCGAGAATCGTCGACGGAACGAGCGAAGTGAAGAGGGTCGGTGTCGTGACCCGCCGGAAGGTAAGATAGGTCCCCTGGATCGCTTAGGAAGGTGAAAGAAACCTCCGCTTCTTGAGGATGTATCGAGTGGCGGCGAAGCATTGGTAGGAATTGGCGCCAGCCAAGGCATTGACATGCTCAGGGGATTGTTATAGTGATACAATAGGTTGTGATGTTGATGAGAAAGTGAATCTGCAACTTCGGCGAGATCTGGGTAGTAGTAGTGCACCTTCCTCGATGGTTCAACAATCTGTCGACGATTGTGCCCGCCATGTTTGATAGGACCAGAAGAAGAAGGAGTTCCAGGGATGGTGTTGTTTCTTCACAGAGGATTACATCTTGAGCTCGTTATGTGAGAACACAGGCACGCTCAGTGGACCAAACGCTTGCAAGGAGTCTGGCTCGATAGACAAGTGATAATGATTAGCAGACGAAGACCAGTATACAGCAAGACCGAGAAAGACATACCTACCCCTAAACCTCCATCAAAGGTGAAGCAAAACTGACACCAACTCCTCAAAGCAAGTGCAGTGTTAGAATACCAGCACCTAACATCTCTCACATCGAACCGGTGGAATGGCGCAGTGGTAGTAGCTCGTGTCTCCCACCTAATGCGGCCAGAGTCCACTGGTTCGATTCGCCGGGTCACCAGTAAATCCCCCCTTGTTATGCCAGAGGTCCCAGTAATCCTCACCCGACAACAATAATGACGAAAGCTGTGCTTTCTCTTCCCCTCCTAGCTTTCGGCGGCTAGAGAGGGTTTCTGTTTTGGTCGATTGGCTACCTTTTGATTTTGCTCTGCTCAAGAATCGTACAAGACGTCAGGACGAAGAGAACTTTGATTCGTAGAGGTTGTAATGATTGATCATTTTGTGTCATAACAGGTATCTAGATTAAGCATCTACTCGGCAGTAGCTTCCTTCTTCTTCCTCAAGAAAGCTACACCTTCAACATGACCAGTCTGAGGGAAGAAGTCAAATCCTCTCAAGCTCTCAATCTCGTACAAGCCCTTGCCACCATTGACACCAGCAAGACCTCCAACCAAGACACCCACATCTCTGGCTTGAGTATGCACGTTGCAACTGACATAGCAGACTCTCTCCGGCCCGAACTGCAGCAATTGGGCAAGGAAATTCTCGTCACAACCCTTCCTTGAAGGGTCAATGACGACAGCAGTCTCCGCAGCAGGGAACTTGATCTCAGCGAAGATGTTGTTGGCGTCGCCGGCAAGGAAGCGGGCAGAAGAGGAAGGAATGTTGTTGAGTTTGGCATTTGTGGACGCGAACTCGATAGATTTTGTCGAGACGTCAATGCCGATGGAGTTTTGGAAGAGAGGCGATAGGGTGACGGTGAACAGACCACTGCCAGAATAAGCGTCGATCAAGTTTGTGATCTTGGGCGCATCTGCTGGTTGGTCTTTGGGTAGGATGTTGTCACGAATGTACTGAGTGAAGCTGGGGAGGATGGAGTTGTTGTTCTGGAAGAAAGAGCCGGCAGGGTTGTCGAAGCGGAAGTCGTCAACATATTCTGTCGAGACAGCGTTCTGGTCAGTGACGCATGTCTTGCGGTGGATGTGTGAGCCGCGGTCCTCGTCAATGTAGTCCTTGGATTCGCTTGATGGTGCAGCAGCCTGAACCTCGATAGATTGCTCCTCAGCAGCACCGCCGTTTGTCTGCTGCTCTTGTGGTAGATCCTTCTTGTCGATACGCTTTGTGCTTTCGCGGAGCAGGAGTGTAGCACCGCGCTGGTACTTCTCAAGCTCGACCTTGACTCTTTCTCTCTCGCTCTTCATGCCCATGCGTACAGCGTCCGTGCCGATAGGACAATCCTCAATGTCCATAGTCTTGCGAGTTCCCTTGAGCATGAAACCGATGGGTGGTACCTCTGAGAAGACAGCCTTGACACCTTGACGCCTGTCCCTTCTGCCACCGGGAGGACCATCGAAATGAGGAGTCAACTTGGTGCGGTAACCATATTGCAGAGGCGAGCCCATGGTGTCGCCAATGGCAGGGATGAGATGTGCGGGCAAGTTGCAGAAGTTCTTGTAGGCCTTGTCGACAATGCTCTTCTTGTGGTCCAACTGGTATTGGTAAGGTAGGAATTGGAACTGGCATCCAGAGCACTTGGAGAAGTAGCCACACTTGGAAAGAGAGTCATCGCGATGTGTCGAGGGCTCAAGGACCTTGACAAAGTCGGTCAAGGTGTAGTTTGTGTCTTGCAAATGCTTGATGATCTTGACGGTGACCTTGTCGCCGGGAGCTGTGAAAGGCACAACGGCGACTTGGGAGGATCCAGGGATGACAGCGAGACCGTCGCCGGTGGATGAGAGTTCTTCAATCGTCACATCGTACTCGGTGAATGGTTCGGGTAGTTGAGCGGGAGGTTGTTGTTCTGCTTGTCCTTCCTCAGGCTTCGAAGCGATCGAGTGCTTCTCGAGCAATGCGCGCACGTCGGCGATCAGGACCTCTTCGTTGGAACCTTCCTTGACGGTGCTCTGCTTTTGCTTCTTGTTCTTCTTGAAATGTCTCTTGCCCTCGTTGAATTTCCTTTNTTGAGGCTGGTTGGACTGAGCAGGTGCTGAGTCGGCCATGGTTGGTCTGAAGATGGCCGTGCGAGACAGCAGTGAAGTTCTGGCGGAGAATAGTGGAATGGACCGAGTAGCAGCAAAAAAGTGTCGTGACAGCATTGGAGGACGAACAAAAGCGGATGGTCAGCAAATCTGGAGATGCTGACCACCGGAACTCTGCACAAACTATGCTTTCTTATACACGACTTATCCCACCCCCGATTACCTCCGCAACCTTTGCTCTTGGCATTCTGAAATTCGTCCCCAATAGCGGCGTATACCAATCGCTGCTTTATTGTCTCGTGAGAGGGAGAGAACCCAGCAGAACAACGATGAAGACGACACGCTGCCTCTTCTGCCGCCTCGCCCCGGCAGCGACACCAAAGCCTGCACCTTCCTCCTCCCGCGCCTTCAGCTCAACGCCCGCAACATCAGCAAAAGGCAAACCCGCATACCCAAATGTCAGAGCCGTCGATCTCGGCCTCGTCCAACAGCGCGTCGACACGGCCGCCCGCACATTCAAGCCCTACACGCCGCGAGAAAAGCAACTGCTGGCTTTGAAATACACTCCCGCCCAGGTTCGCGCCATCGAAGCCGCCGAAGCCTCCATCGATCCCAAGGATGTCGTGGTCCAAGGCAAGATCCGCCGCGACACTTTCGCTCTCAACTACATCGACGACCTTGCAAAGATTCAGCCGCTGGTGGACAAGCCTGTGCGCGCCCCCACCCAAGATATCGATCCTGGCATCCGCATGCGCTCCGAAGACGAAGTGCTCGAACGCTTTGCCCAATGGACCGAGGACTTCAATCGCAAGCGTCAGGAGTACGAGACACGCATGGAGAGCATGGATGGAGAGACACTCGAGCAGGAGCTATTGACAAAGAGCATCGAAGCCGGCATATACCCCGGCGACAACCTGACACCCGACGAACGCCGCGCCCGTCTACGCAAGTACGCAGAGCACTTTGAGGGCCCAAACGAAGTCGCAGAATGGAACGCCTTCATCGGCAACGCAAACAACTTTTTCTTCTCGCCCAAAGGCACGCTGGACTCACAGCAAGACAGCCTGGCTCCCGAGATGCCAAAAACAAAGAGTTTGGGCGTAAAGTTCGAGTCCGAGGATGACGACCCCCATCTCCAGCGCTTGATGCAGCAGACCGGCATGTCCAAGGAAGACATCAGAAAGATTAGATGCAAAAACTTGGTCAACCACCGTGTCGTCAACCAAACCCGTATGGGTAAGATTCAGTCAATGTACTACCTCACCATTGCCGGCAACGAGAACGGCATGTTGGGTATCGGCGAGGGCAAGTCGGGCGAAGACGAAGACGCCATCCGTCAAGCCCAGTACGCCGCCATCAGAAACATGAAGCCCATCCCGCGTTACGAAGATCGCACCATCTTTGGTGAAGTCGAGGGCAAGGTCGGCGCTTCCATCGTCCAGCTTTCTTCCCGTCCGCCAGGTACGTCTTTTGTTACTTCTTCCCACTATCCATACCAGCCATGCTAACAATCCACCAATCANGGCTTCGGCAACAGATGCCAGCATCTCATCTACGAAATGGCTCGTGCAGCAGGCATCTCGGACCTCAGCGCCCGCTGCCCTCGCAGTCGCAACCCCATGAACATTGTCAAGGCAACCTACGAAGCCCTCATGAAGCAACGTCTACCCGAAGACGTCGCCCGCGCTCGTGGTCGCAAGCTGGTCGATGTGAGAAAAGTCTACTACCAAGGTCTGACTTCATAGAGCGTCTCCTTGCCATGTAATTGATTCTGTATTATATATATTTTGCACATGTGCTGTGTAGCCTTGTACTCTGAGCTTCACTCTGAGCAACCTCATGTCATGCGTCTTCCCTTCCAGTAGCAACATGTCTTGTACCATTGGACTGAGCCATTTCCACCAAGCAAGTTTATCTAACCATACTTAGAAAGGAGCGCTGCATTATCATTTGATCCCAAGCAGTTCCTTCAAAGACTCTTTTGGATCGTCAGAAACCTGCATGGCGAAGAACGCTCTGGCAATGTCTTCNNCTACATCATCAGTCAGCAAGCAATCTCCTGTCTTCTTTCCCCAAGGATCACGTACCGCCTCTTCGAGATCCCTTGTCTCACTCTCTGACAACATTGCACATGCTGTGACCAGGTCTTCTCCCCTAGCAGCAAGAAGAACGAGTTCCTCGGCTCTGTTCGTGACGCCTGACGGTATGCCGTTCAAGGCTGCGCAGACTGTTCCATAACTGTTGTTGCTGCGTCCTTGCTTGTAGCTGATTTCAGTATTAGCGACTTCGCTTTCGGACAATAGAGTGTCACCCTAAACTTGCTTGTAGAGGTAGGTCAACTGCTCATCAATCTGCTGTGACTGCGGATCTACACGGACTTCGAAATAGCCGAAAGCAAGACGCTCGTGAGGAAGGAGGAAGCCGCTCTCGAATATTTNCTGCAACAAGGTCAGATTGTCTTTGCGTGCCATGACATGGATGATCTCTGCAGGTGTACCATGGAAATGTGTGGCACCAATGACTTTTGGACATTGGTCTCCTCTTTCAAGCAGATGGTTGAATACACCGGCAGCCAGTCCTGCACCATCTGAACCAAGCATCAGCTCAGAGTCTCTTGAAACGGCGTTCCAGTACTTGCCATGCGAATCAGTACCCTTGCCAAACTCATCGATGATCAGCAAGCTCCTGTTGGTGGCCAGATGTAGTGCCACCGATATCTGCTGCAGGTCGATCGTGAATGCACTTTGATTCTGCGTATGTCAGTGTCCGCTATTCTCGACTACAGTTTAGGCACTCACCCTCGATACACTCTCTCGAGTTGCCACTCGTGTCATGATCTTGTCTGTTAGACCTATCTCCGCTCTCGTCGCTGGCACAAAGCTTCCAACATGAGCCATGAACACGATGATGGCCACTTGCTTGAGGTAGACGCTTTTACCCGAGAAGTTTGGTCCTGTCACCAAGATCATGCTCGGTACCACAGTGCCATCTTCAGTAAAGTATTGAGGTACTGCAGACGGACTGCCTTGCTGTTCAGTAGCTGGCTCGCCTTCGCCGCCAGCGAGGAGAGTGTCATTCGGAATGAAGTTGGATACGACCTTTTCTTGCAGAATGTGTCTGTAGTGGGTCAGCATTGATGTTACACGCTCAGACAAACTCGACTGCACCGACCTGCCGCCTCTGATGTCCAGAATGTTAGATTCTATCAGCCGTGGCCGTACGAGGTTGTGGTTTCTAGCTCGCTGTGCCAGAGCCAAGANTGCTGCATATGCATCAGTAACTGCTAGATGTTTTCCTAATCATGAGCAGACTTACCAGTCAATCTCGGCACAGATATCAGACGCAGCTGTGAGAAGGTCCCCATACTGTAAGATCTTCTCTGCAAGCTCGTGGATGATCTCGATTTCTCGGTCTTCGAGCCGTCAGTATATAGTTCGGCATTAACAAGACCCTTACTAACCACAGATGCGTCCATATATGTCTCCGAAGTATGAGTCCATCTCAATGACGTTTTCGTTCTTGTAATAAGCAAAATCCTCGGTAGTGAACATCTTCTCCCAAGGATCGTCTTCGGGACCTTCAAAGACGCCGTGGCCCGTTATTGGATCCTGAGGTATAGCAATGAGAAAGCCGATCTGAGGGAAGAACACAACGTTGATGTTCGCGTTCAAGGCTTCTGGCACAGACTGGGCAACATGATGAGCTACCTGGGCAAGAAGACTTTCGAGTCCTTCATAGGTCCGTTTGAGCTCATCTAGGTCATGATCCACACCTTGTCTGACAACGTTGCGACCTTGGTCTTGGGATAGTTCAAAATCGATGATCTCAGTGATACTCTTACCAACTTCAGCCAGTTGTAGACTATGGAATTGGTCCATAACTTTGTTTCGAATCGCGAGTCGCTCTCCACCAACGATCTCCTGGAAGCAGTCTTTGATTTGCAAGGCGTGGTATGCAAATAGACGAACGCCAGTCCAGATGAAGTTGGGTGGTCCTCNTTTGCTTGCCCCATTGCCACTGATACCTTTGCGAAGATTAATCATGACGGCTCTCATGTTTTTGATCCTGCTCAGGTTTTCGATCAGGGTCTCCATTTGTTCTGAATTATCCGTGCGAAGCAGAGAACTGATGGTGTCAAGGCGCTCATTGATAACGTCCAGGTTGGTACTTGGTCTTAAGAAGTACTGCCTTAGCAAGAGCTTGCCCTGAGGAGTACGTGCGAGAGTATGAAACAGGCCATAGACGGAGAAGCCTTCTTTCGTACCCGAATTTGTCTTTGCAGGACCTTGGTTATGTGAGTGCGGGTGAGACTCGGACTGAACAATCTGCAGCGAGAGCAGTGTGTCGGCGTTGACGANACCTAATGCTTGTCAGCGATCCTGATAAAACGAGATAGCTCGTAGTGAGAGTCACATAGACCCAGCAAGCGTAAACATCTCGATCGTCGAGATGCGGTGCATTGCTTGAGCAGCCATGTCTCCTGGCAAGAAGGTTGCTGCTCGCTTGCGATGGATGTATGCAAGAACTGCACCAGCGCAGCCAACTGTCACTCGGCTCTCGACATCAATCCAGCCAGCCAGTCTCAGCAACTGTCCTTGACGGGTCTCGACAGCAGCATCCCCATTCAAATGGTCTTCATTACTCTCAGCAGTAAAATCTCCAGGCGTCATAAAGGTGATTCTGGGTCCATCCTCGTAACCGAGCTTGAGATTGAGAAGCCTACTTTTGGCTGAGTCGTAAGAAAACTCAGACACAGGGCGGGGCGAGCACAAAGCAGGCATGCCATATACTGTACTGTCCCCATCGCCTATATTCTTCCGCTCTGGATCAAGCTTGTCCAGCACTGTGTCGTCAAGTTTAGACGATACGAGAATTATGGTAGGGTCGATGAACGTTTTGACTGTATCGTGTCAGCCTTGAATAAGAGCATCGAGGATTCATANCTTACGAGCTTCGATAATATCTGGACCACCCAGCTCAATGTCTTCCATAAAGTACAACTTCTCTTGTGCAGCAATGTAATACGCACAACCGACAGTACCGCGAGGTTTCATGTCAACTGCCATGACGATCTCATCGAGAGCCTCATCACTAGCACCGTCATCGAAGTGGTTTCGAGGTTGAGAGTTGGCGATTGAAGCTGGGACTTGTCCGTGTACCACACTAGGCGCAGATGAAGCTTGTCGGGAGTTGTTTGATGGATTCGGAGTCGTCAGTCTCGAAGCAGTCGAAGGAGTGACTGAGGGTTGTCTCAATGCGCGAAAAGATGGATTGCGAGAGGTTGCGCCGTTGGAGCGGTTGTAGTATGATCCCCGACCGCGGCCACGTCCACGTCGAACACCGCTAGAGGAAGACGAGGTACCACGACCACGGCTGGAAGAAGTCCCACGACCGCGTCTCGACGAACCACGCTGCGAATTCATGGCGGTTCTTCTGTAATCTCAATGATTGTGTAAGTAAGATGAATGGGTGTCAGACCAAGGGTTGGAGGTGCAAAGCTGCAACACACGTCGAGGAGGGGCAACTTGCCATGAATCGCTCCTTCCCAAATATTAAAACACATATTGCATCACCACCTCTGAGAGATTGTCTGTAGTGTATCATGAGTGGCGTCTTCGTTAACATTTAGTATCTTACATATAAACAGGTCTCGTTCTGCTACTGGTGTGACAAATCCCCTATAAGACACCCTAAACTCCTGTGCTATGCGTTATGCGTAATCTACCTCACAGCGTACAGACCAAGTGACTACGGTGCGATGACCTCGAGATGCTCTCCGTCAGAGCGAACAGCAATCCTAGCCACGTCTCCAGTTTTGATTTGTCCGCGGATGATCTTGTCGGCCAGGCCATTGCCAATCTCCTTAGAAATGAGACGGTTGAGAGGGCGAGCACCGTAGCGAGGCTCGTATCCCTTCTCGCAAAGCCAGGCTTTGACATCATCTGGTACGTCAAGTTTTATGCGGCGGTCATCAAGTCTAGCCTGCAGCTCCTTGAGGCGGATATCTGCAATGTCTCTAAGGGCATCGCGTGAGAGACGCTTGAAGATGATAAACTCGTCAACACGGTTCAAGAACTCAGGAGCATACGCTGATTGCACCACGTCCATAACGTCCGCCTTCACCTCAGATGAAATTTCGCTGCTGGAGCTCTCATCTGCAAGGAGTGCTTCGGCACCCAGGTTCGACGTCAGAACGATCATGGTATTGCGGAAATCAATCTTATGTCCTTGGGCGTCAGTAAGGAAGCCTTCATCGAGAACCTGCAAAAGCAGAGTCGAAATGTCTTTGTGTGCCTTTTCGAACTCGTCGAAAAGAAGGACGGCGTATGGCTTTCGACGAACAGCCTCGGTGAGCTGACCGGCGTCTTCATAGCCTACATATCCAGCAGGACTTCCGATCAAGCGACTGACTGTGTGCTTCTCCTGGAACTCACTCATGTCGAAGCGAGTGACGGCGGACTCGGTGGAGAAGAGAAACTCAGCCATCTTCTTGCAAAGCTCAGTCTTGCCAACACCTGTAGGTCCCAAGAACATGAAAGATGCAAGAGGTCGATTCTCGCCACTCAAGCCCGCACGCTGCATGCGGACAGCGTTGGCAACAGCGGTGAGTGCTTCGTCCTGGCCGCGGACAGATTGGCGCAAACTATCCTCCATGTGCACAAGTTTTTCGATCTCACCTGACATCAGCTTGTTTACAGGAATGCCAGTGGTTCGTGCAACAACTGCAGCAATATCGTCTGCGTTGACCGAATCATGTAAGAGGGCGTTGCCGTCGGAATCGACCGCCCCCTCTGCATTCTCGTTTGGGAGCTTCTTCTCCAATTCTGGGATGGTGCTGTAACGTAGCTCACTGGCACGAGCCAAATCAGCAGCTCGCTGGGCTTGCTCGAGATCAAGGCGAGCCTGTTCAAGCTTCTCCTTAATGCCCTTGGCCTCTTCGATCTCGGCTCGCTCCTTTTCCCATTTCTCAGTAAGCAAGCCAACTTCGTCTTGCTTGAGCGTGAGACTCTTCTCCAGCTGCTCTCTACGCTCCTTACTCGCAATGTCCTTTTCTTTCCGTAGCGACTCGAGCTCGATCTGGATGGTCATGATCTCGCGGTCGAGTTTCTGAATCGCATCGGGCTTGCTTTCCTGCTGGAGTCGCAAAGCACTGCTGGCTTCGTCTACCAGATCAATTGCTTTGTCTGGTAGGAATCTATCGGTGATGTATCGGTTGCTGTAAGTGGCAGCAGCGACGAGCGCAGAATCGGTGATGCGGACACCGTGGTGAACTTCGTAGCGATCTTTGATACCTCGAAGGATAGAGATGGTGTCTTGCACACTGGGCTCACCAACGAGGATAGGTTGGAAACGTCGAGCCAGAGCAACGTCCTTCTCGATCAATCTGTACTCGTTCAAAGTGGTGGCACCACAGCATTGGAGTTCACCACGGGAGAGGGCGGGCTTAAGTAGGTTGCTAGCGTCGATACTGCCTTCGGCTTTGCCAAGTCCGAGTAGAGTGTGAAGTTCGTCGACAAAGAGAATAACCTTGCCCTCGGCTTCTTGGGTTTCCTTCAGCACGTTCTTCAGACGCTCTTCAAAGTCGCCTCGGAACTTTGCGCCAGCTATGAGTGAGCCTAGATCAAGGGAGATGACTTTCTTCTCCCTGATACTCTCAGGGACGTCTCCTCTCACAATTCTTTGCGCTAGACCTTCGAGGATGGCAGTTTTACCCGTTCCTGCTGAACCAATGAGAACAGGATTGTTCTTGGTACGCCGCGACAGTACTTGGATGGTTCGTTGGATTTCGGCATCCCTTCCAATCACGGGGTCGAGTTTGCCATCTCTGGCGCGTTGAGTAAGGTCAATACCATACTGTTCGAGTGCAGGTTTCTCCTCTTCTCCTCCCATGTTCATGCGGTGGGTCCCGCCTGGAGGCTGTGGTCGACCTCGAGCATATGTGCGAACAGATAACAAAGGCTGGAGTGATTTTGGTGATGGTGGGTGTGATATTAGTCGTGTGTTAGAGCGTGTGAGTGCTGTTAGGGAGCTCGCGCGGAGTGTGGCAACGCGCGAGACGCATCTGCTCCTTGCTGCAAGCATTGTGAATGTGGACAGAGTATTATGTGTGCTTAGCTGGAGGATACGCGGTCTCAGTGTGGACCACAGCTTGATATACCTATCTTCCTACAAGAACTACACGACCGCGATGGCAATGGACGACGATTCTACGCGCTTCTCGAAAATGTCGATGTCACGACTCGGGAACGAGAGCGTCCAAGCTCCCGAGTCCCTCGGGCAGCGCCAAGGCGGGCTCGAAACAGAAATTGGAAAGAGCTGGAGCTCAAGGTCGCCACGGAAGGACCCGCGAGTTGAGCTGGAAAAATTGCAGCCCCTCGTCCAACAGTCTGCCTCAACTTCCCCGTATCCTTTCCTTTTTCCTCTTCTCTCATTTTTGACATACCACAATTCACAATGGGTTTCATCGACTTCATTTCCGACGCTGGCCTCACTCGTACGCTGCTCCCGTCATGCTCGCCGCCAGCTTTTAGCTAGACGCTAACCCGAGATCAGTCCTTGAGAACTGGACCAAGACCCGTTCCTACATTGTTGGGTATGTACACCGAGCTCCCCTCCTTCACCTACCCCTCCCCTTTGTTTACAGGATGTAAAAAAATTGGTCCGTGTTTCTGAGGCGGCTTAAGACCCCGCTACACGATGTTAAAACAATGCGCTTGTCGCAACACTGATATCTCACCTTCATCACCGCCTTTTCACCTCAGCCTCGTTCTCAGCGACACCCAGCTGACAGCCTGCATAGCTACGGTCCTTCCCAGGCCGATGTCAAGACCTTCCAGGCACTGAAGGCTTCCCCCGACGTCGCCAAGTACCCCCACGCCTACCGCTGGTACAAGCACATCGCCTCTTTCGAGTCCGAGTTCTCTTCGCTCCCCGGTGACCCCACCAAGGAGTTCACTGCCTACGGCCCCGAGTCCGCTGAGCTCACTGTCAACCCTTCCAAGGCCACTGCCAACGCTGAGGAGGAGGACGATGACGACGTTGACCTTTTCGGTTCCGATGACGAGGAGGAGGATGCTGAGCACGCTCGTATCCGTGAGGAGCGTCTCAAGGAGTACGCCGCAAAGAAGGCTGGCAAGACGAAGCCCGCTGCCAAGTCGATCGTCACCATGGACATCAAGCCCTGGGGTGAGTCATTGTATTAACGGACAATTGACATCTTATACTGACAAATTGCACANGACGATGAGACCGACATGAAGCAGCTCGAGGCCAACGTCCGTTCCATCGAGAAGGACGGTCTCGTCTGGGGTGCCTCCACCCTTGTCCCCGTCGGTTACGGTGTCAAGAAGCTCCAGATCAACTTGGTCGTCGAGGACGACAAGGTCTCGCTCGATGAGCTGCAGGAGCAGATCGCCGAGGACGAGGACCACGTTCAGTCCAGTGACATTGCTGCCATGCAGAAGCTGTAAAGTGCTAGCGTAGCACCGGACCAAAAGTTCACGACGGCGGATCGCCTGTATCTGATCCCAAGTGCAGGCGTAGACTGTTTGAGACCTCTGAAGCTCTTCGTTGCAATGATCACTACGAGAGCAACACGTCTCGCAGTAAGTGATGGGTTAATGAGCTTCATGGCATGCATTTAGAAAGCGTACAAATGAAAAAAAGCAAAACCCGGGACACATAATGATACCCAACCAACCCAGATTTACCTCCACCTTTGCTCATGTCTTTGTGACAGCTTTCCCGTTGTTTCCGATTCTTGACTTCAGTGCAATTCTCTCATGGAAAGGCTAGGGAGCTCTATTGAGTGTGTGAGGCTCTTCCATAAGGGCTTATGTGGGGCAAGCAGCAAGCTGAACGTCCATCGACTGTCAACATCATCCGTTCACACAACACAGAAAGACGTGAGCGCAACGTCTATTGCTAACCAACCATCGATATCAGCACCTAAACCGTCACAGACCAAAAAGTAAAGAAAGAAAAGGGGAGGTATGCTATGGCTAATGTAGGGGTAGGTACGCCCTGCTCTGGCTCTTGGACCGAAATCAGTAGACAGCCATCTTGAAATGGTGTACTGTAAGTAATGTGAAGGAGAAAAGGTGCAAGATCATTGCAAGTTCAAAGTCCCATGAAGTCAGGACTGGTGTTGTCCGAGTTGAGAAAGAGTGACGCTTTTCCTTCACTTCCAGGAGCATCACTCACCCAGACATTGTACACAGCACTGTTCATCTGTTCTTCTCCTATCCGGAATTTCATTGCCTCTCCTTCTCCTTCGCAAATTTTACTCGTATTCCTTATCCTCGCTCTGAAATTATTTTTGTTTTGGTCAGAAGGTTGAGAAGAAGAGTCGGCAAGCGCGACGGGCCTCGCTGCGCATACCAAATTGAAGCCGATACATCTTCCCAACCCTCCGTCGCGCTCTATTTCCAGAGTACAGTCACTTGAAGGGCACACCAATTGATTTGCATCTTCCCTGGCCAGCATCTCTTCCATCACATCGTTCTTCTGAGCATCTTTTTGTCTCTCCTACCCTACTGTCGCGTCCGTCTGCACCGTCAACGCGCAATCGCTTCATCACCACAACTTGTCGCGACTAGTTGGACTATACTCATCGACAGTCGCATAGTCTCAACATATTGGACTGCATACTCATCTCGCAGGAATAATTACGACGCGTCCTCCCTACCAACATCAAAGCCATCGTCAACGGGTCGGGTGAACTGCTAAATGGATTACATCTACGAAAAGATTGCTGGTAAAGGTGAGTCGTCAGCCCTCCGACCAACGCTACTTGTTCCAACCCGTGTGACTAGGCCCGGCTCGAAAATACAACCTCGAGAAATGTCGAAAGGAACTCGAAAAGAGCTGCTCAGACTACCAAAAGCGTGGCAATTGCTTTCCTCCCCCACCACGGACCACACCTTGCACAAGCAGTGCACCCACTCAACAACAACCGTCCCCGAAGCAGAAGAAGGTTCGCTTCCAGACTTATCAGTCTCTGAATGAAACTGCACATATTCCCCACAAAGTCAAGCGGTGCCCCTTTCAATACAACGAAAAGGAACTTCGAGAGAGAGCTCAACAACTCAAAGCCGACTCCAAGCATGCATCTAAGCTTCGACTCCATCAGCATCCAGTGTCGACTGCTGATCCCTTGGATGGTTATACAGGCCACGATTTCTCGAACGACTGTTCTAAGGATAACTCGAGTACCGAGGACTTCGCACCTCGTAGACATCCGACACTGCATCGTCAGAATCTTACACAGGACGAGTTCATTGCCATCAGGGACACGGCTGCGCGCATTGCAAGTCACTGTGCTGTCCGCGACAAACAGCCATATCCTGACTCGCCTCCTCAGGAGGCCTTGCACCGCATACGCTCTGCTGTTTGGTCGGAAAGGGCCAAAGACGATGGCCAAAATAGCACTGCACCGCCCCCTCCAGGCGAAGCGCAGGACGACAATGGGATCAGCGTTACTGAAGATGGCTGTATCATCCAACGTGGCTTCGACATCTCATCCATGACCTCTTCTCCTGGAGGCGCTGTTCATATCAGGTGTGACTCAGGGTGCGAAGTCCGATGCAAGACGCCCAATCATGTCTCTCCTGAGCAAGAAACTCGTAAGGAGCCACTCAAATCGAGCGTCAGAAATGGAAGGGGCGCAAGAGTTCCAGTCTGCTTCCGCAAACAAGAGATCTCACACCAACGGAAAGTGTCGCATTTATCAGCTTTATTTTCCGCTCATGGCTTCTCAAACGGCCAGAAAGAAGACCAGAAACCTGCGCTAGAGAACACGCACCAAGCACATATGCCACAGCAGCGTCATCGAATGCCAGTTCCTGCACGTCCTCTGGTCTTCTCGGGCTCTGGCTCGTCAGGTGCCGTCGTGTCTGATAGCGAGGATGATAGCGAGGAAGAGCAGGAGCGATCTGAGGCCAAGAAGGTAGATAGTGCTACAGGCTCTCCTACTTGTGCGGATGGGGCTAAGGATACGGCTGGTCACGGTAGTGTTGCCACCCTTGTTGTCTCGTACAAGCCTGCTGAAACTGTGAAGACAAGCAATCGTCTGCCGCAACCTTCTGCACCGCCCTCGCCTCCGTTATCCAAGCTTCCAGTCCCCAGCTTCCCCCGAGTCAAACAGGGTCAACATCTCCATGCTGGTACAGCCCTCCCACAAAGGCTATCAAAGCATCATGACCTTGCTTCGAGATCTGACGAGCAAGCTGCGCAAGAACTTCCACCTTCACAGCAACGAAACCCACAACCACGATTTCTTCGTTCCCAGCAGACAGCCAAAGTTCTCCTGGCTCATCAGCAACAACGCCGTGCTCGACAAGCTCCCCTTCCTCACCCTCAATCACCATGCCAGACCCTTGGGCTTTATCTACCTACACCCCCAAAATCCTTCTCCGAAAGTGGCAACTATGTCTCTGCGCTCCTTGACAAGATTGAGAGGAATGGTGGAAGGCGTCCTGAGAACTTCAGCTGGGATCATGTCGCACCAATGCATGGCTTTAGCTCATGTCGTGCCTTCTACGTCCTCGATTAGACGGCTTGGACTCTGTTTCCAGCGATGGACATCGAAGACGATAGTCTTGGCCTGAACATCCAAGAGTTGGGCATCCACCTCTACTCCCTAGATCCTTTGCTCCTGGCAGTAGGGTGGTAGCTCTTTCTGCCTTTGTTTGTTGCTTTTTTTTGCGTATCGCCCCTGCTCTTTTTACGATACCCACATTGCGTTTTTCTCGCGACTTTATTTTCTTGTGGCTCTCCATCGCTTCCATTCTTTCTTTATAGATTGGTGGTCTAGCCAGACTGGCGTTGATGAAGCTGCTCAACAATGTCTACACCTAATGCACAATGGACAATGGCTGACGCAAATCATATCGCCGGCCTTTTCTTTTCACACCCTTTACTCTTCCTCGGTCTCTCTCACCCTTCACATCGTCTTGTCTGCCTTTCCAGATCTGCTCGAGGGGGCGGTCATTGCTCTGGTCAATTTCTTTCTTCGAACAGAGGACACACTTGCTTGTATACAGAACAATCTCTCTTTGGTCCGAGAATCTGGAAAGTGCAAAAGGAGGTGAAGGTTAAAAGGGGAATAAGGAGTGAGACATGATTGCGAAAAGAAAAGGACGAGACGACGACAATAATGTTTAACATAGCATCCAATACACACCACTAATCGTTTTCTTTTCCTTTACTTCCTGTGTCTTGTGTATTGTAACGAGAATCTGACTCTTTGATTATTCGATACACACTCCAGTATTGACAAAGTTGCTCCAAAGTAATTGGTTGAAAAAGGAAAACAATTGATACAATCCGACCGGATAGAATAAACGAAAGACTTGAAGTGATTTCTCACTTGGTTCCCAATCTTTCATCTTCTTGCTCGTTTCCTCGTAGACACACCCCTGCGGCGTACTCTACGAGTTCCACCTTCAAACAAAGACCAAAAAAAAGAACGCCAATCGCTATGCAACCCACCGTCTCCCCAATCCCCCAGCAAAACTACACAATAAACATGCCCCATCCCTTGTCCCAAGATCTTCCGGATACACCTCGGCCACTTTGGACTTCTTAATCATCTCCTCTCAATCCACACATGTCAGTGCCTAGCCAGTAATCCAGCCATGCAAAGATCAACCAGTAAAGACTAGCATTCTTCCAGTCAAAGTTTCCGTCATCGGTGCGTGGGACGGCGGAACCTATCACATCGCCCTTTGTGCCGACGAAGAGGTTGATCAAGGGCCAAGAGGCCAGTGATGAAGACACGGATTTGGAGGGTTCGGCAAAGGCCAGGTCCGCGGANNGTTTGAGGACGGCGCGGGTGGCGCCGGGGATTCGCATGGGCCGTTTTTGGGCTGGGATGGTGGGTTCGAGAGCTGTGGTGTTGTTTGCTGTGGTGGCGAGGTTTGTGGTTGAGGAAGACGAGGGTGCACCCGCGATGGTTGCCGAGGACATTGTGTTGGATGAGTCTGTTGGAGTCAGGGTGTCGCGAGTGCTGAAGGTGGAAGGTAGAGCTGGGCCGTCAATCTGAGCGCCGGCATTCGAGTATGGGATGGGAGCGTCGTTGGGAGGGCCGGTGCCACGGAAAGGCTCGGCGTAGACGAGGAAGCCGTGGATGGGGTGAGGAGAGCAGTGGCAAGCCAGGTCGGCGGCTTCGGGGCTGTCGAAAGTGACTTTGATCCAGTGGTCTCCGCCACGGTAGGCGTTGCGTTTGCGAAGGGCGGCTTGCGAGAGGGAGCGTTGAGCGAGCTTTGCGCGGCTGTATGTCAAGCTGTGGTCGTAGCGCTGATGGGGAGGATGGCGGTCGTAGTCTTCGTAGACGATGCCGTTCGAGATGCGTTCGTAGTACTCGATGGCGGCCCATTGCGAGTCTGGGCCAAAGCCGTAAAGAATGACCTCGGTAGCTTCCTTTGCCAATGCAGCATCGCCTGCTCCTTGTGATGCTTGAGCTTCGTTGGACTTTTGTGTGGGTTGTACCGGGTCCTTTGCCTTGAGCTCATCCTTGTACTTAGCAAAGATGAAGTCCTCGGTCTGCATGTTTTCTTGTCGCACGACATCCTCCTTGCGAGCTGGTGTTGCCGTCTTGCTGCGTGAGAAGCCACGACGGCGTACTGAGCGTCCGAATGGTCCTTTTTCCTCGGGCTCGCGTCTGCGGCCTACCTCTGCNNGCTGAGACGGGTTAGTTCATGTTGGTGTACAGAGTTGACTTTGCTAGAGCTGTCCTAGACGGATGTGAACGTACTCGGCAAACTCATAGCCCCATGGCAGACGTTTACCAGAGGCATCGAGAGCTCTCTCGCTCTCGGGCACAGCATGGACTTGCATGCCCCCGCGCATCGAGTTCATGGTGCGGTTGTGTGGACGACGTGGATTGAGGGCGAGAGAGGTGCGTAATGGAAGCGACGGTGACGGTTCTGTGGAATCCTAGGCCTCTCCTATCTTGGCTGAGACACGACCGTGTGGTGGCTTTGCAGACGAATAGAGTAGAGATGAAGAGAGGAAAACACTCGATGCTTTTCACATGCGCTCTCAAGCAAAAGCATCACCAACGCAACCGACCTGGTCCGAGCTTCTACCGTCTTCCTCGATCTACATGACCATCGTTCCTTCGCAATTCACAAGCCTCACACAAACCCAATCACAATGGAAGGAAACCGCGAACGACAAGCCGCAGAGCTAACTCTGCTCACAACAATGTATCCCTCCGAATTCTCCTGGCGCACATCTCCACCTCCCGACCTCGAAACATCGACAACCATAACCACCGACCCGAATTTCACCTTGACAATCCACCGTACCTGAACACCTTCGTCCTCTATACCGCCCAAAACACCCCTGGCTGATTTTCAACAATACNNAGCCAGTTACGCCCTCGAATTCTCTCTCCCAGACACGTACCCCGATACCCAAAAACCTCATGTGTATTTATCTTGTGGCGGTGACGTAGCCACCTCGACCCGCAAACGCGCGAGAGCAAAGCTGGCAGAGCTGGTGGACGAGCAAGAGACTGGCATGGAGATGCTCGACCTCATCGTGACTCTTTTTACAGAACACCTGCCGGAATTGACTGAATCCACGGCAAATGCGGATCATCAGCATGACAAGGAGGGCAATCACCAGCACCATACTTCAATAATCAAGCGAGTGGTAATATGGTCGCATCACCTGCTGGCCACCTCGAAGCGAAAAGATATCCAAGCTTGGTCCAAAGAGTTGTCTTTGAGCGGCTACAGTCGTCCAGGTCATCCTGGCAGTATCTTCGTTGAGGGCGATGAAGACCAGGTAGATGAGTTCATCCGTCGCTTGAAGCAACTGCGCTGGCAAGCTCTACAAGTCAGAGGCGAAGAGACTGCCGACAAGCGTATCTGCGGCCCTGGCGACGGTGTACTCGAGGTTGAAGGACTAGGCGACATTGCAGAAGCACTCAAGAAGATTGACGCCGACACTGCCGACCTATTCCTCCAAGCCATGAAGATTGCAAAGACAGACTAGCACGAGATGATAACGAATTGAATGTCTTGAAATGATAATTTCCGATACGAAAATGAGTACGAAATGGACAAGATGCAATGCTATGATTGTCTTGCCTCGATTGTGTGATGGGTAGAGAGAAAAGGAAAAGCAGAAGATCAAGGGTTCAAAGGCCATGCCTGTCTCTTCCTGCCCATTCCCCAAGAAAACAAAACCAGATACTCCATCATAAGATCCAAAACGCCGAAAGAACAAGCAGACAAAAGATCCAGGAGGTGGTCGTAACTCCATGTCAATGCCAGTATTATGCCGCCGAACCGGTTCCAGACCCCGTTGAACGCACAAATGAAAACAATTGGTATCGCTGTTTTGCTTTCATCCACAATTTCAGAAACACGAGGAAGCTTTGTAGCTTCCTATGATTTGCCCGTTTATCTGGGCATGATGCCGACTCTGCGAGTCTTGATCAAGAATGGTGAGGGCATCTCGTCACGTTCGGGNNGATCCCACAGAGGCTCTCTGTCGAGGGATGCCTTGGTCGAGACCTTGGGTACCTCGATGCTAGATGATGGACTGGGAATGCCTCTAGCTTGTGCCAGCTCCACCAGGGTGCGGCCTTGGATGCCTTGTTGCAAGTTGTTGCGGTGAACAGTCTTGATCATGTCTTCGCCCTTAGCGCCCTTCTTTGTGGCCAGCGCGGTCTTCGAAGGCTGGGATGGAATGGCAGGTGCTCTTCTGCTAGGGCTGATTGGCAGACCTTTGTTCATGGGAGAGCGGCTAGGCGATGCTGCAGCACGTCTAGTGCTGGGTGCCAGACTAGGCACTGACTTCAGGCGCGACTGAAGCTGTGTAGGCATGGTCTTTTGTCTCGAAACGGAAGGTCTCGAGGGTTGAGCAAGGACCTTGAAGGGATCGTTCTCTCTGCTGTTGGGTCTCGATCGGATGGGCGAACCACCGTCCGAGCCGAAAGATTCTTCATCTTCATTGTCCTCAGGGAACAGAGCAAGATTGCTTTCACGAGTAGCACGATCAAACATGTTGGGTCCCTTGAAAGCAGGTTGTCTCAACTTGCTTCCTTCAAGAGGTGCGTTCCTACGCGGTGACAAGGAAAGCGAAGCGATGCTCATGGGGCTGGGATCAACCATCTGAATATCCATGGGACTGGGGGCGACGTCGTTTGTGCCGGCAAAAGTCTTTGCGCGGGTGAAGGGAGTGCGGTTCGACGATCTCAGAGGCTTGTGTCTTTGTACAAGTGGCGAGTCCTCTAGAGTAAGAGCATTGAGACTGGGGCCTTCTTCATCGGCCTCTCCTATGGTGACGAGCGAAGATGGTTCTTCCAGTGATTGCGTAGGTGTTGAGGAGCGCTTTGGCGGCTCGATGGTGTCTGAGGCTGAGTTCATCGAGCTAGTACGTGATGATGGCAGCGAAGCAAGTCTTCTCTCTACTTCTTCCTCGACTTGCTGCTCGAAGAGCTGTCTGTAATGGTCCCGTAATCTTTCTCCTGCCACGTCCATCTGGCGGTTGATCTCGAGGTGAGCCTTTGTCTCCCACTCCAGTCTGAGCTGCTTGTCGATTTGGTCGTGCATGGACTGTTTCTCAGCTTCGAGTCGTGCAATCTTTTCTTGTGCCGACTTCAGGGCGGCAATTGCGTTCTCCTTTGCGGTAATGTGTTGTTGTAGGACCATGACACCTTCCTGTGTCTTTCGTACCAGCTTCACTCTGGGCAGGTTGAGGAGGCTGGCTGTGTCGGGTCTCGAGTTGGGGTTGACCTGGAGACATGCAGAGATGACGTCCGAGAGCTCCTTTGAGTATATGCGTGGTAGCGGAGCGACCTTGCCGAGCTTGATCTTTTGAATGAGTTCGAGATGGGTGCGGGCGTTGAATGGAGGCTCTCTCGTGCAGAGCTCGTAGACAATGCAGCCGAGTGACCAGATGTCCGAGTATAGAGAGTAGCGTTCGGCGGCGCAGATTTCGGGCGACATGTAGAAGGGAGTGCCGACGTAGGTAGAGGCGAAGTCGTGCGAAAGAATGATCTTGGAGAGACCGAAGTCACCGAGCTTGACTGCGTTTCCTTCTCCGAGGAAGANCTGCCAAATTTGTTAGCTTCTGTGCACGTGTGGCTGTCGAGAGAACAAAGATGTACCATTTTCAGGCTTCAGGTCTCGGTGGAGGATCATCTTGTGTGCCTGCTTGCTCTTGAGCGGGAGAGCGTTCTTGGTCAGGCCGAGAGCGTTGCTGTTGACGTCTGGTGGGTCTTCGCCGTAGTGGCAGCGATATAGAGCGCTGACGAGTTGTGCAAAGATGGTCCAGACAAACTCTTCGTCGGCGTACTCGTTGCGAGCCTTGAGATCCTTAATCATCATGCCCAGGTCACCGTTGCCGCAGTATTCCATGTAGAGATGCAGGTCGTGCGAAGCCTTCAAGTGCTCCTTCTCGTAGTAGGCGACAATGTTGGGATGGCGTAGACCTCGGAGGATGTCGAGCTCGGCCGAGAGCTGCTCGCGCTCCTTCTGTGACATGCGGGTGTAACATATTTCTTTGCGACAAAGAATCTGGTAGGCGTGTCAGCAGCGAGGTGGGCAAGAGGGGAGTGTGGCAGGACATACAAGGCCGTCGTTCTTTCTGCGGACCTTTCTGATGATGCCGAATGAACCTTGACNCTGGGGTGTGTCAGCAAGTCGCAGGAGGTTAAATCGAGGGCAGGACGACATACCGATCTTGGTCAGGACCTCGTACTTCTCGGCCTCGGTTTCGGCCATTGTGCTAGGTGTGTGACTGATGTTGTATAGAAATCAACAGAGGAGAAGAAGATGTAGCGACAGAGCGACGAATGAGGAATGACGGAGAAGACTAGGCGCTAACCATGGCCAGGGCACGGAGAAGTGGGAAGTGGGAAGCAATGTGCAATGTGCAATGTGGGAGAGCTGAGCACAGCGGGAAGGCGTGGGACAAAAGTGCGAGGCTCTGCAGTCGATGTTTGCAAAAGTCAACACTAACGTCCGCCGGGCAACGGATGCCGACCGGCTCGTGCATGTCGCGCTTGCTGCTGTCAGGGTCTTTCTGCCAGACGCCTGCGTCATTATAGTGGGTCTCCGCCACTCGTACATGCGCAAAGGTGATTGCATCGACCAAAAGAAAATACACATATTTCCAAGGCAGAGACGCCATGGTCTGTGGTCGAGTCCGAGTCCGAGTCGTGTGAGAAACCCCAAGTCGCCATGGTCGTCAAGAAGCATAAGCTCGAGGCCGCCCTGTATGCCGAAAAGCAGCAGATCAACAGCGGCCAGTTGAAAGAGGACAATCCGCTGGATACTAGCGATGCCTTTCGTATCTTTTGTGAAGCGTGCAGAAGGTAAAACACCTGTCGCCGCCGGTCAGCTGTTCGCGTACAAACTAACCCTAGTCCNAGGGGTGACTTGAAGGTGTGCCAGGAACAGATCTCGGCTGGTGTCAACATCAACGCAAGAGACCGCTACGATTACACGCCCTTGATCCTGGTAAGTCGTGATCCAAGTCGCTGCACAGGCCGCCGTCGACAACAACGACTAATCCACTTGATGGCCAGNGCCAGTTTATGCGGCCACTACGAGGTGTGCCAACATCTTCTCGAGTCTGGAGCCCTGTGTGAGCGTGACACCTTTCAAGGCGAACGCTGTCTGTACAATGCCTTGAACGACCGCATTCGCAATCTGCTACTGCAGTACGACTTTTCCAAGTCGACCGATCCTCTGCAGCCACTGGCTGCCCACACGACATCGTTGCTCTCGAGACCAGACCCAAAGACTGCCGACATCCTTGTCACCACCTACGACCGGGACTTTGCCTTGCACAAGTTCATTCTTGCTGCCCGCTCTCCATACTTCGCCGAGAAGCTCGCCCATCAGCCAGACACCACATCATGGAAGCTGCCGCCAAAGATTCCTTCTCAGTCCTTCAGTACCGTCGTTCGCTATCTATACCTGGGCGAAGCTTCAGCCGAGCTAAGCGAAGATGAGGAAGAGCAAAAGGCCATTCTTGCTGGTATCGACAAGCTGGGCAAACAACTCGAGCTTCCTACGCTGTTTGAGACAATCATAGATGGCGGCGACAGGCGCATGGCAAGGCAGCGTAGAACAGAAGAGATGGCTCGTGGCCGCGATCAATTCGCCACTTGGTTCCAGGCCAACGTCTTGCGACACAAGGTCCACACCGATACTGGGAAGGCCGATCAAGTCAAATGGGACAGAGACAATGCCATCTTCGCCGATGTGCTGCTCAGAGCCGATGAACCAGAAGAAGATACAGCGGACGAACCTCAACCGACACAAAAAGAGGTTCGTAATACCGAAGGGCCCCTGAATGGTATACCCATCGGAAACTTCTCATCAAGGCAGGCCTCGACAGAAGCTCCTTCGCGCAAACGCAAGTCTGTGCTCTTCCCTGTTCATCGAGCCATGTTGTTGCGATCCGAGTTTTTCAGCGCCATGTTTTCGTCAAGTTTCAGAGAAGCTCAAGAGTCACCACATTTGCATATAATCCCCATCGACTGCTCGCCTCAGGTTTTGGAGATTGTCTTGACCTATCTATACACCGAAAAGGCAGATTTCTCACTGGATGTGGCCGTTGATGTCCTCTTCGCTGCCGATCTCTTGTTCATCGAGAAGCTAAAACAGAGGGCTGCAGTCATCATATCCACTCTGGGTAACGGCGGTGCTTCCGTGGTCGAATCTGAAAACCCGCGAGGCGAAACAGCTGTTGAGGATGTGATAGATGTTTACGACATTATCCGTGCCGGCTGGGATACACGTGTCCACCGTCTTGAAGAATTCGGTGCTCGATATATTGCCTATCGTTTAGAGCGTTTTATCGATGACCCAGATTTTGCAGAGCTGGTCAGGGAGAGTGCTTCAAGAATACAAGGGCGTCAAGAGACAGATACCGTCGAGCTTATCGACGAGTGAGTTCACACCGTGCAACATGATACGACAAACACGATTACTGACTCCTCTTGTAGTATCCGCTACTATCTCTCTGATCGATTCCGCCTGAGAATGGAAGATTCAGGAATAGAGCAAATGACAGATGAGACAGAAACACTGGATCCTGCCGCATTGCATAGTAAGGATGTCTTTGAACCCAGCGACGTCATGTTCGCAGAGGACGAGGGTGTCGATATTCACTCGGGTACAACGCCGCCACAAGACTTGCACGATCACGACAACAATTTGATCATTCGCACGCTGGATGGAGAGATTGCTGGTGATGAATTTGCACAAGATGCTATCAACTACCAAATCCTTCTTGGCAAGATCGACAATCTTCTGGACAAACTTACATTGGATGCCTAGGGCGGTCCTGGTCACCTTAAAGGTGCAATATACAGTGTCGATAGATAAAATACAACATGTGTTGCAGTTAATCTGTTGACTTGCTCTTGTCAATAAACAAACCTTAGGCGCTCCATCACAAATAAACATTTGGGCTACATACAACGTAATGCGACATCCTGAATTGTCACATGTTTGTTCTTAGTGTACGGCTGCATCATAAAATCTTTTTCTTACGATATCGAACGGATGCGACTCGTGGTAATCAGATAATTATGACCTTGACCTTGCGATGTAAAGACAAAAGTTGGTCAGGGTTGCCCTACGTACAAGCTCACCGGATGTTTGCTTTGTTTGATCATGAACCTCAAGACGCGCCTCAGCGGGCTCTTTCTGTCTACAGGACATTCATCGAACATTATTAAGATACGACATGAAGTCGGCGCAGCTACTTACTACAAACGAAATGGGATGACTGGTTTCAATTCTCCACATGGATAGATGACGCGCCCGATCGATCTCGGCCATAGACCATAATCATGTCAACTTCTGGGCAGCACCACTTCTGTTTGCTGTGGATTCACGATGATAGCTTCTCTGAAGAGACCGTAATTTTCAACTCGGACCGTGTGGCTTTGGATGAAGGATCGCTGTGTAAACTTGCGGCCTTGAAGAACTCTATATCAACGCATGACTTCTCCATCAGCACGCCAGCCCTGACTGCCACAAGGCCCGAAAACACACCAGGCAAGACTTCTTTACGTCATGGCGGCAGGAAGTCCGTCAAGCATGCGTCGGACATGGAGAAGCATGCAGACTCCACGAGATCTCTGGTCTTTGTGGCTCGCGACATGACCCCCGAGCAGAAACGAAAACAGCCTAGGCTACAAATATCTGTCCACAGCAACGCAGCGGCTGCTTTTGGCTTCCGAAACAATATGCAGGCGATCGTCCTNCCCGGTAGGTATAAAACGCTGGTATATTGCTCCTGAGTTTGGCTGACTTATTTATAGGTGTTCGAAGATGTGCATTCTGCATCTCACGTAGAGATCGTGTTTCGCGACCAGTATCTGGCGCGTTCAGATATGTGGAGGCTAACAGTAGCAGTTCTGAGCGACAGATCTGTCTATAAAGGGCAGAAGCTACTCTTTATGGGCACCATCAAGGTTACCGTGAAGAACATCTTCGTAGACGGGCAGAAGGTAACCTCGGCTTTCTTTTCGTCAACAACCAAGCCCATATTCCGCAGCGAATCCGCCAAGTATGTCATCTTTGTACAGATGTCTCGCGAGATGTGGGACTTTGACGCGGAAGGGTCCGGCGAGATCATGTTCAACAAAGTCATCAATGGTTTCTTACCCGACCTGTTCAAGCGTTGGCAGAGACTCAATGTACATCACCTGGTCAGTATCGTCATGTTCACTCGACTGGAGTATGAACAGGGTGTGCTAGTTCGTCGAGATGAAGATGTGCACACACCACACAATAACAGACGCTCGCCTGGCAATAGCCGTGAACATCGAGATTACTACCGAGTGGTCACAACTGATGCAGCGAGCAGCCGATGGGTCGATATCCTTTACAAGCTCAAAAGAGAGTTCAAGGTCTTCCTAAAGGACGTATCTGTCGTAGGCGGTAATGATGCCTACGGTCCACCTCCGGAAACGCTAGCATCAGTCAAAGCCCGCACCGAAACCGAGTCTGTGATTGCTGGTCAACCCACGACGTCGGCACGAGGCAACATACTAGAAGCGATCAACCTTGCTGCATCACAATTCGCCAAGGACTATATTGATCGCGATCTTGTACACACCGGCATCTCCTTGTGTATTGTCACCCCAGGCACAGGCCTATTCGAAGTCGATTACAATATCCTCAAACTCACAACTGACGCTCTCGTTGCAAGTGGTATGGGTGTTGACCTTGTATCGTTGGCTAGAATGCCACTCCACTCTGTACCTTTGTTCAGATACAGGAGCCCTCACATACTTCCTGGCCTTCCAGTCGTGTCCGATATCTATACGTTTGAGGGAGGTAGTACTCCTCGACAGGCGGGCTACTTGGAAAGTCACATGGCCGGCACTCCTAGAAGTACAGGCAGATTTATGCGAAGAGCCAGTAGCCATAACAAAGAACAAGTCCCAGGTACCTTGATGGAATCTGGGGTCCAATGGAGCTACGCCTTACCACACTGGATCGATGTATCGTTCTGGACGGGGCACTCTGACGAGGAGCATCTTCGAACGCAGTACGGGTTGAACTACAAGAAAAAGAAAGGATCNAAAAGAAATGACCCGTTCACCACAAGTTGTCGAATGTACGAACTGCAGATGATGGGTCTTATGGAGACCGAGATGAGCGATATTGCGATCCCGTTGATGCTACCTGGGTATGCGAATACCGAAAGGCCTCGCCAAGGTCGACTTCATCTTGAGCCTGCACCAACTGAGGAGCTTTCCGGAAGCTATGGCTCAACGCGATCATTCCATGGATACATCAGCGGCTCGCCACAACACCACGATAATGAGACCCACATGAAGATGGACATGCCTACTCGCAAAGAGTTAATTGACTGGATGGCTACTTACGACAAGCAAGTACCCTTTAGAACGCAGGACTCTCCTCCGGTTAAGACAATCTTGGACCAGACTCCCATCGAGTCATCTCGAGGCAGTCTAGACACCACCGTGAGATTCAGTTCTTCCCCCACAAGACCAAGAGGCAGCTTTGCATCAGATCATTTCAAGCCTGGCGAGAGTCCACGAAACGCTGGTTACCTTGTCAACAGGTCCCCACCCAAACGTGCTATTCTACCAGCCAAGACTGACCAGCCGAAACAATCGTCAATACGCACTACCCAAACGACACCTAGAAGAGCTCCAATGCCACGCCAGATCAGTTTGGTAGGCGGCTTGGGGACAGCGAAATCTGCTGCCAGCATAAGCGTGAGCAACGCAAGTGCTGGACTCAGTACTCCAACGACGGAGTCACCTCCGGCGCGTCCTGCTCCCAAAGCTGGTGGAGGTGGTCTGCTCTCCAGTTTGACACAACAGCTCTTTGGGACGTTGCAACGAAAGCCTTCGCAAGCTAGTATCGCAAGAACCGACATCAGCGACTTTAGTGATCGAGCCGACTCGGATAGAGCGAGTACGGCCCAACGTAGTAATCCGATTGCTATCAGATCCAACTCCGTGGTGTCGGAGAATAGAGAAGATGATGAAGAGTCGACGAAGGCAGACACCAATCGTAAACCGGCGGCAAAGATGCTTGAGGACATCGTAGTTCGTGACGTCTCGAAGGTGGGACGTCAAACCGCCAGCATGTCCGATTCCGTACCCGATACTGTTGCGGACAAAGCCGACTATCATCGAGTTTTGTCACCACTAACTGCTATCTCACCGTGGCTCACGATGCTTAATCCCTCAAACCCGAAGAAGCACAACATGAGCATAGCAAGCCAATTCCGTCGCTGGCAGCACATTTTCCCGAAGCCAGTACCTACTTCAGTGATGAAGTGGAAGTCCTTGTGCTCACCAGCTTCTTTGCCATTGACTGCCGAGTACTTTCCCACGGCAGAACAGCTGCGCAACGAGTACTCAGAGTCACCTTATAAGATATTGCCTCTGGACGACGACGAGTCTTCAGAAGCACCCAAGACTAGAGAAGCCTTGATCAGGGAGCTCATAGCATGCAGACTATCGCATGGCTTCCAGATAGTTGTTGGTCCGGCAGCCACAGAGTTCGCGGGTACTAAAGCAGCTTCTTTGGTCAAAGTGTTTGACAAGAACTACATGGCAGAAGATGGCGCTACAGTACTGATGACTGTGGGGAATAACATTCACCTACTTGTCTGTACCGAGAGTGGTGAGATCGAGGTACGGAGGTACAACAGAAAGCCAGTGGCAGAAGTCGAGTATACCGGCGCTGTAGATCCAACAGTGGCATATCATCCATACATCCGTACTTATCTCGGCAAAGGATACGAGATGCGACCCGTCATCTTTAAGAACCCGCGACCAACATACAATTGGAATGCGATCGACCATCATCTCGCAGGATACAAGCAAGAGCACAGTTCGCAAGACTTGCGCTTCTGGAGGGCTCGGTTCGTTCTTATTCCCGTTGATCACAAGATCAGAAGCGGGCAACTGGGCTTCGTCTCTGAGAACTCAGAGGAAGAAATTCGCTTAGAGGGCATACAGAAGCTTACGCAGATATGGCAGCGACACCGCTATATTCCGCCGGAAGAACGCCGTTTCCAGCAGTCCCTGCAGCAGAGGCGTAAAGACCCCAATCCGTTGGCCATCGAGTACCACACTCATGACCCTTCCATGATTGTGCGAAACCATGCAACACTGCTAGCCGAAGCACTGTCTCAAGATGAGCCAGGCCACGCACTCTTTGCGGAATCCGAGCTCTACCACACCAACGACTTTGACATGCAAAAGCTCGCACAACATTTGCAAGCAGATCCTCCAAAAGGCATACCGGTGGCTGACCGCAAGTGGCACTTCAAAACACACTGGAAATGCTTCCGAGGCGACCATCTTACTAGCTTCCTCCTCGTGAACTTCAAGGACATTNNGGAAACAAGAGAGGATGCAGTTAAGCTCGGAAATGCCCTTATGAAGAAAGGTCTGTTCATTCATGCTGTGCAAAAGCACCAGTTCAGAGATGGCAACTACTTTTATCAGATTGCACCTGAATATCGAACCACACCATACCCAGAAAACAAGTCGGGATGGTTCGGCATGGCAGGTCGATCGATCCCTCCGACACCCATGCATGAAGGACCTAAAGCATCGCCCAAGTTCTTACCTGTGGACAAAATACGATCACCGCGGATCGGCCCTGCAGACAAAGCGCGGTCGCCATTGATCGGACCATCTGAGAATTCTCGTCCTCGCTCCGACACAGACGAGAGCAAAGACTCGGGTAAGAGAGCGCCCAAGTTAGACTCGTGCAAAAGGCCAGAACTCGAGCTCAGTCGTAGCTTGCGATATGATGTGGATCATCGTAAGAAATCGTACCGCCCTGAGATTATCACTTTGCATTACGATCGCATTCACAACCCTGACAACTGCTACCATATTCGTCTTGAATGGATCAATGTCACCGCCAAGCTCATCGAGGATGCTCTAGTGTCTTGGGCGACTAGCGTGGAGAGGTATGGGTTGAAACTGGTTGAATTGCCTATCGCAGAGGGCCACGCCATCTTCAAAGTGCATCCATTCAGACGACCCTACATGATCAAGCTGGCCCTGCAACCTCCCAAAGGAACACCTAAGCAGTACCTAGAAGCAGGAACCACGGCCTACGAAGAAACATACCCCTACCAAAGAGCTTTGGTCCGGAAATTCGATTTCGTGCTCGACTACGAAGCAGCCAGCACCTTCGACCCAGGCGTCGACGTCAGCTACTCGTGGGGCAAACCAGAATACCAATACACGCAATTCATCCACAAGTCCGGCGGTCTACTCCTCCAAATCGACGGCGATGGCAACTTGATGCTCACCGCAAACAGACTCTGCGTCAATCGCTCTTCGGCCGGTCGCGAAGCCTCCAGATACGAAGTCGCACGCCGCGAAAAGCGAAACTTTTCCACGCCGGCACCTCCGGCACATGCTTCGCCTTTCCTCAGCGCCTTCAAGCAAACACCCGAACCCCAAAGCGTGCTCTCCAAAAACTCCTTTACCGAAGCCTCTGTGGAACCAGAAGTCGTGGCCCAAAAACTCGAAACCTTTTGCAGTGATGCAGAGAAATTGCGTGTCTTCTATGAAGACGCGTTGAGGCCTAGTGTCAGTCCTAGCCCACACTTGACTCCTAGGCAAACACCTAGACAGACGCCTGTGTTGGGTGCCACGAGTGCGATTCCGCATCTGGGGTTGCCGCCGAGTATTAGTCTTAGGAATGCTAGTTATGTGGAGGCGAGTCCGCGGATTGGGTTGAGTGCGAGTAGGAGGTCGAGTGTGCAGGGATTCAAGTCNTTTTTGTCCGAGTCGGGAAGTCATCGTGATTTGAATTGAGGGATGTGTGGTGGACTCTTGAGGTACATGGCCCAGCAGGGGACGAATGTCGATGTTGCTAGATAATCTTACTCGTGTATACAAAAGTGTGACTATCATTGTTTATGGCCGACCAGTGCGACACGGGAGGCAATAATTTGAAGTAGGTTGTAACATGTGAAAGGTTGGCATTTAGTCTGATACACACCCACAGAATACATGCATTCACCCTTTCTAATCCTGCACATCTTCACATGTCAGGGATACAAAGTACTCACGTATTTCTTGCAGTCTACCTGCTACATCCAGTCGGAGATGCGGAGTGTGATCTTCTAAGTGACCGCCGTCCTCTCGTTTCGGCTCCAGGAGTTCGGTCAAGCAATATACAGCCCGGCTCGGCAACACCATAGTCGAGCCGTCCCTACCGATCCTGAATACTTTGTATTGGAGGAAGCGATCCGGGGTGGAATTGTCAGCATCATGTTGAGTCAAACTCGCCCCTAAGAACCCTGTACTGCAGAGTGCGATGCAGAATGAGACTGTCAGCATCACGTTGAGCAAGGCTTTGTATGCGAATCATGCAGTTTTGATGAGCGTACATGCGATGAAGCTGTGAATTTGACCGGTTGCAAGAGACACTGCAATATGTCAGATAAGGTAGTGCTTCGCTTTGGTGCATCGCAAAGGATGCCTGGTCGTAGGCAACAAGCCACTGTGACACTGCGTCTGACAGTTGAAACCACAAGGGAGTAAAACGCCTGTTTTGCAGTGACCTTGATCCATGTTCTGGCAATATAAGATCTGAAAGTCAAGGCAGTTGACGAGATTAGCTGGAAGGCAGATCAAACCGGCAGTCCGCATCGAGGCTGGTCGTGCAAACGAATCGTCTCCCCAGGAGCGGGTAAATATCTGGAAAAGCAGGGCGCGAAAGCAGCAAGATGAGCAGGTGACCCTTTGCTTGCAACGTGGCCGAGGAGATATGGATATAGTCGCATATATATTCTCCAGTATGGGCGCGTGGAAAGCGAATCAACCATGGAGACAGGAGAGATGTAGTAATCTCTAATCTCACTCGTGGGCAGCTGTGCTGTGCTACGGTTGGCTGTGTTGGTTTCGTTTGCGGCCATGCGAGAGGGATGGATGAGTGCCCGTCACACGGCATGTCGAGATGATATGCCCTGCATTCTTGCGGTCTGGAGATACTGATGCCTACCCTTTTTACTGGCGCCTTTTGAGTTTTGATGTGACGGTGGTTTATGTCTAGTTTTGATCAGGAGAAGATAAGAGACGAAGTCCTTGCGCATCCTGTCATGTTTCGTTTTGAGAGATGCCAGTCGCGAGCTTCCTTCCATGCATGCTTCCTCTGTTCCGCGAAACCTTCTGAGCGTCCTACGTCATAGTATTCCGCGCCTTCCCCAGACTCAGCGACATCGGCAAAAGGACAAGATCGGATCGTTGGAATTCGAACAAAGATCGGCCTGAAATCCACCAAGACGGTCAAACACTGGCCGCTAGATTGACCATCCTAACTGGCAAAGTTCGGGTTCAAGGAGCTGTTCGAGGCTGGCTGCATCTACTCAGCTGTTCAACGACAGGTAGCTGCAGGGTGAAGAGCAAAGAGAAGAGGTTCAAAGGAAAGACGGCACACCGCAATCCTGCATCAAACGACATCCCTGTCAAGCCTGTCAAGCCACGCCCGAGGAGCTGGGACGCTGCGCGCAGGAGGAGAGTGGGAGGAAAAGAAATGAACACCTGGTGCTGCAACGCGACGCGATCTCCTTTTTGCACATGCCTCTCCACATATCGACAGGATCTGCTCACATCGCTGCATTGGATAAAGTCAATTCAAGCCTGGTCCCATCTCCTGACAAAGCTCTTATCTTGCCAGTCTGTGGTTTCTTGTGTCTCCGTTCGACCCCGTCTTCTATTATAACCTTAACGGCCGCCGCCAACGCCAACAAATTTCGTGGGGTATACCAGTCTTCTCTGGGCTTTGCTTTCCCCAACAACCATCACGCGACACCAACCTCGCTGTCGCCTAGCATGTGCTGCTACGCCCGCCGGTTCCAGTCAACAATCAGATTTTGGTTGGATACTCAGATGTCCGTCTTCAATTGAAGCCTAGCACGCCGTCGATCGAACAATCGTCGTCCCAAACAAGATGCACCGCTTCTCGCGCTCTCGTGGAGAATCAGCAGAGCCCGAGCGCAACGAAGCACCTGTGCCCTCGACACGTAGTCTGTCACTCCTCTTTCCACCTAGGGAGTCCCACGACCGAGCCAACAAGAACACCAAGACTTCTCCGACCACGCCAATCGAGCCTTTGTACGACCAAAACACGACCGTTACTTTCCCGCTCTCGCCGGACGACGAGCCTAGAATCATCATTGCTCAAGATGACACGGGTGTCTCGATCGACCGCCTTCTTTTCGACTCACACTGGTCACGCAAGAGCAACAGAGACAAGTCCGACGACTTGAACAGCCCTTCAAAGAGTTTTTCTGCTAGGCCGTCTTCGTCCGCCGGCCATCAGTCTCCGACCAGCAGTGGCTTCCTGCGAGCTCAGCACTCTCGTGGACACAGATCCACCATTTCTGTTGTGCCAGAACGCAATGGCTCTCCTCCCACGCGTCCGTCCATGCCCCGACTCGACTCGACTTTCGTTCCTTCTACACAATTGCGCCGTACGCCTACACCAGCCTCGCTAGCCGACACTCGCAAAGACATCAACACTCCCATAGAAAACACCGCCGAAGAGATGGACTCATGGCTGGATTGCATGTTCGGCAAGGCCCCAATGAGATACAAGGGTCCTGTTACAAAAATCCATCATCTCCAACGTCAGCCGCCGGACGACAGGCAAGACCTTCGCCCAAGATCGTCACCGCGTGCCGGCTTTGGATCGTACTCTGCAAAAGAAAGCTCCCCTCTCAAGCCCAGCTCTCACGCTTCGAATAAGCGAAGAAAGGATGCTTTGCTCATGTGCACAACCTTTGCCGTAAACATACATGACGAAGATCTTCCTGAGCAGTTACAACATGCGACGTCTGTTCATGGATCACGCCACTCTTGTACGCTCAAGAAACGTTTCAGCACTCCCATCTTTGGCGTAGCCATTCTCGTACCTCTGGCCAAAAGCAGTCCATCCCTCGATCCTGCTTCACAGAACAACATCTCGGAACATACTGATCCTGTACAAACCATCCTTGACGACTGGCATATATACGCTCGAGCTTTGGACGCTCTCAGAACCACTGCCTTGGTGCAGATTCAGCAACGACTTCGCTCAAAAGCCGAGGCACTTGCACGTTCCAAGGCTGCTGTTTCACCCACAGTCCCTCGCCTAGTCAAATTGGAACCGAGCGCATTCGAGCATACTCCACGGGTCCTTGAGATGTCCTCTGCAGTTGTAGATCGCATATCGCGCAGGTACCAGATCCTACATGCTGGACCACAACGAGACTGGAGCATCTGGCGAGATGAGTTGCGAGACTACACACGCGTCTCACAAGATGCTGATTCCAAGCGAGGATTCTTCAACTTACACAAAATCAACTTCATGCAAGCCGCCTTGACGGCAGCCTTGAGTGTGGATCTTGGCTGGCTCAATATCTTTGCTCCTCCTCAACATCAAGCTCGTCTACGTGAAGAACGCCAGAAGACCCAATCAACCTTCGATATGGCCCAGAATCGTACTGTGATTGTGAGCATGGATCAAAACAAGGCTCGAAATCTTGTCTTCATCTTCGCAAAGCTATTCCCTTGTCCAGCATCGGAGACCCAGTTCGAGAGTTTCAGGCGCTCCTCTTCGAGCAGTCAGACTTCTCCTAACAGACAAGTTTCTGCACTCACACAGGGCTTGAAAAATGTCGAGCATGCTCCAAACCAAAGTCTGGCAATTGATAGTGCCAAAGCGCAGACAAACGGGTATAATGCAAACGAGGCGCCTTGCACCCCGACCATCTTCGAACCGAAGTTACATGCCTCTCCTAGCACCTCGCCAGCCAAATCACTGGCTATCAACAACTCGGCATCATCCACACGGCAGTCTAGCATTGTCAATACCTCGGGAAAGATCGATATATTGGGCAAGGCGACTGTGGCCGTACCAATCAGCGCGCCAACATCAAGCCGCAATACACCCTCGGGCTCTCCAGAGACCCGCCCCAGTAATAGTCTGAACGCTCAGGGCAATCTAATGCGACATCTCCAACGCGAAGGCAGCACGACCACAAGCAACGCCAGCACCGATAACACGAGTTTATGGAACAGTTTGCGAAGCAGCACTTGGAGTCTCCGGCCTCGTCGTGAATCTTCGCTGACCGAAAGAAGCGATAGCTTTGCCAGCAGCGGGCCGCGTGAGCAACCTGCAAGTATTCTCAAGACTAGCAAAAGCTTTGCGGCTCGCCAAAGTTCCAATAAGCTAGTGCGTATGGTCGAAGAAGTCCATGGCATAGAAGAGTCTGTTGAGACCAACAGTCAACATGCATCAAGAAGAAAGAAGAACTCGTCACGTGTATCGCCAATCACCATGGCTCACAAGACCTCTGCTCTGCAATTCGATCCGCCAGCCTCTGACTATGCTGATATTGCATATACTTACAACCAGGATGAGGGCATTGTTGATGTTGACTTCCCAGGATGTACACCTGCTGTCAGTGTCACCCGCAGTCTTTCACCCAAAGTGTCTAGATTCAAAGTACCAAGCGGCAGGGGCTGCTTTCCTCTTCACAAAGTTGCCATGCATGAAAACAGCGAGCAGAAGACAAGCCAAGACGCTCGAGGCTTTGCACGCTACGACAGGATCGCTGGATATCTCGGAAACTTCCATGCAGACTTTGCTTTGCAAGCTACCAGACCCTACGCAGAGCTTGTCAACGAGATCAAATGCGCAATGCGGACTGAGCTGTCGCCAATGGTAGAACCATCAGAAAACCTCAGAGTTTTTAGCCAAGAAACATGGATCGACGTCTGCTCGACTGTTGTCATGGATGCTGAGGCTATGACGGTCAGGAAATTGACTCTCCGTCGACGTGTGCGGTACAAGCTAATTGTGCCTGACGATTCACCAAACCTGCCGAGACACGTCGCTACTGCAAATGGACGAAAGCAGTCGATGTGCTCATCAAATGGCAGTGGATCGGATCAGGATAGTAAGATCAAAGTCATCAAGTCTGACGACATGGACTCGATCAAACGCACATACAAGCGCAATGACAATGGCGAGAAGACCGGCTTCCGCGACAAGAGAATTCTCAAGACTGACCTTCCCAATGGGGGCTCGGCAGAGGGCGAGCTTAACAATCATGTTGCGGGCCGCCACTCGATCGATGCGCTCGGAAACGTTCTTCCCAAGACAGTTGATATTTTGGAGACATGTTCGTCCAGTACTCAGTCTTCGCGCACCAATGGGGGTCGAGTGGACTCACCCATGATGATTAAGGATCAGTCTGCGCTTCTCGACCACCGACCCAGTACCGTTACTGTCGTTGGTGAAGATCTGTCGGAATTTATTGATCATCGCAAGGTCAATAGCTTGCCTGCGAAAGAGGCATCTGCAATGGTGACCGCAACGAAAAGGGTGCCCATTCACAACAAAGAGGGTAAGATTAGTGGCTGGAAAGAAGTGTGCACCAACAAACCTGACGAACCTGGCGTGAACGACTTGCCGACCAGTTTCGTCGAGAAGCGACGCGACAAAGTAGCAGCAGTGGTAGAATGTCAGACTCTGGCCGAGAAGTTTGACGAAGAAACCATCAGTAAGCCTGACTCTGCAGTGGTCACTCTCTTGCAACAAATGCTTGCCACTAGCGAGACGCGCTCACGCGTGCACTCCCGGACCAATTCTGTACACAGTCGTGCTCCCAGTCGCTCCAACTCCATCAGTGGATCCGGTCTTACCGAGCTCCAGTATGAGAGCAAAAAGATCATCGAGGATGCGCTCGAAGGTCTTGTCAGTGCCGTGGCTTCTGATAAGTATACTTCGAGCAACGCGTCTTCTGGCGGGTTGTTCAGCTTCGCAAGGAGTGCAGTGTCCACACCCGAACCTTCGGTCCTTCGACAAAGCATCTCTAAGTGGATGTATGGAGATGCCTGAGGTACATATTATTGCTTCCCGTTCTATACCGACTGATCTCATGTTTTGATGTTCGATGCTGTATTTGTTTGTCATGCTGGACATGGCCATCTTTGTCTTCTTTGCGGATCCAGTTACATGCATCATATAGATCTTTGTCTCTGTCATCGGTAGCGATTCGTTCAGCTTGCTTCTGCACGCAGCTTAATCGGCTCGTATGTATTCAATGTTTCCACCATTTGACTTTCTGTACAGTACCATCAGACTATACTTGTCATACGAGAACGATGTGCAGCTTAGTACTTGCCGTGTATCAGCACCTGGAAGCTGCAGTCACATGTTCGTTACCTGCTTCTACGACGTTCGCTGTACCTTCCAGATCCGGTCACGGAAACAGTTTTCCGCAGAGGGCTGCATTGGGCGGCTCCGAACTACACACTCAGTACTATGACTCAACGACTTCTTACTTTGCTGAACGGAAATCACGAGTGGCACCACGTATAGATAATTTTACGAGTAATACGTCCTCGGAAGATGGTCTCCAGAATTCAACATTCTTTTGCTTGCTGGGTTCAGGACAACGACGGCTGGAACTAGTGACTTTGTATCGAGTATCCACCAAGGTCGTAGTTGCCCTCGCGAACAGATTTGTAAGCTCTTTTGTTGCTTCTTCTCTCTTCATGTGATAGATGCCAGAAATTGAAAAGGTCTGTAAGCCCTCTCTGTTCTTGAGGCGTCTTGTCCTTGATCAACTACCATCATGTCGGCATACACCTTCGGAGCTGCGTTGGAGCTTACCAGCTCCCCAAATCTGACATCCCCGCCTGCTGTGAAGAAGAAAGAGCCAACAGGACCTCAATCAGCCATCGAACTCCAAGATTACATCCAGCAAGGGCAGGTTCGGCACTCGCAGCATTCGAATGGCAGCACAGCCGCTGCCGCTGCACATGCGTCTGAGAAAGGACCAACAACAACGACAACAAAGACACCCAATGAGCTTGAGATGAGTCGACCGCCATCGCCGAGTCAAGCCACTGAGATGGTGCCGAGTTGGGGATTCCCCTCTATGAACAAATATCGCGTTCTAGCGGCTTGTGCAGTCTACTTTTCTAATGGCCTGAACGATGCTTGTAAGTCTCATGTGTCAAGACCATCTCGAGGCAATTGAATGTTCCGTACTGACACAAAGATTAGCNNTGCCGGTGCTTTGATTCCATACATGGAGAAACAGTACGATATTGGCTATGCTATCGTTTCGTTGATCTTCATTACGAACGCCATTGGCTTCATCACTGCTGCATTCTTTACCGATTTCACGTTGGAGAAATTGGGGAGAGCAAGAGCATGCATGTTGTCTGAGGCCATGCTCATAGTTGGCTACGTGATCATTGCTTGCACGCCTCCCTTTCCAGTGGTTGTCATTGCGTAAGTCATACTATCACAGCCCACTACCAGCAAAACACAAGATACTGACTGCTTTCGAGCNTTCCTTCTTCTAGGATTAGGTCTAGCTCTGAATCTTGCATTGAACAACGTTTTCTGCGCCAATCTCGCAAACTCAACCGTGATCCTCGGCGCTTCACATGGCAGCTATGGTCTTGGAGGTGTAGTTGGTCCCATCATGGCTACAGCACTGGTCTCTAGAGGCGTCCTCTGGAGTCGTTTCTATCTTATCACACTCGGTCTTCGTGTTGTCTGCTTCTTTTTCACCGGCTGGGCATTCCACAACTACGAGCAAGAACCTTCCGCCCTTAAGATGGGCAACCGTATCCCGCGCCGCGATGGCGAAATCCAACCAACCAAGCTGCAAATGATGAAGCGAGCCCTCAACAGCAAAGTCACCGTATTTGCCGCCCTCTTCATCTTCTCCTACCAAGGCTCTGAGGTCAGCACTTCCGGTTGGGTCATCTCTTTTCTCATCGAAGCTCGCGGTGGTGACCCGGCAAAGGTCGGTTATGTCACTGCAGGCTTCTGGGGCGGCATCACGCTAGGCAGATTCGTACTTTCTCATCTGGCGCCTAGGATTGGCGAGAAACGCTTCGTCTACATCCTTACTGTGCTGTCCATCGCGTTCCAGCTCTTGGTCTGGCTCATCCCTAACATTGTGGGCGAGGCTGTTGCTGTGTCGCTGTTGGGCTTGCTGCTGGGTCCCGTGTACCCTTGTGCCACGACCATTTTTACCAGGCGGATGGACAGAGATGTTCAAATGACGGCCTTGAGTTTCGTGTCCAGTGCTGGAAGTAGTGGTGGTGCTGTTGCGCCATTCCTGACTGGCTTGTTGGCACAGGCTGTGGGTACTTTTGTCTTGCACCCGATTTGCATTGGCTTGTTTGTTGTTATGGTGGGATGTTGGTATGCAATCCCCGACAACGTCAAGAGGACGGAGTGATGGATATCAAACGATGCAGCGGTAGATCAGCATTGTCTTTTTCGATGTACCTGCTTTACTCAGCATTATTTCCATGAGATCAGGAGTTTCTGTTGCTCGATCATCACTTCCTTCTGAACTGTGTCTATCGCTCCTTCCCTTTTCGCTCAACGGTTGCTTTCTCTTGAGCCTTGAATATCGCGCTTGCTTACCTTGTTCAATCACGAGTTCCTGTTGTACTTGATCCGTAGAAGCAGATTTGGTATGCTGTGGTGCATTTTACAATAGTTGTGGGTGTAAGCGCTCTTATTCGAGCATTGTATCATGTCTAGTCAAAGTCATCATATCGTCCTTCAGATCAACAATATCTTATCCGTGATAACTTCTCCGATTCATTAAGTTCGTGATATGCATATACGTTTCATGTGCCTCGTCAAACACCAGGCTTCTTCACCCTAGGCTTGGGCGTCCAGCTCTTCGATGTACNCCCGAACAGTCCACCACTCCTCCCGGGCGTGCCACCAATCCTCTGTGCCAATGCCTTAGCCGCCGGCGTCATATTCCCGACCCCCGGCGTCCTGGTCCCGACAGCAGGACTCGTGGCGAATTTCGGCGTCGGTGTCCTTCCTTGTCCTTTCTCTCCTCTCAAGAAGTCCAGTCTTCCGCCTCCTCCCGGTTTGCGTCTCGCGGCATTCGACTTTTCAACCAAACGATTATGTATTTCTTCTCTTTTGCTTGCAGCTTGAAGTTTGAAGGGATTGTTGTCAGCGTCCGGGTCGTAGGAGGGCAGGAGTGCTAGTGCAGAAGCTCGTTCCTCGGCCTCGACTTCAGCTTCGGAGACGGGTTGGCCGGGGTACTCGTGAGGTAAGGGTGTAGCGTCTACGAAAGCGTAGCCATTTACACGTGGGGTCTCAGCGCCGCTGTAGGCGGTTGTTGAAGTATCGGAATGGCGAGGTCGACCGGCTATTGCTGCGTCGATGGCCGAGATGGAGGGAGAGGCAGGTATTGATGAGTCGGTTTCCAGCGAGGAGGTGGTGGGCAGGCGGGTCGAGGCGTACGAGATTGCTTTCGGCGGTGCGACGGAGGCGTTTTGGGCCGCTTGAGCAACGGTTTCGTGCGTGTCTTCAACACCCTCGGGGTCGAACATGAAAGTGTTGCGAGGACCCTGACGATTCGGAAACGAGTCGTAGCTTGCGCGACGCTCGTCAAGGTCTTGAGAAGGTCGTTTGACAAGCGCCGTCGAGGAAGTGGCGGCATTTTGAGTGAGCAGTCTCTGCTGGGCGATCTGTTGTTTGGAGGGTAGTTTGTTTCCATTGTACATAAAGGCATATTTTTCTGCTCTTTTCTGGTTTTGACGATCAAGCAGGGCGTTAAAGGACTCGTTGTCTTCGGATGTGTATTTGGTCTGGAATGCGCCCAAGGATAACGAGGTATCAACCGCTGGCCTTGCCGTCTCAGAGGATGCTATTGAAGGAGCAACACTCGGTGTCCTTGAGGGAGTGGCGCCCTGCCATCCGCGCGGTGTTTGGCTGGCACTTGTCGCTAAGCTGGTGCCTCTTCTAGCTCTTGGACCGGGTGTCATGGCTTGGTGCAGTTTGCGGCCAGCATCTCGGATCCAGTCGTTGTTGTTCGAGTCTAGCGCTTGCATGTATTCTTGCTGTGCCTCCGACTCCAGAAGTCCCGGGAAGAAGTCGCGGGCGATGATGTGTGATAGGGCGTCGGTATAGACATCTTCGTCGACCACCTGAGATGGCCTCTTGATTCGCTTTGGAGGCGGCGGAGGCGGCATGAGTGATGTGTCGGCATTGCGCTTCGTGAGCGCCTGTGACGGTGGCGATGCCATGATCTGAACACTAAAGGAAGGAAAGAAGAAACAACAGAGGAAGGGAACAAGACGAAACCTCGCCGTCCTATCAGCCTAAACCGTAATTCGATGGATTAGATCGTCTTTATCTCTTGGCAACGGTCAGCATCATGCTTCTCTACTGGAAGCTCGCGACTAACTGGAGAGTCAATCTCCACATGTTTCGGTGCTACTACAGGCATCGATGAGTTCCACACTCGAAGGAGATGTCCAACTTGATCTAATTTCTAATAGCATCTGAAGTCTAATCCGTCTCTATCGTCAGTCTAAATTGTAAGCAATGATTTCGACCAGATATCTCATCAAGCTTTCAAAGACGTGAGCTTGACATCAAGACCATCCTTGATCCTCGAAACGATTCCAGGAGTTTTCTCGACCTTCATGTTCTCATCCACTAGAACACTGTCATAAGCCAAAACCCAGGCAGCCAAAAGACAAGCAAACTCGCCCTTTGCAAAGCTCGCACCAATACAACCGCGAGGACCATGTGAGAAAGTCATGTTTGCGTAATTGCTCTCAGCGCCTCCTGAAGTGTTCGCTCTGCCACTTTCATCAAGCCATCTTTCCGGATTGAATTCATCACAGTCGTCGCCCCAGAGCGTTGACAAATGATTGGTTCCGACAGAAGAAGTCAGCACCATTGTGCCTTTGGGGACAAACTGACTGCAGATTGTGGTGTCTCGTTGAGCAACACGGAATGTCGCCGGGACGGGCGTGTAGACTCTGAGTACTTCGTTCATGACGGCTTGCAGGTATGCGATTTGGTCTATCTGCTCTGCGAAGATTTGGCTCTCGGTGTCTCTGATGTTGGGGAGTTTTGCAGCCCGCAATTCTTCGCGTAGCTTGTTGTGGACGTTGGGATGTTTGCAGAGTGCTAGCATGGCCCATGTCATAGCAGTCGCAGTGGTCTCGTGGCCGGCTGCGAGGAAAGTCATCAGCTGGTCAATGATCCCTTGGTCGCTGAACCCTCCACTCTTCAAAGCGATACCGAGGATATCAATGTCGTCGACAATCTCCCTTGACCCTTCTTTGTCAGCAGCAGCCGAATTTGCTCTCTTTTGGCCGATCAGATCTAAGCACATTTTCTGTAGCATACTTTGTGCCTTGACGATTTGGTAGTTGCGAGGGAAAGGCAGCTTCCTGACCAACCAGAATGGGAAGAAAGTATTGAGAACTCCGAGAATACGTGCTTGACGATCCTGAGCGAAGATGGTTTGGTAGCTCTGGTACAGTTCGTTGGTCTCGTCCTCGATGGCATTGAAAGACTGGCCAATGCCAGCAAGACCGATGATATCCAAGGTGGCTCTCGAGGTCCAATGGTCCACGCTTACAATGTTGGGAGGAACCGATCCCTCGCTCTTCTTCTTCTTCTCGGATAGCTCCCTGTCAATGGCCGAGATCATATCTCGGGCCTTGTTCCAGAACAGTGGGTAAAGATTCTTGATGTGGCGATATTGGAAAGCCGGGAGAAGGTTTTTGCGCTGATGTTTATGCTCTTCATTCTCCACCAAAAGGATACCACTAGCACCCAAGATACGAGCAAGACTGCCAACAATGATCGGTGGCTTTATCAAATCATAACTTTTCGTGGTCAAGGCATCTGAGAGTGCTTTGGGGCTCGTTAGAACAAGCCACTCGGTATTGAACAAAGTCCTGTAGTATATGAGGCCATCATTGGGAATCTCTCGCATCCATTGACTTTGAGGGCTTCCAATGGATTCAGTCAAGATGCGGTACATTTGACCGAAAAGAAGGGAGTTCTGCTTGGGCTGTGGCAGGTGGCGGAGAGGACTGAAGTAGAAGGGATAGATGATGCTCAGCCATATGAACCTTGGTATGAATATCGCCAGGAATGCAACTATTGCGGTCTGCCATTTCGAAGCTTGGTACAGATGTCCTGGAGTCAGAATTTCGAGGGCATATGGTAGAGCCGCTGCCACAAAGAAGATTGCACGTTTCGAGACTGACGATGCCATGATGGTGCCAGGCTTCGGCGTTGAGGACGAGGAAACGTGTCTTCAAATGTCTTGTCGGAGGAGAAGCAAGGTTGGAGGCACGACAGATAGCGGAAACATTTATATATTGCACCCCTTCTAGGCCGCTCTTGGCGAACTTTCCTTACCGCGAGAATGAGCATCGCGCCTGATCTTCTGAGGCGCGCACTAATTACCCGCGCCGTCAGAGGGACCACTCGAGTCAGCACTCTGTCGAACATACAAGAGTCAGATCTTACGCGCTCACCGAAGCTGATATCGGCATTCATATGTGTGGTTCTCATGCATGCTTCGATTTGTGTGGAACTCCAAGGCTGTCTGCAGTCTTGATTTTGTTCTTGGTTTCTGTGCTCAATAGCGACCTGTGAGTCTGGTGCAATAGACGCCACACACTCTACCGCGAGCTGAGAAGACACGTTGTCATCTCTTTGTGCCTCACGATGGTCGCGCGGAGATGAGAGCAAGTTGCACTGATGTCGATGTTTGAAGGTGACAGATGTCAACCGATGAGCGTCGCTTTTTCCCAACGGTTTGAGAACACTCTTTTGTTTTGTCACCATAGACAGCATCATGGAGATTGTCTGCCATGTATCGTCCAGGCTATGAGTCCAACCTTGACATCCATCGCTAAGACTCTGAACCAAGAAAATTGCTATGAGTATCATGCTGGTTGGTTGTCGAGAACCCATTGCACTCCGTCAACAACAACCTCCGGCTGTGTCATCTGCACAAAGTGTCCACTCTCCGTGGCAAACACGAGCTCACTCTTTGTCGAGAGCTTCGAAAACTCCTTCATGAGCTTAGCCATCTTCTCATCAATGCCCGCGATCAAATCCCTAACATATTTCCTTTCCTCTTCTGTCCCATTGCCTTTAGCGATGCCTGCCTGATACAATCCATTCCAGTCTCTACTCCGTATGCCGCCAATCACGAAGACCGGCTTGTCTCCAAGGAGTGGTTGTTTCTTGCCTAGCTCCTTCTTGCGCAGTGTCTCGAAACTTGGAGCATACTGTTCAACATCCTCCTTATGAGCGATCAGCCTGTACTTCTCAGTCGATTCTCCGGCTATGAATTCATTCCACTCTTCGGGCGTTAATTTGTGATTGGTTTCCAGGCCCCAAGCGGAGTATACGTCTACGCCTGCGGCAATGGACCAGAGAATTGGGTCATTGACATCCACGACAAGCGGTGCTGTCTCGTGATTTGCATCCACAAGTACCAAACCTGCTATTTGTGCGGTCCCTTTGAGGGCGATGAACTCGTGTAAGAGCACGCCTGCCCAAGAATGCCCGACAAGAATAAGAGGATGAGAGATAGATGCCTCTTCGATCAGAAGCGAGAGCTCTAGAGCGATATGCTCGGCTGTGGGAGCGAGCGGTGAAGACTCGGAGTTACGGTAGCCAGAGCGATCGTAGGTGTAACTGCGTAGCGATGGAGAGAGCTGTCCTACCACGGCCTGCCAGTTCAAGGCATCACTTGCCACGCCTGAGACGAACAGGATGACCGTTTCGTCGGGGCTGCTGGGCTCAGGTCCATGAGTGTACAGGGCTAGCTTGTGGGTGCTGATATCGATCAGGCGGCCATTCGGTGGGAGTGCTGGTAACGCCATTGTACGTCGGCTGATGAATGGATGGCTGATTAGAGCTTTTATGAGCTTCCCAAAGCCTGGAGTCCGCGTGGTGTTTGTTCCTAGAGTGCGAAGTTGACGACAGATGATGCTTTGCTTACCTTAGCTGTTGTTACATGGATAATTTAAAGTGTTAGCTGATTCTAGTATACGCTTACCAATCTGCTTATCAATATGCTCAATTCCATAGTGTCAGCTCAGCTACGCAGTACATTCTAACACTGAATACAAGGATGTTGATGAGGTTCATTGGCGGGACTCGTTGACGAGGTTCAATGAGCGATCACCTCTCCGACAGTCCCACTAATATGCGATCGTAAATGTGACACAGTTCAATATGTATGATAAAATTTCAATACTAGTACATACGGCCACAGTCAGCTGAAAACTGGGCATCCCGTCCGCTCTGCCATACATAAGCAGTTGAACGGCAGATTAGTACTACGGTGGGTGACCACGTGGGAATCCCTGCTGCTGTATGTTTTGCATCCTGAATTGTTTTTGGTCTGTCATCCTCTGTATTGCCTACTCGTACATTTTCTGTTTTGATACGGGACGCAATACTTGTTCGTATCGCATATGCTCACTCAACCAAAGATGCGCTATCTGGAGTAGAGAATCACTTTCTTCTCCTGCGATCTCGTCTTTGATATAAACTTGGAAAATGCCCTCTCTATCTGCGCTAGCAACGTGCCCGAGCCAATGTGTTGTTGCGTATTCAAGGAATCCATCTTGAGGTCTTATTCTTCTGAGATCAGCGAAAATGCTTTGTGCTTCAGTGTTTCCGGCTTCGTCGACGCGTCTAGGAAATTCGAGTTTGAGCCCGTGTAAGAGCCTTTTTAATAGCAAGCAACAGTGATCCTCGTAGGCCGTCAATAGATGCTTCGTCGTATTGATGCTCGTACGTCCCCACTCAGAACTCGGTTCCATACTCGGGTGAAGTCGACAGGAGGTTGTATAGTAAAAGATCGTTCATCCCATCAATAAAATTGGAGAAGTGGGTTCGTGGACTAGGTTTGGCTATGATTCAAATCTTCTTTCCAACAAGCCTCGGACACCATAGCAGTCGCGTCCAAGATAACATCAACAAGAAATTCTGGGAGCGTGCGTCCCGAACATGACTGGGCAGAAGAAGAGCGGAGCATGCTCGGCGAAAGGCAAACGTAGCGAAACAGACTGTGCTCGAATCATAATTCTGTATACAATTTCAAGGACTCAAGCCTTCGGCCTCTCGAATCGAAGTGTCAAGTCTTTGGTACCTGCGTTCTGCGGAGGCTGAACAGATGCTACACCCTGAGGTCGTCCGACAAATGAGCCCGGAGTCGTTGAGTTGATCTTAGATGTTGGTGATTTGCTTGCCAGACGTCGTACCAGCTGCCATGCAGCAGATCGGGCGGAGAGGAATACGCCAGCTAGCGAAGAGCTGAATTGAGGTTCCCTGAGAAGATCTGGTCGTAGTGCAAGCATCAAGAGGGTATGCATGTTGTAAAAAGCATCATTCCCTGCGTTGTGGAAAGCGTGATTACTTTCGTAGTCCAAGTCTACAGCGTTCGAGTTGGGAGAGAACAACTTGATAACATCAGCTGGTGTGATTTCTCCTGGGCTTGAAGTCACGAGGAATCTCCAAAGCTTCGACAATCGTCCGGGCAACGTCGTCCGGCATTGCTGTGCTAGAGTATAGGTGTCCACTATGGCAACAATATTGGGCTCGTTGCGCAATTCATAGCCCAAAACACGAGCAAGCTTTTCAATGTCGTGGTGCAAGGCGTGCCCAACGAGTATATACAGCCTATCAGGGCGTAGCTTGAGATAGGGTCGAATCGCGGTCAGAGGGATTCGATGTTCGATAGCTCCGAATAGGAACGGCTTGCGCTGGCCAGTCTTGAAACGAAACTGACGAGACCTGATGTGTTTTGCCCATTCTAACGCCGAAGGACCAGGACAAGAATCCTTGATGTCACGAGTGTCAAAGGTCGATATTCCCAACTCTGTGAGATCAGCCTTTGTGCCTTCGGTATCAATTGCTACGAAGATAGCATCTTGGGTTGGACGAATGGACTTTGATTTCAACCCGAGACTCGAACGAACGAATGCAATACATTTGTGGCTCGATTGGTGTTTGCTCTCGAAGGAGGGTGGCACTTCAGGTTGCGATCGATCTTCATGACTTTAGACAGGGTAAGCAAGATACACTCACAATGCTCGACAGTAGGTAGTCATGTTCACATGGTCGATTGCCTATGCATATTGGGAACGACCTACTTGGCGTCGGTACCAGAACCCAGATTTCGTTCAAGGTTGCTAGTATTCTTGTGGAGCCCCTCAGTGCTTCTCGGCTCTTCTCGGCGGCGTGTTTGAGTAGAGCACGGTGCCGAGTCGGAGGATGAGGCAGCCGATTGATGCCAAGGAAAGCCGAAACGAAGCCGTGGTCGTACAACAAGAGAGCACGTTTGGACAGCAAGACTGGGCCAGTGAGCTTGAGAAACACCGGTCAGAAGAGCAGTGGTCATGGGCAAGGGCGGCAACTGCTACCGATGCGGTCGCGTGGCTAGCGAGAGACGACCAGCAAGAAGTTGAAGAGAAGTGAATGAGACGGACGGGTTGGAGAGCAAAAACAAGAGAGGCTCCGGAGAAGTACCGGGCGCTTTGATGATTCTCTGGCGGTTGGGCGCGGAGAATGACGAGTGGGAGGATGGAGAATGGTGAGGTGATACGTTGGAGACGAGCGAGGGGAAAGGCGGAGGACAGGTGATGTGCAGTAAACAGAACAGCTCACGCTGTTGACATGGTACAACAAAGACTCGCTTGATCAACGAGGAAGGCGCATACACCTGTGTGGTCTTTGACTTTATCAAGAGGCTACCCAAAGGCAGGAGCGGTCGTCGGCAGTGACGTGGGTGGGCGTTTTTGACGCACGCACCCACTACTTTTTAGCTGTCGAGTCTCGATTGTAGAGCAAGAGCGGTCCGTCACGTTGTGTCCTAAGCATCAGGTAATAGCAGGTTTAGGGTTGCTACTTAATTCCCTCTCGTCTCGCGTACAAGACCTGACTCCTGTCCCTCTGCCCATAAATACATATCCTCATCCTGGCGCTCCACCGACGCACCAGATCTCTCCCAACTCCCTCATCTCGCTCCCCATCCTCATCTCGTGCGGCAGACCCACCCTTCCTCCGCGACCTCCGATCTGAAAAAGGCTCGTTTCTCTCTCGCTCCCTTTACGCTGTCGTCCTCCTCGTACTCGTCCTCGGTGTCCAATTCTTGCTTGTGCCCCGCTTCGTAGCTTCGCTCCGCAAGCCAAGTCAGCCACTAGATCTGGGTCGTTCTGACTTTTGTCGTCACCACCCCTCCAATCCTTTCCTGCAGGACTTGATTTGTCCTCATACCACCGAATACCACACCAGCACACTGTTCGATACGTCGGCAACTCGCAACATGGGTCTTGCACAAGAAGCCGCCCGTGTGGCCGCCGAGTTTGAGTACTCGGATGCCCAGGTCAACAAGGCCGTCAAGGAGTTCATCCGCCAGATGGGTATGTCTGCTGCAATTCAAGCCTCTCGCTACGAGCATCCCACTAACCATTGACTCCANGACGAGGGTCTGCAAAAGTCTGGCACCACCATGAGCCAAATCCCCACCTACGTGACCGCTGTCCCCAACGGTACTGAGAAGGTGAGCATGGACTGCAGCCATCAGCTTAACACAACTGACATAGACAGNGGTCTCTACATGGCTGTCGACCTCGGTGGCACCAACTTCCGCGTCTGCTCCATCGACCTCCACGGTGACAGCACCTTCTCCCTCACTCAATCAAAGGTTGCCATTCCCCGCGAGCTCATGGTTGCCCAGACCAGCAAGGAACTCTTTTCTTTCCTCGCAAAGCAGATTGCTAGTTTCCTGCAAACCCACCACGGCGAACACTACCACGCTACCATCCGCAGACGCGCCACCATCCACTCCGAGAGCGGCTTCAGAGAGCAGGAGATCTTCAACCTGGGCTTCACCTTCTCCTTCCCCGTGGAACAGGTCGGAATCAACAAGGGTACCTTGATCCGCTGGACAAAGGGCTTCGATATCGCCGATGCTGTTGGCAAGGATGTCTGCAAGCTTCTCCAAGACGAGATTGATGCTCTGCACCTGCCTGTCCGCGTCGCTGCCCTGGTCAACGACACCGTCGGAACTCTCATGGCTCGTTCATACACTTCCCCTGGCAAGACCGGCACTCTTTTGGGTGCCATCTTCGGTACCGGTACCAACGGTGCCTACGTCGAGAAGCTCGACAAGGTCAAGAAGCTCGATTCCAACAGCTCTGATGTCGACAAGACCACTGGTGAGATGATCATCAATACTGAGTGGGGTTCATTCGACAACCAGCTCTCCGTCCTCCCCAACACTCCTTACGACAACTCGTTGGACAAGGAGACTCCCAACCCCGGTATCCAGATGTTCGAGAAGCGCATCTCCGGTATGTTCTTGGGTGAGATCCTCCGTCTGGCCATCGTCGATCTGGTCAAGGAGCGCAAGACTGGCCTTTTCAGCGACGACAACAGCAGCAGCAACGACGTTCACAGCACTACTTGCCTCGATGAGAGCAGTCCTCTGTGGCAACCCTGGGGTCTTGACACTAGCTTCCTGTCCATCGCTCACGGCGATAACAGCAATGGCCTCAAGGTGACCCGCCAGACCTTGGACAAGGACTATGGAGTCCAAGCTGCCAGCGCTGAGGATGCCGAGGCCGTCAAGCTTATCGCTGCCGCCATCGGTAAGCGTGCCGCCCGTCTGTCTGCTGTTGCCATTGCCGCCATCGTTCTCGCAACCGACAAGCTCTCATCACCCAAGGACGTTGCCACAGCCGATGACACAACCGTCAACGAGGACGAGATGGTCGATGTGGGTGTTGACGGCTCGCTCGTCGAGTTCTACCCCGGCTTCGAGGAGTACATTAGAGAGGCTCTTCAGCAAATCGAGGGCATCGGCAAGCACGGCGAGAAGCGTATTCGCATCGGTATCGCTAAGGACGGTAGCGGTGTCGGAGCTGCTTTGATCGCTCTTGTTGCCGACAAGCTGGCCAAGCAGGAGCAGCTCAAGGAGTACGACTAGAGAGGACGCGACGATTTTCACAATTTCTCACGATTACAAAATTCTTTACGCATGAGCATGCGGAATAAATTTGGGAGGGCGTTGAATGTTTTTTCTTATCCTCTGGCTTGCATGCCGACCGTCACATATGTGTACATATATCCTAGTACATTGACCATGTATTCTTTCTTCAAACCGCGATCTTGTCCCTTGATGCGTATTGCCTTTGCCATGTGTCTGTGATTGGTGAATCTCGTGTGATTCCACGTTACGAGTGTGGTCGTATTTTGAAAAGCCACCGGTCTTGCCATGTTTCTTTTGATGCTACAAGTGCAGTCATGATCTTCTATAGTCCAAGTCTTGTCATGTCCTTGCACAACCCAGCAAGTCTCTAGGGCCAATCTCTCTCCTCAGCACATACGCACCTTGTGGAGTGAGCCTGCGATAATAGTGCTGTTCCAAATGCGTCTCCCTGAACCCTCTCTTTGCATACCACTCTCTAGCCTCATTGCTAGCCTCCCAGACATGAGCACCCACAGCCGTAACGCCGTATTTGCTTATCCCCCTCTCGATCAACACATTCAGCAATGCGCTCGCTACTCCATAGCCCCTAAATGCACTCAGCACCCCCAAAGTGCCGACATAAAGGATTTTTTGGTTGGCGGTTGCTGCAGTGGAGGGGTCTGCCAGGATCCGGCAGCGTATGCCTGCTATCACTTTTCCTGGACGTGAGGTAGAGTGACAGTCATCGTGCCATATGGCTAGTAAGGTCAAGTCCGAGGCAGTGGCATCTGAAAGGATTTCCTTGTAAAAGTTGGCCGGGTAGGGTATTGGTAACAGTAAAGTGTTTAGGCGTTCGAAGGATTGGACGAGGGGCTTGTCGCAGGGGACGAGGGAGATGTTTTTGGGAGATGAGATTGTGGGCGTGAGAATGGTAGTTCTGATGTTGATTCTATTGTTGGGTGTGGTGTGGTCAAGGTGGGTTGTGTTGTTGGCTGTTGCGGCGATGACGGTGAAGTTGAGGCATGTTGGTTGTGACAAGTGTTTTCTTGTGTTGTTGAAGATTGAACTGGTAGAGCAGAAGGAGCAGTGGACTGCTTGACAGCAGCGGATTTCTTGAACCAAGTGGTGATTGACGTCTGCATGGTTTCAGAGAGAGCGAGGGCATTCGAGGGAAGACGCGTTCTCGCGCGAGCATTTGGAGTTTAATTGATTTTTTATTCGTTGCGGAGCGTCGGAGCAATCGGAGGAGGCCTTGGCAATCGACATCGCGAACAAGCAACAGCGAGCATACCGACGTCTATCTATCTCGATCACACTCTCTCGCCATGGGTTCCGGAAGCTCCAAGCCGCAAGGCTCGCAATATGTCTTTGCTGCGTACGATTGACTGTTCCGTCACATTCTGCGATAGACCTTTTGACTGACCAGCGCAACAGANGACAGTCCCGTCAGCTTCTCTCCCTCGGTCGTCGACTCGCTACAGAACAGCCCCGAGGTAATGGGACCCAGCACAAAAACAACATAAGACAGTGATTCTGATATACGCAACTCAAAACAGTCCGACTCGACCCGCCAGCGCAACCTCGAACTCCAAATCCAACAGCGCGTGACGGCCGAACTCGAGCGCATCCGCGCAGAAGAAGCCCAGCGCCTCGCCCAATACACCGAGCGCCTAACTCCCTCATCCGACGACTCGACCTCGGATGACTCGCCCTCGCTCAAAGAAAAGATCTCGTCCGCCCTCACACCCTCGTCATCCCAACACAAGGACCGCAGCAACGACAGCGTGTCCAAAGAAGTCGCCGACCTGCGCAGCAAACTCGAGCGCCGCAAAAGCTCGAGCAANTCTCCCGATGCTGCTGTTGAAAAGGCAAAGGATGGATTGGTGCAGTGTTTGAGGTTGAACGATCGCAGACCTTTGGATTGCTGGGAGCAGGTTGAGGCTTTCAAGGCAGAGGTTGCTAAGCTTGAGCAAAAGTTTGTCGACAGGGCTTTGCGATGAGCTACCTGATGCTGTAAAGATGTTGGTAGGAGTGGATTCACAAGAAGGGCGATTGTGGAAAAAGAGGACATGATTATATTGCACTATGAAAGAAAAAGCAACAACTACCTGAGTACATTTCCGCCCTATTTTCCTGTCTATAGGGAACCGCCTTCATCCCTTGTATTTACCCTTGTATAGATTTCGTTTTTGGTCCTTATCTGATATCGTCTTTCCATCATTCCAACACCTTCCCCTCACCAACACAACCTCCCCAAGATCGCAACTACTTCAACGCCTGCACATCACTAGTAACCATCCCCCTCACCGCATTCCCATAGATCCTCAATTGTTCCAACCCAGCAAACGCCGCAACAATCGAGCGATATCTATACTTGTTCATCCACCTGCCCATCCAACTTCCACTCTGTGCTTTCCAAGGAAGACCCCCTGCTGCTTGATTCACAAACGCAATATTCCGTTCTGCGGCATCTAGATGCGAGAGCAATTCTTGTCCGTTGGAAAGCATTGATGCGCGTAAAGAGTCTAGGTCTTTGGCGCTGAGTTTGGAGTGTTTGATGATGTAGTCGTCGAGGCTCGAGGAAGCGAGGGTGGCTGCTCGGTGGTAGATGCCTAGTTTTCTGTGGGCATGTGTCAGCTAAGTGGATCTTTATACTACAGGCATATTTGCAAGTTCTTACCTCACAATCTCGAATTGGTGTTGCTTCAACTCTTGCAATTGTATCTGCAAGCTGCCCACCGATTCAATGGCAGAGGCTTGCTCAGAGTTACTGTGAATCGCAGACTTTTGGAACAACTGAGAGCTCAATTCGACATGCACGTGCGAACTCACTTCCTCCATATCTCGTAAGATTGAAAGCAGACGAGCTCTGCTTTTGCCATTTGCAATCACGACTTCCCAGCCATGGATGTCCGGTTCGCGGATCATTGCGGACGAAACCGCAGAAGTGGTGTCTGAGATTACTTTGTTGGCGCCCTTGCTGAGGACTACGCCACCGAGTACATTCCGGACTTTGCTGAAACTTGGAAAGTGTGGCCATATGCTTGAGAGGGCTGCTGGGGTGAATGTCCATATTGCTGATGCGGGGACACCAGGACGTGGGATGGCTGTGTTCATGTTGGGAAGATTGGGGACTTTGACGGCGGGGGACTGAAGAGCTGGCATCCAAGCAGAGGGGTCCCTGGCTCCCAGTACCGCTTCCGCTTCTGGTACCCAGATGGGTTTGCCAGCATCTCCATTCATTACGACCGAAGGACTTTGAGGGAGGGGGATACGAGCAGGATCGACAGTATCTGCTCCCCACACCTGCTCGCCAACATCTCCCCTCGAAAGATCTTGAGGACACTCATAAGTGAGGTTCTTGACCATGATGAAAGCCAACACAATCACCAAGAACCGAACGAGTTCTCTCAAAAACTCTTTTTGCTCTTTGTCGATCCAAGGTCCTTCGATCCACTCAACAACCATTTCGATAGGGGATCTGGGCGCCGTCTCTTCTCCAAAAGTGTGCAGGGCTTGCTGGACTTGTATCTTGTGTTCAGCATGACGGATGCTAGGCCTCGGTGTGAGTGATCTCGGAGGAGGGTGTCCTAGAAACACGGCACCGTCTTCAGAAGGATTACTGATGGTGCTGCTAAGACGAGCACGTTTTGGGGCTTCTGAGCGGGGAGTGTAACCCATGAATACAGCACCATCTTCGGAGGTATTACTATTGGTGCTCAATAGACGAGGGCGTTTGTGGCCTTCAAATCGGCCTTCTTGTCCCTTTGCGGGAGTATATGGTGGGGTTAGCATATCTTGCTATGATGTGTCCGTGTTTCGAGGAGGTATAGATGCTGGATGGATGTCTCTCTGCGACTCGAGGGTATCAGGGGAGAAAGAAAAGACATGACTGACTTACTGCCCTCAAGAGGGTGTAGAGGTGGTGGCAGACAAAGCGATTGCAAGGTTCTCTTGAACGCTTTGGGAGAGTTTCCGCATGCGGCCAACATTATTCTTTGATCCCTTGTAACCTACCCGTTCTCGAACACAAAGCCACAATGGCCGGTACATGGCTAGATGATATACCAGAGCTAATCATGCCCTCTGGGAGGCCGTAGGAGAGTATATCCGACCTCCCTGTGTCTATTCATAGTAATGCTAGTGTTCGACCTACCGCGATAGTCATTGCGATACTGCATTTCCTTGAGCATAGAATCCCTTTTAGAGATGACATAAATTATGATGTCCATATACCCCAGAAGATCAATCACCGAGTGATGATGTGGATGGAAACAAGTCGAGGTCGTCAAAGTCGAAGCGCGAAGTCAGCCCCAAGAAGCAACCCCGGACCTTCGGACCATGTCGGACATAAGCGTCCAGGGCAAGAAATTCTAACCATCAAAAAATATCCCCCCAATGGTGATTTTTTGTTTTCAAACCAACACAACAAGACATAATGGCGAAAAAGAGAAAGGCATCTTCTGCCGGCGCATCCAGAGACGATGTCGTAGACGACTCGAACAAGCGCACAAAGATGCGCATCAAGACGTACGAAGATGTGGCGGGCTCCGACGACGAGTTCCACATCAACCGCGACAAGGTCATGCTCGACGATGGACCCGAGGCAAAGAGGAGGAGAAAGGCTCAGGAAGAAGGTGAGATTACACATGCATCTGCGCAGAGATGGATCAGATGCTAACAACCCGCAGAGGAATTTCTCCAATTGTCCGACGAGGAAGTTCTAGGATACTCGAGTCCCTCGGAAGCCGAAGACGACGATGAAGATGACTTTGACGAGGAAGAAGAAGTCGACCAGGCACCGGCTAAAAAGTCAAAGAAGGAAGCACAGGATGAAGAGGACGACGACGAAGACATGGGCGCATGGGGAGAATCCAAGCAAGACTACTACAATGCTGATGCCATCGAGACGGAACAAGATGCACTGGACGAGGAGAAGGAAGCACTGCGCCTGCAAAAGAAGCAACTGCAGGCCATGAGCGCCGCTGACTTTGGATTCGACGAGGCCGACTGGCAACAAGAAGATGAGCAAGACGCAGACCAGGATGGCGGGATTATCACCGAAGTGCTGCCTCAGCTTGAGCTGGACGACAACATGGCACCCACCGAACGCCTCAAGCTACTCAAGTTACGCTACCCGGAGTTTGAGCCTTTGAGCAAGGAGCTTCTCGTCCTACATCAGACATATCAGGAACTGTCCTCTGTGCAGTCGCCATCTCTCGCCGTTCAGACCAAGCAGCAAGCCGCTGCCGCCTACCTCGCCTCTCTCACCATGTACTTTGCCCTCCTCACATCGACCGCCCAGGACAAGCAGACAAAAGGCCTCGCTCTGTCGGCAGCCACCATCCGCGACCACCCCGTCATGGAAAGCCTAATCCAATGCCGTGACCTATGGTCACGCCTTAGAGATCTCCCCGAAGACGACTCAGAAGACGAGTCCGCCCTAGACGAAGACGAAGTCGAAGAAATGAGCGAGTCGGACGAAGAAGAAGCCCCCGTCACCATCCTGCCCAAAAAGGTCAAGAAAACAGCCGCCGAACGCGCAGCAGACGCAGTCACAGCAGCAACAGAAGCCCGCCGCGCCGAACGCCTCCGCAAGACAGAAGCAGACTTTGGCGACCTCGACGCCCTCCTCGACACCTCCTCGCGCCCCAAAAAGTCAAAGAAAAAGACACAGCAAGCATCCGCAATCGACGAGAACGACTCGGATCTCGGCGAAGACAACTCCCTCACAGCACAAGAACTCGCCGAAAAGGCAAAGCGCAAAAAGTCGCTGCGCTTCTACACTTCGCAAATCGCCCAAAAGGCGAACAAGAGGGGTGCAAAGGTGCAAGGTGGAGACGAGGATGTACCGCACAGAGAGCGTCTGCGCGACAGACAAGCCCGCCTCAACGCCGAAGCAGAAGCAAGAGGCAAACGCTTCGACCGCGATACGCTCGGCGAAGACAGCGAAGACGACGCCGACCGCGCCGTTGCTCGTGAAGTCCGCGGCGAAAAGAACATCGACGACGACGAAGACTACTACGACATGGTGGCCTCCAAAGCCGCAAAGAAGAAGTCAGACAAAGCCGCCGAGGCAGCAGCGTTCAAAGCGGCAGCAGCAGAGGGTGGCAGAGTTGTCGAGGTTCAAGAGGTGGGCCCTGACGGCAAGCGCGCAATCACGTATGCGATTGAGAAGAACAAGGGTCTCACGCCGCACAGAAAGAAGGATGTGCGTAACCCGCGTGTCAAGAAGCGCAAGAAGTTCGAGGAGAAGAAGAAGAAGCTTGCTTCCATCAAGCCCGTGTACAAGGGCGGTGAAGGCAGAGGCGGTTACGGTGGTGAACTCACGGGTATCAAGAAGGGTTTGGTCAGGAGTACCAAGCTCTGATGAATTGGCATGTGTCTTGTACAGCGGAAAAAGGGATATTTGTCTTCCTCCTGATGTTGATAGCAATATTTTTGCATATTCCCCAAAATTACTCATGTTTCTTCCCATGCGTGTATGAGTAGCTCCCGCCGCTTGGTCGCAACCCATAGTTCCACGCTCCAGAGCCCATCGTTCCAAGATGTCAGTCTTCCCGTTTGACCAGTGCTTCAGGATCGGAACATGGCGCTTCTTTGCTCTGCAAGTATTGCGTTGCTATCCTTTTTGAATGTCCGTTTCGTCTGCTGGAATGCCTCTCTCGACGGCAGCGACTAGCTGGCACCACTAAGGCCCATCAATGCACCGACTGCCATCATGTCTTCATCCCTCTCTGCTTGCGAAGCACTTGCTTGTTGTGCATTCACAGCATGATTTGCATCCTCCAGCACATCATCCACATCCATGCCCGGACTCTCGATATGTGCGCTGTTGGCGCGATCATCTCTGGTCCACCCAGGTGTCCCCGTCCAATCCAATTCCTTTGATTCAGATCCCCACACCTCTCCCTTCATGTCGAGTTTGATATCCTGGTCAAGATTTGAAGATGCAAGTTCGCCCTGCAAGACACCCTCCAGCAAAGCTTCTTTTGCCGCC